TGCGAGTCACCTCCAAATTGCATTCGACTTTCGCGTCAGATCGATATACGTGATCGGCCTCCAAGAATTTGATGATCGACCAGCAGTCCCATAGCTCAAGCTGGAAATCGATTTCTCGAATGGCTTGATTTCTGGTCTTTCGCATCCCTCGAATGTTGAAACCACTCGTCTTGGCCCATGACTGCAGCTACACACGGGTCCATACCGCCATCAACGACGTTTCGTAGCCCAATACTGCCAGACTAGACCAGCAAACATGTGTGAGACTGATGTGTTTGGGCCTTTGTCCGCCACATGTACGGAACAGCTGTTGCAACTAGGCACGGTCGCACTACAAAAGTTCAGACGACGAGCTCATGTACCGATACATCATACATCTCTCCGTCTAAGCTTCAAGCTTTCACCCCATACAACGCACTATGCCTAACCAATCCTCAGACGGCACCTGCACGGTAGCTCGGCCAGCTCAAAGACGGTTTGAAGATGGCCGGGACTTTTTCTCAAGTGTCGTCGAGGCCCCATCTTGCTGGCAATGGTGGAGCCACGGTCCCCAGAAAACTATCAATCAATAGAGCGGGGGAAAAAATGGATTACTCGTGAAGGCGCCAAAAATGCCGTCAACGGCTTCTAGCTCTCGCGGCTATCGAACGGTGTCTCACGCACCGTCGAAAACAGCAATGATGACCGTTTGGTCAGAACAAGGCGCGATGCTTCAGTCCGGCTTTCATGCGAACCAGGCATGCAGACCTCGTTTTATTCGTTTGGGAAAACCCTATCCTATTCCTGGGACAGTTCGATGAAGTTTTCGTTGACACTAGCAGCAACCAACCGCCAGAGTGCTGTTGGCTTGCTTAGCATGGGGAAATGGACGTGGTTATCCAGGCTCAATGATCTCCACCGGGGAGGTTTGCTCCCTTGCTGGCACAGAGCAGTGAATGATCCGGGCGCCAGCTGATGCAGATCTTGAAGGTCGCCGCCATTAGCTGCGTCGACGGCTGGCGATGACGAAATAGGAGCAGCCAGGGCAGCGAAACAAATCTATTCCGGCTTTCGACTCATGCTATTCGCAGGTGCTTCTTTTTGCTGCTTCGTCGTAGGTTCAGCGACCGGGAATACAGCTGTTTCGAATAGCATACTGCCTTCTTAAGCGGCGAATCATATTCTGGGCAGAAGAGGCAAGTGATGGGCCAAGGGCTTCGTCCCCGCAAAGCTACCTTACTCCGAAGCAGCAGTCTACGAGATCCCCTCGAGCTGGGGAGAAGTACAAACGAGGGGAGTTCTAATTCACCGAGCGTGGATCTCTTCCTCTGCCTGCATCGATGAGCTCGCCGAGGTGTCTTGGAAGGCTGTCCTTGCGCGTTGTGTCTTTCAGTCAGGTGCGGGGACGAACTACTAATCACAGACCGGGGCTATTACTTGGAACCGAGCCGGGTACCCAAGGCCTTTCTTTTTCTACCTGGATTGACATGAGACCGTCTCTAAGCTATGACCGAGAGATCTTGTTTTTCCGATCTGTCGACGGCACCATCTAGGTTGGCTTGGCTCTGGTAAGAAAGGATGCGACAAGGCAGTATGATCTATCCCTCAACCTAAGGAAACGATAGACCGCGCAACAGGATGACTCGACTACCAGCTTGGGTAAGGCGTGTGTGTACAGTTCAGTATGCACTAGACGGCCACAAGTCCCATATTGGAGAGGTGTCTGAGACATTGAGCTGTGCAACGAAAACCTGTTTGCAGCGGTTGCTCGTTGCCTCGTGGCGTGGTGCGTCGCCGGCTGCCCACATCTAACCAGTCCAGATTGCATCCCAGTTGGCCTCCCTCCCCCGTCGCCGACAACGAGGGAGGGTCGCTCCCACCCACACCATCGGTAGCCAGACATACGTTTCCTTAGAGGTTCACTTGATGGGTGATCATGGGTACCGGCATTTTCGGGGGGATCGGGTACGGGAGCCAATCTCCAGGCCGGCCGCGGCCCAGAGATATCGCTGCCACGGTGCCACGACAATGGTCCAAACGAGTCGAGACAGCACAAGGACGCTGACGGGTCGTTTCATTTGCTCTGTAGCGGCATTGTGCGACCATGCACGATCCAGAGACACGCGAGACGGAGATTGGCGATCGTGAACCGCAAGAGAAAAGACAGCTATATTTCCTTTGCGAGCGTCGGCCTGTGCACCCAAGTACGATGTCAGCCACAAGGGACAGAGAGATGGTCCCTCCCGAGGCCCGTTCTCGACCTCCCCGCCTTGCCGTCACGTCCGGACACTCGGTCCGGACCCGCGAGGAAAGCCTCAGCCGACAATCCTCATTAAACTCTCTGGCCCTGCTGTCACGGACGACTCACGGGGTGGAAAGACTGGAACAATGGAGATTATCTCTAGTGGTCCACGGCTTGGATTTCAGGCGACACGAAAATCAGAGGCTGATGGATAGCGTCCCGGCAATGATTGCAATGACCGCGCTCGCTTAAAAACAATCGTGCGGACAAGCTGATGTCGTGGCTTGGGCGGGCTTGCCCGACCCAGAGGAGGGGGGCCTGCAGACGAAGATCGGGCTACACTTCTCATCATTATCATCACCCTCATTCCGGCCGCGTTGTACAACGCTACGCAGCTCCCCTTTCGGCTTGTGTCCCAACCACCAGGGAGACATACGTCGAGCTGCCTTTGCACCAAGTTTGCTGGCCACCCCCTCGTGCCCTTTCCCAATCTTCATGTTCGGCTACCCGCTTCGCTAGAATAGGCGGGTGCATTTGGGTGGCCGCTACGGCAGTGTAGGGTCTATGCATTTTGTATCCCCATCCTTCGAATCTGCCTCATTTGATACGAATGTATGAATTTCTCCGCGACCCCAATTGTGCGGTAGGTCCCGATGCGCCGCATGCGGGAACCGAATTCCCTCGCGCCGTCTGTTTGGGCACTTCTCTTCGTGCCGCCGATCCGAGAGCGGTCGGGGTCAAGCGCATGGGAAGAGAAGTAAGCGTGGTAAGCAAGATGGTGGCTTGAGGCTTATTCTTCTTAGATCTGACAGGATCTGGTTGCGCTCGCGCGTCGCGCGGACTAAACCTTGGTCATGGTGTCTCCTACAACGCAAGGTCGTCAGAGGGGTCATGTATAGCGTGGCGATAGGGGAGACGGCGACAAGCCTCAAACGAGGTCAGGCCTTGTCGAGATTACTACAGAGTAGAGAGGGTTTGCTAATAATGGACTGTTCGAACGGCCCAAGGTTGGGCCATTTTTCTGCGATCGGAATCGAAACGAAGAGGAGAACGCGACTTGGCGAGAGGCGTGTAACATCAAGACTCTAGTCATCGAGCGGCCCAGATCTTGGCGTACGCGCAGCTGAAGCTGAAGCCGAAGCTGAGCTGAGGCTATCCGCGGTGATGGGAGGCCGGGATCCGGCGGTTTGGCTCACGAGGAGGATTCACTTTCACGGCGAGGCCGTGGCGAGGCCGTGGCGGGGCTTGTCCTCCCCAACGGTCGGTCGTTGAATGAGAGCTAAACGTGGTCTAGAGGGTCGCTGATGTGGTTGCTCCTTGTTCGGGGCCACGGGGGGAAATCATGGCAGTCTTTGGACGTGGCGTCGCGGTGTGTTATGTGTGGAGGTCGTGTGTAGCGGGAGGGTTGGATCCACGTACACCCCGAAAGCAGCTTCAGGGTTCGGATCGTGAGAGGGGGCGAGGTTTCTCGGGCCGCGAGACGTCATCCAGATCCGTCTTCGAGGTTCACATCTTGGATACTCTCTATATCTCTACTTTTCCTGTTATGTGTGCTGTCGCGCGGGCAGGATTCGTGGCCAAAGAAGGGGCGTGGCCGCGTGGGAAATGTCTCTGTTGCAAGCAGACAGAATGACGAAGATTACAACGGAAGCATCCAGCTTGACCGGCTGAGGAACTCTAGGACGGTACATTGTGAAAACGAGGAGCGGGGGTGGACGCCCCGCGAGTGAAATTTGCGAATCGCTAGATGCTAGTGACTCACTGAAAGGAAGGGAGAGGTCTTGCCTCTCCTTTCCACGTTTGCTGAGTGCGGTGGGTCTCTCTCATATCACTATCAGACCACGCCTCAAGCGAATGCCATGAGGTTATCTAGAAGGGTGGATATTTCCGCAAACGGATGACTATGGTGGAGGGGGCGGACCGGGCAGGCCGGGCGAAGAGTCGAGACCGAACGGCTGGGACGAGGTGGCGGGGAGATCAAAGCTAACGCAGACGTGAGGAAATCCATCTTTCAGATCGCTGGTCATATGGGATTTTTGAGACGGTGAACAAAAAATAAACCGAAAAAAAGGGGTAAAAAGATATTCTTGTTAAGAGTAGTAACCAGAAAGGGGCTGGGTGCCGTAGACACGGAGGAAATTGGGACCGCCGTTGCGGCGTTTCGGGAAGTTTTACTGCGGAGTTTCGGATTGGTTCGCGACTCTGACCGTCTGACGGGGGTTCGTGAATGCCGTGGGTGGGGCCGCAGGTGGCGGACTTTGTGCTTACGCGGAGCGGAGTTTGAAGCAGCTCCGCAACTTCATCCCATTCCCGGGCCCTCTACGACGCTCGACGGCACACTCTTTTCCGGGCGACCTGGAAGTTCACAGAGTGCACTGAACGAATCGCTCACTGGACTGGCGGAAACGTGCTCACCACCACCCCACGAATAGCAAACCGCGTAAGCTGACAGTTGCCTTGGATCCATCCCTCTGAAAGGCACGGGAACAGAGAGAGATACGACAGGACCTCCCCCTTGCGTCGGTTGTTTTTTGAGAAATCGTGATATCGCATCTTCCACCCATACCACGTCTTTTTCCCTCTCTTTCTCATGGTCAATGGGATTCAGCTGGCCGCACCGACCCATCTATTATCCGCCACTACTTTCCCTTCTTCCCCTTCTCTCCACAGTCCAAAACCCGACGCTGCCGCTGCCGCTGCCGCTACCGCTACCGCTACCGCCGCAGAAGCAGCAGGGCATTAGACCCAGCAACAGCGACAATACAGAGACGGGAGAGCAATGTCCGCCACTGCGGACGGTCTGAAAGCTATGAGTGATCTGGCGGACGCGGCGGACAAGTCCCGCCAGAAGAGTTGCAACGCCTGCGTACGGAGCAAGCGCCGCTGCGACAAGCGGACCCCACGCTGCACACGCTGCAGCGAGAAAAACTTCTCGTGCGTGTACCAGAACCTGCCGCCTACCTCTGCCAATGGCGGTAGTGGTGTAGGTGTTGGGAACCTCGGCGGCCGGGTCGACTCCTCTTCCTCCGCTGGCGGTATGAGCAGTAACCCAGACGACACCCTCCAGGCTATGGACATTGAGGATGATTGCAGCAACATCAACGATGACCTCCCTGCCTTTGACTTCAACACACTCAGTGATCACCATCTCCAACAGCAACAGCAACATCATCAACTTCAGCAGCAGCCCACACCGCCATCGTCATCGTACATTGAAGGCGGGCTCCCGACGATAGTAATGACGGAGGACATTCAAAACAGCATCGGTAGCGGCAGCAACAGGAGAAACGTCGACAACGCCACGTCAGTGCCGTCGACACTGTCCCTGAACCTCGACTTGAATGCCGCCAACGCGCCATTCGACTTCAACTCGGTCATGGATTTCCTGAATGCCGACCCGACGGCCGGCGGCGAGCTGCAGCTCTGGGAGACGCCGTTGACGCCCGTGATGCAGAAGAACATGCTGCCGGAGATCAACCAATCGAACCCGTGCGAGTGGGATGAGATGGGAGATATGTGTGTAAGTGTAGAATTCTCCTCATTCTTTGTCGCTCTACCCCCTTAGATAAACTCACCGCTCTTGCATCTCGCTTGCCCATCCTCTATGCCCATTCTCGTCTCAGTCACACGTCTCTCTTTATCCCCCCCCGTAGCTCTCTCTTCAAATCCTACCCCATGCCGTCCAAGGGATGAGAACTCACGCGTACCCACAGAGCGGCTTCCAACCATGGCAAATCCACGAGCCAAACTCTCGCGTCGGCCACCTCGTCGGCCTCGTCAAGAACATGCACGTCGTCTTCGCCCAGACAAAGCAAACCTCCTTTCTCCACCGGCACCTCTACCGCGGCGTCCGCGAGACGCCCAGGCCACTGATGGCGGCCTATACCGCCATCTCGGCGTACGCGGGCATGACGGAGTCTAACAAGGACTGGGCCATTCGCGCCGTCTGTGAGGGTGCCAATGAGATCCTCAAGAGCGGCCGTGGCGCCAAAGATTCCTCCTCTCCCTCGTCGTCGACGACGACGGCGGCGACGACAGCGGGAAGCAACATGACGGGGCACGAGAAGCTTGCGAGGGCGCAGGCGCTGTTTCTGATCCAGACGGTGCGGTGCTTTGACGGCGATGTGACGCTGAGGGCGCAGGCGGAGCGGGACATGGTCGTCTTGGAGACGTGGTTGAAGGAGCTCGAGGGGCTGAGGGACAACTTTGACGAGGTGCACCTGCTGGATGATGGCGCGTTGCGGGGGAGGCCGCCGAGGTCTTGGGAGGTGTGGATTTTCAACGAGTGTGTGCGGCGGACGGTGTTGATGGGGTATATTTTCACGAGCATGTATCAGATGCTCAAGAGTGCTGGCGAATTTGGTAAGTTACCTCCCCCCCCCTCTCTCCCATCTTCTTGCCTACACATTTCTACAACGTACCAATGCAGTCTCGAGTGTTTCCCGTCGGCTCCCGACCCCCACACACCCAATGCCGGCACTTGGCTGCGAGACAGAAAGAAAGAAAGAAAGAAAACAAAGCTGACTCTTGTTGTGATAGATCCTGACATCGCGCCTTGGCTGATCCCGAACCGCTGGACCTTCTCAAAACACCTCTGGGAAGCCCAGTCCTCGCCGGCCTTCTTTTCGGCGTGGCGTGAGAAGCCCATGTTCTTGGTCAACAGTTTCTTCGTGCAGGACGTCGCCAAGATGGCAAGACCAGCGGACGTGGACGATTTTGCGAGGATGTTCCTCACCATGTGAGTATTTGCTCCTTGTTTGTCTTGCCTCCTAAAAACCCTTCCTTCCTTGCGGACTAGGATAAAAGAAAGGTGCGGGTCTGGATGATGGTCACTGTGATAGAAACTAATCTGTTCGTGATGATAGGAATGTTGGTGTCGAAGAGACGAAGCATTTCATGCTAGAGGTGTAAAATGGGGGTCCAGGGCTCGGCCAGACATGGCTGTGTGCGACATTGCACATTTCTCTATGAAGCGGAAAGAGGATGCGGGACTTTTGCGAGACGATTTTAATGATGAAGTAGCTTCCAAGATGATTTCACGGGGTCTTTTGGAGAAGCGGGATGGGCTTTGGCTTCGCGGGTTATCTTGGTCAAATTGGAGTTCCGGGTACCTGGTATAGCGGTCAATTTGTTGACATTTTACACCGTCTGGGAGGGGCGCGTAGGTCATGGTCTGGCTGGACCTGTATGTTTCAAGTCTTGACGTAGCTGTAGTCAACAAACTTGAATATCTCGACGATTGATTGCATTGAGTCATTGTGAGTCAACTCGTCAATGCGGATCTGTTTCCAATCAAAATCTTCATCGTAATAGACAGCCACGAGACTAGGCGAAGAGAATTTACAGAACTGAACCCGCCATCAGCTGCGTTCAGCAGCTGAATGAGATGTATGCAGTAGTCCTCTTTCACAAGGTAGAGACAGGAGGGGCACATGCTGTTGTTCAGTCGAACATGCTCCGAGAGCTCCAAAGGGTCGATGGGAACCCCTTGCTAGTCAGCGGCAACATGTTCACACTGGCTTGGTTACCGTCGTCTTGGGACATCGTCTCTCTCTTTCAGAATTTAATATATATGTAATGGTTGAAAGACACTGGCCGAGACTAAGTTCCGGTGGGCTCATGGTCAGTCGACTAAACTTGTTTAAAAAGTAAGGAGAAACAGGAGACGGGTGATTTGTGAACAAAATTGACACAGCCAGACTAATTTGAGGTAAAACATAACCGCTTTATTCTACCCTTGTCGAAAAGTGCGCAATACGGTAGCATGAAAAGGGCAAAGTCAGGGGGTCCCAACAGCTTCATGTTGGCGTACTGAAGGCCATGAGGACCCAGAGTACGTCTACGGCAGGGGGTTACAGCTGGACAAAAGTCATGAGCAAGCCAAAGAAGGACAATTTCTGCAAAAATATAGAGTATGTTCCGTCCTTGTTTTCCCGACAGACAGAGAGAACGAGAGAGAGCTCATGTTCCAAATGTGGATTTTGTCCACTGTAGCAAATACCAGAGACAAGTACGTATAAAACAAGTCAAGATGCGTGATAATTCTCTTGGGTAGCCCATCTTCAATAGACTCATCATTAAACTATTCAGCAATAAGCATACTCGAAACCAAACATCTCCAATCCACGCTCATCACCCCGAATTCGGCACAACCAGACTCGAAATCAACGACACCAACCAATCTCTAATCATTTCTTCAAATTTTACACGGAAAGATAACTCTCAGGTTGCAAATACGTCAAGCAGGAATAGGGACCCAATCTACTACCACCATCCCTCCGAACCCTTTTGGCAGGATTCCTCCAAGGGCAAGGGGGCCCTGAGCTTCGGGGGTACGAAGGACAACAACTGGGGATGTGCCCCGGGAGGCAGTTCAGGGGGTAGCGGTGGCGGCAGCAGCGGCGGCGGCGGCGGCACCAAGAAGTAATAGCGAATGGGTTCTTACGGTCAAATTGTGCGGAACCGGGCTGTGGTCTAGATTGACCAGGCTGGATTGTGATGATGGATTCAATTGGATTTCAAATTCAGTCTTAGTTCCAACGACAGCATCTACATAATTCTATAGTGAAATCTTCCACAACTATTGTGTGTTGAGGCAATGTGGTGGGTGGGTGGTGGTGATGTGAGTTGGCGTATAAAGATTTCAAAGAGATGGTATACGTATTTGTGAAACTGACTTGCTTCTTGCGTACCTTGATTCGAGCTGCCTGGACTAATTTTGGTGCCATGTTCGTATCCCTATAAACCATGCAAAGAATCACTTACAGCGATTATTGTGTGGCAGAACTCGCCCACTCTCCGTGTAATAAACCCACGTCGCCCGCTGGCGCCTCTTCTCTAGATTTTTTGTACACGTCTTGTAAGGAAGGGCATCAGAGGGATTAACCTCCCGCGAACTTCGCCTCAAGTAATTGCCAAGGATAAGTACCTCGGATTATTAGTATAACGTGTTGTTATTTACTCTATGGGCAGTACAGACGTGTAAGGAGGTCGGGGTCATTCCTCTTCAATCGAGCATGGTCATAACCTGGACGACCATGGGTCGTGGTCTTCCAGCAAAAACTTGAGGGGGCCTCAGTCAGTTCCCTCCAGCGCAAACATGCCTGGCCGCGCCATACTGCTTGGGAGGCACGGGGGCATCCATCACTCTGCCACCTCGTATATCCGGGTCGAAACACCGCATGGTAATGCGGGACGTTGAAAGGCCGCCGCCAGCATACCACAACAAACACGAGAGTGGGGAAAGGGGACTGGTCATCGTACATCTGTCTTGCTAGCAGCATGTTTCTGGAACGGCTCTGTTCTGCCTGCCCAACTGAAAATCATAGTAGAAGCTCTGCTGGCTAGAACAGCCCATCATCGCCCCTTCCCAGCACGATAATGCTCAGTAATACGGAGACATGGTGGGAATAATCAGAATATAAAGCAAAGTCTATATTTTTTCCTTTCTGGCCCGAGATGGTTAAACTCATGGCTCGCTCCGAAGTGGGGAGCTGATTATAGACATCAACCGGAGGCGGAGTGCGAAAGCATTCCCCGAACCCACACGAATTCGACCGAATCCCACGCCGTAGCTTAACGCCAAAAACTCCCAAATCCCTACTTATACCTTGGCCCTTTTTTTTTTCCTAGAGAAAAAAAGTCCGGAGAGAAAAAGTCAAAGCTAGCTTCCTTGAGGAGTGACTTTCAAATGCCCCTGAATGCCGGATCCCCCCATTCCATAGGTATGCTGGAGAAAACACAAAGGAAAAAGACCCAACGTCATCTGTATCCAGAAAAACCTCTAGTTCTGCCAGGGATGCTTTTAGACCCCGGCTCTATCTTTGTGATCTTTGATGTTTTGCTTGGGTACGCAATCTTCTGACCAGGGTCGTGGAGAAGTGGAAAAAAAAAAGAAGACAGGAAAACCCTAAATTCGATGTTCGAGGCGTCAACTTCATTGATGAGCCCTCCTGCGTTTCGCCATACACAGTATCTTCTCTACCTTGTGTTTTGATGTGGCGTGTGTTGTTTTGTGTCGTCTCGGACTTGCGCGTGGTATATTGCCGAGATGTAGAAGTAGAGCATAAAGGCCAGCGACAGCGTCTGTTGGGGGTTTAATACTGAGGTTATTGTGATTGTCGAGGTTTGCAGGGCGCAGCTCACTTTCCAGTAAGGATGGGACGGTGAGGCTGTATCCCTGACGGTGAATTGCCGTTGGCAAGGTGCGGGTGGGCCGAACACACCACACATCTTTCCCCCCGACTGAGACGAGGAGGAAGCAATTATTGCAAAAGCTCCTTTACGTTTTCTTTTACGTTGAGTGCCCACTTCAGCTTCGCCAACGTCGACCTCGTCTCCTCGAGCAATTTTTCCTGCTCGGCGTCCCGCCCAGCAACGCCGGCCTTGATATCCTTGAGCAAGAACTCCTGCTGCGCCTTGTACTCGTCAAACTTGTTCTGAATCTCCTCCTTTTGCCGCCTCAGCTCCTTGATGTTGCCGTCCTGCTGGTCGCACAGGTCCCTCAGCGCCGCAATCTTCTCATCGTCGCGGCGCCGCTCCTCGACGACGCCTGCAATCTCGGACCGCAGCTTCAGGTGCGCGCGCTGCACCTCGTCGCCCTGGTCCTTCCAATGCGAGCTGATGGCGTTGTACCGGCCCTCCATGAGCGCGGCGTGGGTGTTTGCGTCCTCGACCTGCTTCGTCGTGCTAGAGCGCATCTTTTCCATTTCGTCGTGCCACAGGCGCTCCTTTTCCTTGGCGTCCGCCGTGCGCTTTTTTTCCAACTCGACATTGGCGTTGAGGGTCTCGACCTGGCGCTCTTTGCGGCTGAGGAGCGTCTTGGTGACGCTCGCTTCGAGTAGGCGGCTCTCGTAGTCGCTGATGATGCGCTCCATCTTGTCCTCGACCAGCTTGGCTGCCTGCTTCGCCTCCTCGGCTCGTAACCGTTCGATCTGGATGTCACGCTTCAGGGATTCGTTGTCGCTGACGAGCTTGTTGATGACCCTTCCTGTCTTTCCCAGACCTGCCTTGCCAATGGTCGAATCCCAGCCTGGGCCTTGCCCGTCGGCCCCGGGGGCAACATTCTCATCGTCGACGGGTGGCGTCTCTTCCCTCCTTGCCGAGTCAAGTTTGATGGTGTTGTCGTTACCGCCGTGAGGCCAGTCGTGTTTTAACTTGACGCCTGGCGCCCTTTCTTGGTGATTCGATGCCATGCTGACTGCGCTGGCGTTGCTATTTACGGAACTGGAGAATGCGGAAGTGTGTGAGGGAGCGTCGGAGCTCGTGTCGCTCGCGGCTTCGAAGCTGGGTACTGTGCGGATGGTCTGGACCATCTTAGGGGCGCCTCGGGGAGAAGGAGAAGCGCTCGGCATCGACTGAAGTTTTTCGTCGATGCGCGTATTCAAGCTACTATTGCGTATGGTGAGGGATTCGGACGAGAAGGAGGTGGTGGTGGTGGTGGTGGTGGTGGTGGGAGGAGCGAGTGTGCGGCGACTGCTCGAGGGACCATTTAGCGAGGGCGTCGTCAGGGAAGAAGTTTTGTTTGAGGCAGAGGCGTCGAGGTCTTGGGAGGTTCAAGGTCAGCACGATGGTCACCTTGGGTGGCTTCCAGGAACGGCAGCGGTAGCGCAGGGCCAACCTCCTGAGGATTAGATGGTCGGGAGAGGTTAGAGGCAAAAGGGCGTGAAGTGGGCGGGTGGTGGATCAGGGCGAGGTTTCAATCAAACAGTGCCAAAGGATGGGGACCCTTACCGAGAGCAGAGTCTTGTGGAGGAATATCAAGGTCGGGTACCTGATGAGGGTTGGAGGACAGTCGTTGCTTGTCGTGTTTATTATGCTTTTGCAGTCGACTTGGCATGTCTATGGGTCATGTTATTCAGTACCGTCCTGTTGGCGTTGATTGCTTATAGCCCAGGTAGGCTGGTCGGCAGGCTGGTAGTTCGCAGTTTGTTTAGTGTTTTAGTGATGGGGTGGTTTAGTGATGGGGTGGTTTAGTGATGGGGTGGTTTGGTGGTGGTGTGGTGGGTGGTTGCAGCAGAAAGTTGGGGGCGGGCGCGTTCGTCTTTTGGATTGGGCGTTGGTTGATTTTGGCTGCGGTCGAAAACGGCGGCCCGTCTGATGTCGGACGGCGGCTGACGTGTGGATTGGATGCGCGGGTTCGGTGAATATTTGGGGAAACTTGAGGAAGACACTGCCTAGAATAGGCGGATGTCCGGGTCAAGGAGGGCAGATGTTGGAAAACAATGGGACGGGAATCTCGGCCTCGAGAGAAGAGGTTGAAAAGAATTACGCTACCTACGTCAGTCAATCAGGAATTTGGACAGTCTTCCTCTGACAGGAGAGGAGGTAAGGTGAGAAAGGAGGGTCGAGCGAGAAGGGAAAAGCCCAGATAAAACTAGACAATGGCCGAGACAAGCATAAGGCAGATCAGAGCGGGCGGTTAGTAATTCCTAGGGTGCCTCATTAAGTAACTTGATCAATTAGTCCAAGGGACCCGAGGATTTTGCTGGAGTCGGGTGGATGCACGCGCCGCTGCCTTGTTCGCTGCTGCACTGGGATTCGGTTGCTTTTCTTCGTCCGCCTTTCTTTCTTTCTTTCCAGGTTCTTTCAATCAACCAGTACCTACTATCTACTATACCTACCTATCTACCTTAGCCAGGTGCCGGCACAGACTGGGGAACAAAACATCAACACTGACAACATGCAGGGCGGTACAACACACCGCATTGATGCACAAGATATTAGACACCGGCAGTGGGCAAATCACATCAAATGGGCCACGCTAGAGTTACAAACCAAGCGTGACAACCTTGACGTGACCAGTCAAAACCCCCCACTGAAAAGCAAGATACCATTCCCGTCTGTTCCCCAGCAACCCGGCTGCTGCGTCACTCATCCCTCTGCAAAAACAGTATGGGGATGGCAATGCACAGTTCCCCCTATTGTCTTGCCCTCTTGCCGTCTCAGTCTTACCCCCCAGTCCCTAAGTTATCAGGCAAGGGGGACGGCGCGTGTTAAGGGAAAACTAACATTTCCATGATGCAAATGCGCATAGCATCGCATTTCCTTCAACTCTGGTTCCGAGAATAGCCCACTTTCCTTTCAAGCACCTTGAACCAATGTATGGTATACGGCCATACGGGAACACACCAACCACTGGGAAAGAAGCCAAATTTGACATAGTATATTTATCTTGTATGCAAAACACGTTTCTGAACAAAACTCTACCCAGCATCCTCTCTTCCCTATTGTTCCCTCAAACTAAGAATACTCTATACATATAAGAACAATCTTAGAGATTGTACGAAGTACACAGACACTCGGCCATCAATAACCCACGCTTTCCACCCCTCGTTCATTCCTACCACCGTCCCGTCCCCGTCTTGAGAGCTTCGAATCCCAGCGCAGATCAGAGCCACATCTCTGTTTTTAATCCCCCCTCCTGTCCACCTCGTCTAGGAAGACACCCAAATCCCAGTCAGTAATGATTGGATTCCGAGAGCTTCGAGTTGGTCTACGAATTTTCTTCCTCCTCTGAACCCATCTCTGCAAGGCCCCCTTTTTCCACCATCCCAGGGATCCCTCACCAACGTCATCAAGGCATATATACGCGAGGCTTAGGTGCTCCATCCAGTTGATCGACCCCCTTTCCAAAACCTTCATCTCATCTTGAAACTCCCCCGCCACAATGGGTTAAGAAAGACTCTAGTCTTGAGATCTGCAGCGGGAGAGTAGAAGGAATAAGAGACAAAAAGAAGTCCACCGATTTCGTCTCCACTCAACAAACTCTGCAAAGGCTTCGTCGGGTCTTCGGTCTCGTCCATGGCCGTTGTCGCTTTATTATTAGTACACATACAGTCTGAGCATGCACGAACTCACCGCATCCTTTAACTATCTTGATGAGTTGGCTTTCCCTCGACAGCTTACACGCGGGAACGATTACAACTTTGGCCGCGCTGTCCGAAACAGTACACTCGCTCGAGCACCGACTTAGATCCTATCTACCTAGGTTGGACATGAAGCTGCCATGACACGAACCTCGTGATATGGGAAATGCTGCCACCCTCCACCTCCTCTCGATCTCCCAAGCAGCCCATACTGTTGAATCATGAATTGTCCAATGTGTCCTACCTTGCGTTGAATAATTGTCCACCGACCACCGCGACCTAATTTGTTCCATGCCTGTGGTGACATACTGCCCCTAGCTCGGTCAAAATACAAAGGTAGTCAAGACGAACAGACGTCGGAAAACACCCCCCCAAACCCCGTACTCCAGTTTCCCCGACCGACGCTAACGTCAGACCTAGGGACGGCGCAAAACCGAGGACGTCCACGCAAGCCACTCTTCCTCCCTCTCCCGGGAATCCGTCAACGGTCTGATCATTGCTAGGCCAGGCCATCGCCGCATTCCCATCGTCCTTCAGGCGCTGGAACGTCATTGACTCATGTCACCACCTCAAGATAGTTGTGGATCGTGAATGGCGAATGAAGAGGATTCAGCGGGCTCTTAACCCGCCTCGGAGCCTCATTTTACTGACTTGCTTTTTGGGACCCTGCCGCCCTTGATTTGTATATATGTACACAGTAGTACACAGTAATCCGTACACTGCCATCATTCGAATCCTATCGAACGCCAGACAGACCTATGCTATGCCATGCCATGCCGATTTGCTTCCATTGCTTCTCTTCGTCGACCTTGACCTCCCTGCTTGTCTCTCAAAAGTCAGAGAGCCCTGCAAACCGCTGGCCGCCGCTTCGCTCCAGTTTTCTTGGGTATTCGTTGGGCTCCGCAACTATCAAATCATCCCTGTTCAAAACCCCTCTGTTTTGAATGACGCGGTGGCACGTGTCCCGAACCTTGTTGTCACTCGTAATATCCTTCGATGCCATGCACAGCTAATCCGAGAACGTGGTTCGTAATATCCCAGCCGCAAGTTGTATAGCCCGCATGAAAGCGGTCTCGGTCGCGGCCATACTCATGTCGTAATAGTCGTCGTGTTGTTCCTTGCTGGTGCGGTTCCAGCCTCCGCAGCTGCTCTAGCCGACTCTAGCCAGGTCGGGCGGAACTTAACCAGGTACTTTGCCGCCAGTGGTCGCGCGTCCTCGTCTGCATAGCCAATCAGTATCACAAGTAATGCAAGTAGGTAGAAAGCACATACACTCTGTCCAGATATCTTGCACCGTATCTAGAGCCAAATCTTTGGCCGGCGGCCGCATCATTACCAAATATAATAGACTCGTCAACGCCAGAGGCACCACCAGCGGATCCCGACACATCAACTTCACGCGTGATAAGATGGCGGGGCTGAGTTCAGGGACCTCACCCAAAAACCGAGTGATGACCTTATCTTGGGCGTTGAGATACTGAGAGAAGCCGTCAATCAACTTCAGAGCCCATTTCTCGTAGTGCAGAGGATGATCTCCCTCCTGTTTCTTCTGCAGCTGGTCGTTGTACCATTCTTCATGTAACCAGGTGATGGCGACATCGATCCGGCGGCGGAAGTCCTCGAGGACGTAGGTATACAAGGACTCTCGAATACTGTCGCCGAGAGACAGGCGGCCAGTGGCCTCATCCTTGATACCATCCTCCAAGCCTGCCGACGAACGACTCGCCAAACGGGTAATAATGGCAATCCAAGATTCTCGGTCATTAGTGCTGGCAGCTAACCGATTGATGCCAGACTTGGACTTTTTCTCAGGATCCTCTAGCGTCTTGACAAACTGGAAAAGCGACATGACAGAGCCTTGACCTGCGCTAAGGGCCAACTCGGGCGTAAGTGCTGGTGGAGGTGGTAGTCTAAACGACCTCAGACCGAGATCACCGTCGTCTGGTTTAGCCATAGGATCACTATCCAGCTTATTGAGAATTTGCTCATTGTCCTCAGCGGCGTAGAAATCTGGCTCGTAATCATCATCATCATCCTCTACACCAAGAGGAGCAGTTTCGGGATCGATTTGTGGTGCAGGCTGGGCGGCCAGCACGTTGAGTCGTCCTCGGATACCCTAGACAAATTTAGCAAAGGTCGCCTTGTATGCTTGACTCGGACCTACCTCGACGGCTTTTGTAAGCAGTTGGGCATCTGTCCGAAGGAGTGTGGTGATGCTAATTCTCGCAGCTAGAGCTGTGGGCAATGTGCCGACATCGAAGGCCTTTAGTCCTTCACTTCCCGTCAGAGTAAAGACGTCGCCTAGACTGTGAGGGCCTGGCGGCAGTGGCGTGATTTGTATCTGCGGTGTCGTCGCGATTTGAGGTGTAATACGCTGGCGCTTAGGATCTATGCCCTCATGTTGCTGCTGTGCTTCAAGAGCTCGTTTCCGGCCGGATTCGTCAAAGATCTCATGTTTCATGCGCATCATTCTTTCCACATGTTGCTGAATTCGTTGAGCCATGGGGTTGTGAGGGTCGCTTTGTCACGACGTTAGTGAGAAAACAAACGAATTTGTGCACATGAGACTAAGGATATACCGTTTGGCCAGATGTATCAAGAGCATTCGAGTAGTTTTCTCCATGGACTTTACCACCACACGAGTTCTTGGAGTCATTGGCGAGTTTGCAAGCTTCATCGGGTTGAAGTTGAGAACGGCATTCAGGATCCTGTTTGCAGTGCCAGGCCGGCTGCGGATCAAAATGGAAAGGCAGTTCAAAGTGGCATCAACGAGCAAAACATCACTATCACCACGGGGCTGTGGTTAGCTGTAATCAGACCTTCCCTGCTCCCACTCGAAATCCTTACCTGCTGTTCTCCTGCAATACGCTCAGTATCCTGTCCAGTAAGCCAGCTCCTTCGGCGTCGAGCGTCCTAGCATCCAACGTCTGGTGATTTGGCGGGATCTTGTCTAGGGATACGTCGAGGGAATCGCCACGCTAGACAACATGTTAGTAACCCACCAAAGCATACTCTTGGGTTCATCGTACTCTCGGTTCGTTGGGATTGGCCGCTGATTGTGCTAGAACAACTCGCTGCGCAAACTTGACACAGCATATCCGCACCATGGATTCGGCCTCGTCCCAAATTCGAAGAATCCTCTGCTTTATCGCGACCACTCGCTCCCATGTAAATGTGTCGTACGAGTTGTTGATGCTACCGATCCAATTAGCCTCCAATCCACACAACGTAGCCAGAGTATGTCTAATAGCACATGCGCACGTACATCCATCGCAGCGCCAAGGGATAGATACTGGCTGCCGTCTGAATAGCGCTTCGCAGGACGTGAGCGTCCTGGTTGGGAGTCTCGACCATCGTCTGTAGAGTGTCCAGCACAAACAACTGCATCGTCTCCTTCTCGCTTCCGGGGAGGGCTGGCGTCGCGAAGGCCTCGGCGAGGAAATCGGCGCCCCATCGGCGGAGTTCGACGCGCCCGGTAGGGCCGACGATGGATAGGATGCTTTTTACGACCGTCGGGTAGTACTTCACATCGCCGAGGACGAGCTTTCTGGCGTCGTCCAGTTGGCGAATCTGGTCGCTCACGGATACCTGCGAGGAGGGAGCCGCCATGATTGCAGCGAGCTTGATGGGTAAAGACGCAACGAACCTGGAAAGTCCCGGGCAGACGAGCAAGAAATGAAAAATGGATGAAAGGTACGTGTGTTGCCGACTATCGAATTTCGGGCAGGTTGAAAGGAAAGTTGGGTATCACGAGGGCAGCAGCTGTCGCGACTTGTCGAAATATGGAGAGCTCAAGCTTTTCCAGAGCACCATTCTTCAACGCGCCGGAAAACACACAGTCGCAATGGTGGAAAGTCGTGCAATTCGTCGAGAAGGATGGTGAAAGCCAGATGGGTGATGAAGCAAGTCCAGGCGATTCGTATCGGCTGCCCGTCGGTGTGATTACCTCGTTTGCCTTGCTCCAAAAGTCTGATGGATTCCCTGCGGTGCAAGAAGAGGCAGCGAGCACCTACCGACGTTGAGGGACTGCGTGACAAGCGACGCGGGTTATGACGGGGCGTGTCGACGGCTGCTGGCTGTTTTGGGTTAGCGCATCGGCTGCCCTCGAGCCTTCCGGGAGCTGTGGAGCCTCACCAGGCATGGAAGGTGCGGTGCCTTCCAGGTCACTTGTAACGCTTGTTCAAAGGTCTACTAAAGTAGGTCCCTGGTGGTGCGTTCTCGATTGTATGATGGAGGAATAGCACCTAATAAAAAAAATCAAATAGCCGCCGTGATGTAATGACCATGGATATATTCCATGCACCTGGAGAAATCAGATGCTCAGTGGATCAATTGGTTGAAGCTCAATATTTTCGAGCTTGCGGTCGCAGGCCAAAAGGCTAGGTAAGGGAAGAAAGAGGCAGGTTCGAAATCAGCTTCCCCTGTGCAGGTACCCATCTACCTTGAGGTATCCGTAAAAATGTCTCTCCCGCAAAGGCAGCGACGCAGTTTCTGACCCCCCCAAAAACAAAGCCGCTTGCAGACGACCCTGCTGAAGCTTATCGGACCAGTCTACGTCACTATCAGTTCTGCCGTACTTTCTCCGTATTATCGATAGGTACCAACCAGCGTCAAGGCAATCAACGCCGGCGCCTGTGGAATTTCATTCGGTTCGACCAGCGTTTGCGACGGGACCGACATTGAATTTCCTAATCCGCGGCGCAAACTACGAATCGTCACCCTCCATCAGGGCTGATCAACCTACCTCACGAAGCCTCGATTACCGGTTCACGAATTACTGTCTCAGCATTCAGTCACCATGGCGATGTGCGTCCATCCGTTCTCCCGTTCATCGCCCGCCGGATGAGCAGTGGTCTGACAAGCAGGAATACTCTACAGCCCCCAAAAGTCCTCCTACTACGATCGCAACCTCCGTCAAGGGCCCGCCCTCATCAGAGCCCGCAAGCCCTACCTCACCAAGAACCTCGCTGTTGGCACTGGACTGTGGTGCTTCGTCGGCGCAGTGTGTATGTGGCGAACCTCTCCCATGGCTCCTCTTGTTACCGAATCGTGGATCCTGGGAGTCAACTAATTACTTCTAAAACATAGATTGGTATACGATTAAAGCGGTCGGTCAAGATGAGTTTGAAGACGTCAAGGTCCCCGATGCTCCGAGGCAGCCAGCAAAGTCCAACTAGGCTGGTAGAGTAGGGCGGAGGAATTATGTGGTGTACGAGTCCAGCGCAAGATCCAGACCCCGACAAGTAAGGTGCGGGAGTAGCTCAGTTTGCATGGGAGCATATGCATTGTAAAATATATATCTGCGAGTCTCATCTCGCTCTTTACGCCGGTTGCATCAGTATCAAATAACAAATCCTCTGTCAATAATTCTGCACATGTCTCATTACAGGATTAGACCCGTCCATTCAATGCAAATGCAGCTCCATGATCCTGCCCGGACCTCCCATGTTGTAGACACCATAAGTCATGCCCACCTCTATGGAAGCGCAAAAATGAACATGCCTGTCGCGTGACCGCGTCGGTGCGAGCGTAACTAGTTAAAGGAAAGAAAAAGGGGCAAGCTGCCCAAGCCGTCGTGGGTATCATAACAGAGCAGTAAGCCTCGAAAACGCCGTCGCCCGTCCATTGATGCCGTCCTAACTTGCCATCGCCGACACCGGTTCTTGTTTAGGAGCCGAAGTCTTCGCAGCTTTTGATGTGCGGCTGCCTGCGCGCTTCATCTGGGCGCTTTGAGTCAAAACGTTGGCTGTTCTTACCATTTCGGGAGAGGCAGAAATAAATCTGTTCATCTGTGGCGACGTTTGCGGTGCAATATGTCCGTTTGTCACGGCTGGTATCGGTTGAGTACTGGACGGGCCTGCAGCTGCTTTTCCTCCTTGCATTGGACTGCTCAACCGAGCAACGGCTGCTGCAGGTCCTGTGCTAATTTTGTGTGCAATGTGGTTCGGGTTAGCCCAAGGCGTATCTTTGATGAATTGTTCGCCGGCGGGGCCGAGGTTGGATCCGTAGGCGACTGCTTGATAATCCTCAATGGGCTGCATTATTGAGCGTTGACGAGGCTTAGTGTTGCGCTGGCGAGAGTCAGTGACGTGTTTTCGACTGCCGAAACCATCCGAATCACTGACCTTCATTTGCTCCAGGTCGTCTTCGATCTCTGAGCCGCTCGCGCCCCTCATGGCCGGCACCGCGGGGAAGCCCTCGTGCTTGGCGAGACCGGCCAAAAACGAGACCTCTGAGTTGTACGCCACGGCGTTCCTTGTGCGCTGCGCAGGGTTCGTCGGGAACAGGAGGCCGTAGTCCGGAATACTGTGTGCGCTCCGCCTAGCATTCTGGGTCTCGTACCACTCCTTGTTGAGGTCTTCAAGCATCTTTGAGCGTTGTTCTCGAGAGCCCTGGTAGAACTGGTTCCAAATTTGGGCTCGGCGCGCCACTGCCAGTCTCTCCAGTGCCTCAACCGAGAGCTCGTATTCCTTTTCAATATTTCGAAGCTTCTTTTCGAGCCTTTCATCTAGACATTGCTTCATATTTAGGTACTCGGGATGTGTCGGCGGCTCGGCTTGCAGTGATTGTTCTTCATGCTCGAGGCGCTCGAGGCGATCCTTGTACAAGCTGTGAAGATGTCATTAGTTGCTGAGGAAGCTGATGCCCTTAGGGAAGACTCACCGCTCGCGAAAGACGACAAATTTCTCCTCTAGATCGGTCCATTCCTCTACCGCTGCACGTTTTCTCTCGACTGTTGCATTTCGTCAGCAAGTTTCGGAAGATATGTAGATCGCGAGTCACCTACATTCTTCGTCGTTTCTTGTCGCCTCCGCCTCGTCGTCGCCTTCGTGGTCAGCTTGGTCATCGCCATGAGGCCCCGAGTCGTCGTCGCCGCGGGTTTCATCTCGAGCGTCGCCATCGTGCCCTTCGTCCTCGTGGGCCTCAGCAGTGTGGCCTTTCTTTCTACTGCCATTGCGGGTAACCTTTTTTGTTATTTGTGAGTCCTTGATCGGGCTGTGACCATCGCGCGCAGGGCCGCGCTTGCTATGAGGGAGTTCCAAAACACTGTCCTCAGTCGCAGAGTGATCACCAGTATGCGAATTTGTAGACGGGACCTCGTCGTCGTGCATCTCTACGTCATTCTTGTGCTGGTCCAGATCCTGGGGCACGACCGAGCCGGTGCGCTTCCTGGCGGGCTGGCCTGGCTCGGAAGATTCCGCGACCGGCGACCGCTTCCTTTTCCTACTCTCGGTATTCTCAGGGTCATCCTCGGTGGATGGGAGCTCAGTAGACTTCTTGGGCTTGCTGGGCGAGCCCAAGTCACCGTGACTGGAGGTCATTGACACGTCGTCGCGATCGGAAAGACTGTCTTCGTCGCCATCGTCGTGGGCGTCAACCGAAAACGTCTTTTGAAGCTTGCTAGGGGTCCGCTCGTAGACCTGGCCGTCGTTGAACTGATTGACAACAACGTCCTTGTGGCGCTGTGCCTGCGGGGTGTCGTAGAGACGCTCAGTCTCCGCTTCGGTATCATTGGCCTCGGACAGATTGCTGTCAGAGTCGAGCGCCTCGTCATGGTCTGGCCGAGTATGGTCGATCTGGATCCCATCGAGAGATTCACCGCCGTCCTTGTCCTCAACGTCGCTGAGCGGGCTAGAGATGTTGCTATCGTCATGATCGAGCGTCGCCTGCCCTGGGGAGAGGGCAGGCGGCGCGGACGCCGTAGCTGCCATTGAGAAAATGAGTTGATACCGTGCGGCGGGGTATCAAATCGGGTGGTTTGGAGGTTGGTTGCGTCGTGGAGCAGTGCAATTCGGGTAGACGAGTTTTCGTTGGAACGAAGACGGGGCGCGGAGGAACAAGCAGCAGCGACAGCGGCGGCTTGGAAGAGAGGGCTGGCCGCTGTGAAGAGGGAAGCAAATGCGTGCCAAAATCAAGGTTTGAGAAAATGCAGTTCGAGAGACGCATCAACGCGTGTGACTGTCTGGTCCCGAATGCAGACGTGGGCGAGCGCAAGTGGTGGTGTTGTGGTGGGTTTTCGGAGAAGAGAGAGAAGCGTTAGTGACCTGCCGCTCCATGAGAGATGCGCTCACCTGCTCCCTCTCTCTGTGCCTTGCCCGGCCCCCCCAGCGGAACTAGCATCGGTCGGCAGAACCAAGTCTTAGCCATGAGCGAAAGCGGTGAGAGCTGGCACAACAGCGGGCACGGGGCACTTGTTCTCGGCAAATAGCGGTCTTCTGACGTTTTACACCAATCGAGGGTTGTTCCGCTTCTTATCGGCGCACTGAACCTCCGAAATATCTTATCGGATTGCAGCGCAGACCAGGTGGTGCAGAGAGCTTGATATTTTTTTCTTGTCGCGGCAGCGATCTGGGGGATCAGTGCATCTACGGCAGATCCGTTGCAGAATATAGATACTCAACAAAACAAACCTTTCACTTGTCGCAACAATGGCAAAAGGGTGCGTCCACTGCCAATGCCTTGGGAAAATCGTAAAGACTAATTATCGTAAAAATAGGTCAAAACTCGCAGCCTCGAGCAAGGCCATTGACCCCAACCTCGATGCCCTCTTCGCATCCAGTGTAAGTCGTTTGCGAGTTAGTCGACCAATCAGGCCAAGAAAATTCTGACCAAATTCAGGCAGGACCTGTGAAGGCTCCCGAAAAGTCCAGGTATTCTGAACTGCCTCCAACAAAGGTACAGCCCGCGCCTGGGGCTTCCGACGACGATGAAGAGCTCCCCGATGCCGATGACGAAGAGTTGTCCGAGCTTGGTAGCGACGAGGAGATTGACCTCGAAGATATCGCTGAAGAAGAATCATCGCCTGCATCAAAAGATGGCGAGGAGGAAGAGGAAGTGTCAGAACAAGTCGCGAAGCCAAAGAAGGAGCGCAAGCGCAAGAGGGTAGAGGACGATATCGAGGGCAAATATCTGAGCAAGCTTGCCGAGGCTGAGGAGAAGGAGAAGCCGGCCGAGAAGCGCACTAAGAAGGAGAGCAGAGATGCGAAAGAGGGAGAGGAGGCTGCCTCAGAAACATCATCCGAGGGCGAGGGCGAGGGCGAGGAGGAAGAGGACTCTGATGAAGATGCTGTTCCCGTGCATGAATCCGTCTCGGTCGACAGCAAGGCCAAGACGAAGGACACGGAGCTCGAAAAGGCGAACCGCACAGTCTTCCTCTCCAACGTTGCCTCCGAAGCGATCGACAACAAGGCCGCCAAGCGCACCCTTGAAGCCCATCTCTCCAGCGTCCTCGACAAGGACGCCAAGCCCCCGCAAAAGATCGAGTCCATCCGCTTCCGCTCCATCGCCTTCTCAGGCGGCGCCCTCCCCAAACGCGCGGCCTACATCACAAAGTCGCTCATGAACGAGACGACAAAGTCCGCCAACGCCTACGTCGTCTTCTCCACGCCCGCCGCCGCGCGCAAGGTCTGCGCCGAGCTCAACGGCACCATTGTCCTCGACCGCCACCTGCGCGTCGACAGCGTCGCCCACCCAGCGCTGACGGACCACCGCCGCTGTGTCTTTGTCGGCAACCTTGGCTTCATCGACGACGAGACCATCCTCGCCACCAACGAGGAGGGCGAGACGGTACAGAAGAAGCGCACCAAGGTGCCCGCCGACATTGAGGAGGGCCTCTGGAGGACGTTTGGCAAGCATGCCGGCAAGGTCGAAAACGTGCGCGTTGTTCGCGATCCCAAGACAAGAGTGGGCAAGGGCTTCGCCTACGTCCAATTCTATGTAAGCACTTCATGTACAACTAAATCCTCGAGTGAAAGAAACACGCTAACATACCACAGGATGGCAACCACGTAGAATCGGCCCTCCTCCTAGACGGCAAGAAATACCCTCCCATGCTCCCCCGCATCATGCGCGTTACCCGCGCCAAGGCCCCTCACAAGACCGCCCTCGCCATGGAGCGCACTATCAAGGCCAGAGCCGCCCAGGCAGGTGCCTCTGGCGCCCCCGGCAGCACAAAGTACAAGGCCAAGATCACCCCGGAGCAGCAATCCCTGGCCGGCCGCGCCGGCCGTCTTCTGGGCCGTTCCGGAGCCCGTCGCGAGCGCGGAGGGGGGGACAACAGGAAGCCGCGCCCGGCCAACGGCTCCGGCGCCATCCCGAAGGAAGAGATGAAGGCGCCCGAAGACTTCATCTTCGAGGGTCGTCGTGCCAGTGCCAAGGACGGCAGGCCTAAGGATCTCAAGTTTGGAAAGCGGAATAAGGCCAAGGGCGGCGTCAAGAAGACGAAGCCCACGGGCCGTGGCGCCAAGAGGGCCGCGGAGTGGAAGAAGAAGCAAAAATGAAGCTAGAGTGCAGGGGAGAAGTTTCATCTTGGGCCCGTTGTCCCGCTTGCATTAAGGTTGTTGCGTGGAATACCAAAAGTAGACGGATAGAAGCGTCGGGAAAAGGCGTCCAAAAATAATGAGCATTTCACAAAGTACATTGAGTTTCTTTCTCTTTGTAGGTATGTAGATCGTCTCTCGATTCCCACACATTTTCAGTGACACGCTGTCAATAAGAGCCTGTGTCTGCGATATCCCATGCAGTCACAGCATTGCATCATGTCATACGAAGTAAGTTGAAGAATACGTCCATTTACAAGTGACTACTTTCAATCCCTCAAGAGGCTCTCGTCAGACAAGTCAGGAGGTACCACGTATATACTCGTGAAAGAAGGAAGTGACTTGGTCTCATCTATTATCAACTCAAGCTTGACGCCGAAATATCCATTCGTGGGCTATGGGGTAGTCCAGTGCCTTGCGCGTCCATGTCCGTCCGGCGAGAACGGCAACACAAACCTACCGAACCGACACTCCGACGGCCGCCAAAGGAACAAACTTTTTCATGCAATTCGTTTTGCCCAAGGCCGCCGGGTTCGTCATTGTTCGTTGCAGCAACCGATATACCGCGAAACAAAAAAACGGGACGGTCTCCGACGTCGGTTTAGTACTCGGCATCGTCCTCATCAGCCTCGTACGAGTCGGCAGCAACCTCCTCGTAATCCTTCTCAAGCGCAGCAAGATCCTCACGGGCCTCACTGAACTCACCCTCCTCCATACCCTCACCGACGTACCAGTGGACGAAGGCGCGCTTGCTGTACATGAGGTCGAACTTGTGGTCGAGTCTCGACCAGGCCTCGGCGATGGCAGTGGTGTTGGACAGCATAGAGACGGAGCGGTCGACGGAGGCGAGACCACCATCGCCGGCGGCGGCGGGAACAGCCATGGGCTTTTGGTAGTTGATTCCGAGCTTGAAACCAGTGGGGCACCACTCGACCAGGTTGAAGGAGGACTTGGCCTTGAGGGCAGCGATGGCGGCGTTGCAGTCGCGGGGAACGACGTCACCACGATAGAGGAGGGCGACAGCCATGTACTTGCCGTTGCGGGGATCGCAGACGACCATCTGGTTGTTGGGCTCGAAGCCTGTGATTGATTAGCATCTGTTGGCTTGTATAAACTGACACATGGTTCAAGCATACACTGGAAGGTGAGCTCCTGAACCTTGAAGCTCTCGTGTGAGCTCTTATTGGCCGAAATGACAGGAGCGTAGCTGATCAAGGGGTAGTGGATACGGGGGTAGGGGACCAAGTTAGTCTGGAACTCGTTGAGATCGACGTTGAGGGCACCATCGAAACGGAGGGACGAGGTGATGGAGCTGACAACCTGGGCGATCAGGCGGTTGAGATGCTCGTAACCGGGACGGGGAATGTCGAGGTTGCGGCGGCAGATGTCATAGACAGCCTCGTTATCGACGAGGAAGGTGCAGTCCGAGTTCTCAATGGTGCTGTGGGTAGACAGAACGGCGTTGTAGGGCTCAACGACGGCAGTCGAGACACGGGGGGCGGGGTAGACGGCGAACTCAAGCTTCGACTTCTTGCCGTACTCGGTGGAGAGGCGCTCAAGGAGGAGGGCACCGAAACCAGAGCCAGTACCACCGCCGAAGGAGTGGAAGATCAGGAAGCCCTGGAGGGAGTGGCAGTTGTCTATAAGGGAATTGGTCAGTTTCAACGTGCGTCTGCGGATCGAAAGGCGGCTAACGGGGACTAACCAGCAACGCGGCGAACGCGATCAATGACATTGTCGACCATCTCCTTGCCGATGGTGTAGTGACCACGAGCATAGTTGTTGGCAGCATCCTCCTTGCCGCTGATCAACAGCTCAGGGTGAAAGAGCTGACGATAGCCGCCGGTTCGGATCTCGTCAATGGGGGAGGGGTCGAGGTCGACGAAGAGGGAGCGAGGAACGTATTTGCCTCCGCTCGTCTCGGTGAAGAAGGTCTCGTAGGAACCGCCGTCAACGACATCCTTGGCGCTGGGGTCAGGACGACCATCGGAGCCGAGGCCGTGCTCGAGGAGGTAGCTGCGCGTTGGGCGGTCAGTTCCATCGGATTTCTCGATCGAATCAGGAGTACATGGGATGGCGGTCAACGTACAGCTCCCAAGCAGAGTTACCCAGCTGGGTACCGGCCTGACCGAGATGAAGGTGAAGAATCTGGAGGCATCGCCGTCAGTATTGGGGCCGCACACCGAGGTCAAGGTTGATGGGACAGCTAGGTAGGCTAGATTTCAGGGGTCGCCTCAGTAAGGGAAAATGGGGGAGCAGCAAGTAGCCAGCCCACGATCCGTTGGAGCTGTGATATGGAGGATTGGAGTAGAGATGAGAAAAGAAAAAGAAAACGACCTTGACTTACCTCGCCCTTCATTGTGTAATGTGGCTCAACGGAACTTGGGAATAGCTGCGACGCAAAGTGGAAGGGGGAAGGGTAATATTTTCACGCGCGCAGCGCAGAGTTGAGGTTCGGAAGAGCTAGGGGGAAGGAAGGTGTTGGTGATGGTTTTCAGAGGTTTGGAGTAAGGTTGAGGGTCACTTGTTGTGGGCAAGGCGGGGCACAGTCAACAAGGCCGACCAGTGGCGCGATAGGCTTAAGGCAAAGGGTATTCCCCCCCTTCTATACTGGGCTTAGCGCCTGCCTTCCACTGCTAGCTTTACATGCGTTGGTGTGCTGGGTCTCCAGTACCAAGATGATTGCGGGGGTGCTTTGAACCAATCAAGTACCGGTGACACTCTCACCGCTACATGGCCCAAGCGTTTTTCCTATTTGTCTATTGGACGACGTTCAGGGGTGCATGAAGATACCCGCACTCTGCCACCTGCCATCACCAGTCTTTCACACTGCAGCAGGTGCGATATACGGCAGGATATCAAGCCCAGAGATGTTCTTTTCTTCTTCACCTGGCTATCAAGGCAGAAACAAATGGCTTTCAGGCTACATTTGGATTCGGGATGTTCACCGCCCACCCATCAGCTGCCAAACGTTCTCTTCTTTTGTGGACTTTCATGGTCTGTGCGGGGAATCCGGGGTCCAAGGCATTGACTTTTAGGAACAGCAGGCGTAGATCTTGCCAGATTAGTATCCGTTGTGCCTTGATGGAGAGAAGCTCCGGGGGGCACTTTCCTTCAACAACTTCAAGACTCCAGCACTAGCTTGTAAATTGGCACTTATTCTCCAGTCTAACGGGCTCATTTGTCTTGACGTCATTTCAGAGCACATTCTCGTAGTCGGGGACATCCGAGTGATCTTCAGAGGGGCCGAGTCAAATCCGGCCCCACTCTCCGCTTCCGTTTGTCGTCCGACGTCAACGACTTCTCCTTGTCTAAACAACACGGCGCATCAAAGGACTAAAGCTTGAGGAAAATCATCTTTTGGCAAAGGAAGGCCAATAACGGAATCAGGGCTCGAAGAATTTGACACGCCTGGTCATGAACAGTTAATTCCCCAAGTTGCAGACTCTACGGTAGATACTAGCCTCAAGCTAGGGCAGGCATTTGTCGACAGTATTACCTCATGGCTCATGGGTTAGGTGTGAACACAGCCTGAAAGTACCTAGCTAAAATCGGACGTAAAGAATCCAATTGTACTATGCTCCCCAGACTATGAACGTGTTGCGGATCGCCTACTATATATGAGCTCTTTGCTTCCACTCCCAAAGGCAAAACGACGAGAAATATACAAAGGGTTTGCCATCTCTTTCTCTGACAACTCCACATCGCAAACTTTATAAGACCAAGGTATTTTATGGGGTTTATTTTCCCCATCTTGTACACTACCTTATGTCAGCTTGGCCCCGGCGGTCAAAGCCAATCCTAAGTCCTTTTTTTTTTTTCTTGAGAACATCTTCAAATTCGACCCTCACTGCAGGCGGAGCATGATTGACAAGGAGGGGAGATGTGGCGCAAATTCCGACGCCTACCAAGGTCGCCCGCATGTCTTCTATCAGTACGTCGAAGTCAGCCTAAGCTGTGGATCCCAGCGATACCAGGGATCGATGAGAAATTTCAAGTGACTCCTGCTCTTACTTACGACCTTGGTACCGCCTCTCTGGTATCTTGATGTGGGCACCACAGAAACTACAAGCCCAGCGCCCTATATACGTGGTTACCTCCATGAGGTCCATTCTGCCCAAAAGTAGTACCAGAATCAATCCAGCTGGATGGAGCCTAACCCCATTTGCTTCGGCCGAAGCTCAAATGCATGCGTTGAGACTGGTGCTCAGACTATTCATTACCCGGTTAACACCCAGTACTTGGTCTATTGGTTACGCGGCAAATCGAAATTATGTCACTTTGCTCGAATGGTGGATGTGCTCTAACCTCCCTCAAACGTCTTAGTCCGATGAAGGAATGGGAGCACTCCTCCTGCCTCATATCTCGGCTGAAAGAGTGGAAGAAACCGAAGGCCGCCAGTGCTAGATGCCGCTGAAAGACCTCTGAATCAACCGAGCTACTTCATCGTGTGCTACATACCTTGGCTCCATGGAGATGTCACGTAAATGAGCAAAAAACAACGAATGATAGAGCCGATAATGGCTTGATATTTTCAACCCAATGACTGCTGTCAAATTGATGAGACGAAACTGATCCTCGGAAGAAACTGGGTTAGCGAGCCGAGTTTGAAGAGGGAGAGGGGAGGAAGAAACGTCCTACTGCTTTTCTTGAATCGCAATGATGGTAGATCAAAGAATCTATTCAACACGATATTTACTCTCTGGCAGGAGTAAGACTACGTTGCAATGTACCTTATTGTTAATTTGAATCACTTTAGAACCTGTTACATGGGCCGCAGATGATCTCTAAATGCGATGCAAGGGAAGTCTAAGCTGGAGTACCCTTTCGAAAATATTTCTGCCCAAATACAACTCTTCCGTCTCCAAAGCCTCACATGCCGTGATCCCGTGTCCCCCTCATTCGATGTTGTGATCCCCCTCTCGTGAATGCATGCGACTCTAACCACCTAATCAAATGCTAGCAAAACGGCCACCAAACGCCGGCCAGCGGGACCGACGCAGTCTGACACTTTATAGTCGAGCGAATAGTGTATAGGATATTTCCATCACATCTCAGAGCTTTCAAAGAAATCACTGGAGATCGACAGATCGTGAGCCTCCATAGGAAACTACGGTGCGACGTTGTGCTGACGTCTCCATAAAAGGTGATAACCAAGTCTGAAGTGGACTGTGGAGAGTGGAAATCATACAAAAGGAGCCCTCTGTGTGCTTTTCGGGGACCGCAAACTCTCTGTTGTTGAAGTAGAAATCCTGACGAGGACGAAGACCAATATTCAGTGACAGCAAAACAAGTTCCCGCGATGCCTACTTTGAATCTCACGTTCCTCGAGGCATCGCTCTCCAATGAGCCTCGCTAGGTCTATCCATCTTGGCCCTCTATTATACAACCGCAGCATTCATCGCATGGTACCGCCTCCGCCACATCCCAGGACCGATCCTTGCCTCCTTCTCCTACCTCCATCTCTTTTACATCGCCCGCAGCGCCTGCAAGGAAGAATTCTACCGCACCCTAAACACCCGCTACGCCAGCCGCCTCATCCGTGTGGGCCCCAACGAGCTCCTCACCGACGACCCGGATGTCCTGCGCCGCATCAACGCCGCGCGCGGCGACTACGGAAAGGACCCTTGGTACTTTTCCAGCCGCTTCAACCCGTACCAGGAAACCATGTTCACCACGCTCGACAAGGGGCTCCACGATAGGATGAAGTCCAAGACCGCCGCCGCGTACGCGGGCCGCGAGGTGGATTTGCTGGAGCCCAGTGTCGATGAGCAGATTATTAAACTGGTGAAGCTCTTGAGGGAACGGTATGAGGATGCGGCAAGGTTGGTGGACATGGGGCTGTTGCCGGCGTATCTGATCATGGACGTTATTACGACGGCGGCGTTTGGAAAGCCGTTTGGGCATCTCGAGGCTGACGCCGATGTATTTGGGTTCATTGAGCAGATGATGGACAATTGGCCGGTCATCGCCGTCACGTTGGACACCCCGTAGATTCGCACCATCCGGTTTCCAAAGTTGTTTTTGAGATGGCTTGGCCCGCGAACGACGGACAAGATTGGGCTCGGGCAGATGATGGGGTAAGTCTCATGTACCGTGGAAGCAGTGATCTTTGAAGAATTCTGACTTTGAGTCTCAGTATTGCCGAGAAATACGTCGGAGAGAGATTCAAGTCCACCTCGAAGCCTCAAAAGGACATGCTGGTATGTTCAAATTAACGGCATAATTTCCGTGAGAAATTGTTGCTAATGTGTTTGACTAGGGTTCGTGGATCAAGAACGGCATGACGCAGGAAAAATGCGAGGCGGAAGGCCTCTTTGCTCTTATCGCTGGCTCTGACACCACTGCCTCTGTGATTCGCATCACCATGCTGCATCTCATGTGCAACCCCAGAGTCTACTACAAATTCAAAGGTGTTATTGGCGACGCTATCGACTCTGGAGTCTCGACCCCAATCACCTTTGACCAAGGAAGCAAGATTCCATTCTTACGGGTGAGTATCAAACCCCACCCTGAGATGGTGTGTAGACGAACTGAGATTGTAAGGCATAGATCTATGAGGGGATCCGCATCTGCGCACCAGCGACGGGACTATACCCCAAATCGGCTGCTCCACAAGGCGATATCATTGACGGCAAGTTCATACCCGGCGGCACCGCGATCGGCATGAACGTGCCTGGGTTGCTCAAATCGCGCGCGTTATTCGGCCAAGACGCAGACCTCTTCCGGCCCGAGCGCTTCTTGGAAGTCGACGACGCGGCCCGGGCCAACATGGAGCGCGAGGTCGAGATGGCGTTCGGCTACGGGCGGTACATGTGTGCCGGCAAACCGGTTGCGTTCATGGAGTTGTACAAGGCTTTATTTGAGGTAATGTCACCAACTACTAGGCGCTGTATTTGTGGGATTTGGATGCTAATGTCAGGACAGCTGATGCGCAACTTTGACTTTGAGCTTGCGGATCCGGTCAGACCGTGGGACTCTTACAGCTATAACATCTTTGTCGAGGAGAACACGTGGACCAAGGTGACGACTCCGGATATCAGCCAAGAGCCCAAGACTCCTTGAAGAAATAGATTTACCAAGCAGGAGAGTGTAAGTACTAATTAAGGGTACATATTATGTCAGAAGTGTGATTTGGAAAGGCTGATGAGAGTTCATTGATGCCGGCTTTCGAATGGTCCGAGCATAAGCTGGGACTTGCAATGCAGCACGTGAGTACTACAGGTCCGAGGTAGACGAGAGCCTCGTAAGCTCTAGACGTGTTCCAGAAGTTGTTGGCTCTAGCCATTATAGAGATAAAGATAAAGCATCAACAGTTCCGACGAGATATTCCGGCAACTCAACTCTCGTTGGGCACCGGGTATCGTCCGGGATTGCGTCCGGGGATGAGGACTCGCCGTCAGCAGCGAATCAAAAAGCGCACAACTGGGTGCCATTGACCTAATTGGGCAACACGCGCATTTCAAGCCCAGGTTCCATCCGGGAACGTCGGATCTCGACCATCCTTTTTCGAGAAGAGCCTCAAACCACCTCCCATCTAGGTAATCATCCAATTTGACACACCTACCACTTGACCAAGATAGGTGCTAGCATTGATGACGAGCATAATTTAATGGCATGGATCGTCAAAAAGGCACATTAAGGTTCTGACAGAGCGCCCACTCCCGTGTACCGCGCACGTTATGCTGCAGGTCTCGCGTTGCTCGACCAAATCGCTTATGCGGGCTGGCAGAGTGAAGCTGGAAGGACCTGAAACAAATTAGCGCTCATGTAATCCATAAGCGAGGCTCGCGGGAAGCTTCCCGATGATTCCAGTCGGGAGCAAAGGTGAACCACTCGGGACCGCGCAACGCCGGTGCACCCCACGTTTGGTTTCGGGTCGGACCGGATGAAAGCCCACGTGCCGGACGGTAGCTTTTGGCCCCGCCCTCTCCTCTCGCAACGCGGCCTTCGATTTGGAGCACCTAGCACCAGTACCGGGATTTCTGAACGGCACCACCTTCACTGTCGTCTACTCATCAAATGCCCCGCGCAGCTCGGGTAGAATACGAATAAGAGTATCCGGAACCTTGAGTTGGCCCGAATGTATTTCCGCGGTTGTAGGGTGGTTGGCAGGTCAAGGGGCTCTTGTCGAAAATCTGATTTCCTTCGCGAACTTCGTGAACCTAGTGGACGTCGGCTGCTGCTCATTCCGCCTCTGCTGAGTTCAGACTGACCTCGGTGCTACAGAATGGCATTCTGGCGCAAGGACCGGCGAGGGGGGGAAGCTCTGGGACTCCATGGGAAAAGCGTTTAGCGCATTGATCAGCTCGAATTTCAGATGCAACGGGCAAGGAGCTCGTCTTGACGAGGACGAGGGATTCGGCATAAAAAACCTCTCAGCTCCCCCCCTCTTCAGCGTTTCGCCTTGGAAAACAAGCTTCTCTCTCCAACAGCACCTAAAATCATCGTCTCTGTCGTTCCGAGAGTCGTAGTGCGCCGACTTCACGATAGCAGTCGTTCGACGCGGCAGCTACCGAAACAAGACGGAAGGAGCCGTGGCGGTGGATCTTGATCAACATGGTGCTGGAAACATGGACGGCGAAGATCGCCTTCGGCTTGTTGGCAGCATTGCTGGCATATCTTTGGAAAATCAATCGCGCCATGTCGACGATCCATCCTGAGGCTCTGCGGGTGTCGCCGGATCGATGGACGCCAGAGAAAGTCAGGCACACCTTTGAGCGCATGGAGAAACAGCCTATTGACTGGACGCCACACTTGCCGCCGAAACTGGATCGGCGATACGTTATTGTTGGAGGCTCTGGCAAGTATCCCGCGTAGTATTGTCACTCACCGCCGCTGACTCTGGTACGATGTAGGCCTCGTTGGAGGACAGCTGGCCATTCAGCTCATTGCGCGTGGTCACCCTCCCGAGGCAATTCGAATCATTGATTCCCGTAACCCTGGCCGTGACGACATGAGCGAGGGACCGATATCCAAAGTTGATTTTGCTCAAGCCGATATTTCATCCGAGTCGGCAACCTCTGCAGCATTTGACAAACCGTGGCCCCAGTCAGTGGCCCATCTCCCGTTGACCGTATTTCATACCGCCGCCGTTATCCGTCCTTCGGAGCGTAGTAAGCTGGTCTACGACCGTTGCTCCCTCGTCAACACCACAGGGACCGTCCATGTGCTTGCCGCAGCCAAGGCTGCAGGGGCAGACGTTTTTGTGTTTACTTCTTCTTGCAGTGTGGCGTTGAAACCCGCCAAATTCTTCAATGCTCCGTGGAGGCGGTGGCCGACAAATGGTTTCCAAGTCCTCGATGAAGAGGACTTTCAGAAGCCGCTTCGTCCTCACGAAGAGTTCTTCGCCAACTACGCCAGAAGCAAGGCTGAAGCCGAGCGGCTCGTCTGCAGCGCGAACAACGTGCCACAACATCCCACGCAGGCAGGGGGCTTCCGCACTGGAGCCATCAGGCCAGGGAATTCCGTATACGGCCACAAGGACGATTACCTAGTTGGGACGACAGTACGCCTGGCCAGTTTCCCTACCTTTACTGCGCTATATATGCAGAATTGGGTCCATGGAGGCAACGTAGCTCTGGCACATCTCCAATACGAGGCAGCCCTGCTTGGCCCTCACGCACACAAAGTAGCTGGCCGACCATTTCTTGTCACAGATGGAGGGCCGCCTCCAGTGTTTAAGGACTTTTACATGCTTGTCCAGTCGGTCAGCGTGACACCCTTTCACGTGCAGTATCCGCCGCCACTGCTCTTGCTACTCTTGGCCTACTGTATAGAGGCTTACTGCTTGTTGCTTGTGCGTGTGCCAGCGTTGCAGAAGATCTTCTCGGAACCCGGTTTGCCATTGTACATGCTGCAACCCGCTTCTGTGGCTGGTGCCATCAACGCTATTATCAACGATGCTGACGCTCGTCGACGACCGGAAGACGGTGGTTTAGGATATCAGGCGAAGTGCACAACCATGGAAGGACTATGCATGCGCTTGGGCGCGTGGAATCGATGGGTCAGGAGCGGAGGCGAGAAAGTCAGGAGCGAGAAGGGCATCTTCAAGGACGTGCTCGAAGTCGGAGCAGAGCCTATTGTGAGGACAGCATGATGTTTCGCTGTAGAAGCTCGTGAACCCCCATTTTGTTACATGGCAAACTGCTTGGGGTGACCGTTCGTGCAAGCTTGGGCGACATATTTCGTCGAGTGAAAGGTGCAAATCTCGCGGGCATCGCTTATATAAAAAGGTTGTAGCTCTTCTCTCGGAACCATGCCGCTTCCCGTCGTTTGTATTGACTTGGCAGTGTCTTGCTCCAAGCTTCGGATATCGACCATGCAAGCGCCACAGTCTTGTTCGCAGGATGACAGGTGACGTCTTGACGCGGCACGGAGATCCGAACCTGGATCCTCGTCCGGCCCCCACAACCCCGGCCTGCCAAGTTGGCGGCGCTAGGGAGCGGCTGCATGGCGCTCTGAAGTTCACTTCTTAGGCTGTCGGTGATGGGAGTTTTCTCGCGTTCCCATGTAGAGGATTGATCTCGCATTCCCCATTCAGTTTGTGATAAACCTTGACACACGCCAGGGGAAGCCTCCCACATCAACCCATTGACTTTCTGGAACGGGCCCCTGTGCCGAGAGAGCTCAACAAGTTAAGCCACTCAACAGAAGCCGGAGCCCAAGACCAAAAGCTGGTGGCAAGGTCCTGGCTGGGTCGTGCGTTCGTAAGCTTGGTGGCGGGGTCGTGCCGGCGGGTACAGATAACCGGAGTTCGTATCGGCAGCCTCGTGCAGGTCTAGGGCAACTTTGTGAAGAGTATCTGGCAACGCCGCATAGAAAGGCACACACTTGGTTTGCGGGTGGCTGGCGAAGAGGGTGTGATGGGAAGGATGCAGATGGAAGAGGCGGAGAATCTGCATGGCCGAACAGCCGCTGTAGAGGGTCCCGATGTAAGTGACGGCCGGCTGGTCAAAGCCGGTGCGACACACGCAGAATGTTTGCAGTTGGCTGGAAATCAACGTGAAGCTGCCTTGAGTGAATCACTGTGGTACTCTGTACCCGAATAGAGGACCGTTTCTGTTGACCAGCCGTCGCATGCCGGAAACTTGAACAGGTAGAAAGCGGGTGACCGTTGTCGTGAGTGACCAAGCTGGAAGTTCTGCATTCGATAGCAAGCTTTGCTTCAGGCAGTTTAGGACCAGCCCCTCCCGCATACCCCAGCACCCCAGTTGCCTGGTGCAGATGGCTAGCGTAGGTGGCTAGTGTCGCTGTCGATGACGATCACTAAAAAGCTGGGCATGCAATTGACTGTGATGATTGGACGGCAAGCTCGTGGTAGCTCGGCGCCCAAGAACGTGGGAGGCGTGCGGCGTGCGGCGTGCCACAGGTGCCAGGTGGTATTTTGGGCTGGTAAACTAAGAGCGTGCATAGACTGGCCGCTTTGCCGATTTGAGAGACTTATTGTCTTCGTACCAGCCCAAATTCAACTATGGAGTTAGGAGGCGGCCTCTTCGCGCCGCAATTGTTGGCCAGCGTCCAACGGCGTCGTTGGGGCTTTGGGATTGAACATCCGCACGCGCCGGGCTGCTCCATACGCTACTCCATGTCGAGACCCAGCAGGTACGGATAGGTAGGTACCTTACACAAGCAGGCATTTGTAAGGCCAGCAGGACAGGGTACCGATTATGGGGCCGTGCTCAACCGGACACTAGGGAGATAGGTTGGTGCTGAGATATCGGCACGACCACGGTATCCTCAAGGCTCGGGGTATCTGCTGTATCACGATTAGATGCTCATTACGGATAGTGCTAGCCAGTATGTTTCCAAGGAAAAGGGCGCATGGAAGGCAAGGGGATTCGCAAACAGAAACATAACATGGTACAAGAGTGAGGCAGGGAACCAGTGAGCAGGGCAGTGATCCGGCAACGCCAAGAAGAGGACGACGCGATGCGATGTGAGAAGGGGCGGGTAAAGTCAGGTTCGTTTCGGAAGATGAGACGTCTTGACGGAAGCATTTGGAAGGCGCACTGAGGTGAGATCAGGTCAGCATACTCCGTTCTATTGGGACGGAGGATGGTCTGCACCATGACAGCTGCTTCTTCGGCCGAGTTAGAGGTTCACGGCCTATTAGATTCGCGGTGCGTCTCGTATACACAATACTAGAGAATCACGGAGACGCTGCCGCCAACAGGCCCAAACCTGGCAACGTTGGACGATCGGGGAATGATTGAACCTGAGGCATTAGGTAGTAGTAGATGGCAGTGACGGGGAGATGCCAGAGACCGCGGGCAGACCGCAGACTGGAGGGGGGAATACATAGGGAGTAGAGGCTGCACATGGGACGGCTCCGGAGCAAAGTGCGTTGCGTTGAATTGATTGGCAATAGATACTCTTGCCCCCACACAGCCTGCGAGTCTCCCGGACCACGGCAACAGCCAAGCTGCATTTCAATGGCTAGTGTTCCTGGGGAACTAGTCCCTTTTAGGAATGGCACGGTGTCTGCAGACCGAGGAGCGGAGGAAAGAACATCACTCACTCACTCACTCACAGTCACTCTGCAGTCTGCACCTTAGGGGAGCGGAAGGTGGAGCTGTGTTGGGTAACGTTAGACCGAGATGAAAGCCCGGGCCCTGCCAAATCTGAAAACTGAAGGAGACGCCGGGGCAGGGAAGGGGTTGCGAACATTTCCCCCTCTTTCTCATTTTCCTTCTCTCTGTGTTGTTCTGAGACAGGCACCTCAAGGAATGCGACTGTAATAGCACTTGGCGCTGCGACCATCGCCTGGTCAATGAAATCCCGCGTGCCATGCCCATCCCATCGCGACTGACAGCAGCTGCTCCCAACACTTCTACCTCAGTCAGGGAACCCCTTCTGGTGAACTGCAAGAGTTAAAGGTAGGACGAGGAGAATTCATTCGTTCCCAGCCAATCCTTGAATGCCGTGCGTGGGTGATCACTCAGCCTGACATGGCATCAGCCGCGGTGGCACTGGCAAAGTATCGGGCCATGCCTATATTAACTATGGAATGAAAGCGGAAAGGATGCTACGACGCGGATGAGGCCATCACGAGGGTCGACGATAGTTTCAGTCTCCAAAGTCTGAGGCGACAGGGACCAGGTGGTAGAGACAGGGCTGCCCTATGCCTGCTTAAGTATCTCCCTAAATGAGCATCCACCGCCGCGGCCCTCTACTGTGTACAATTGTCTATGGACGAAGTATGAGATTGATCTGAAGTGTAGCAGAGTTTGCGCTGCGCTGTGGTAGAGGGAAAAAGGAATTAGACCACTTCAGATGTTCTCTAATTATCTGTAGATAGATAGGTACGCGTTCAATTCCCGCCGTGTACAACCCAAGGTAACCTTGTAGCGTTCCTATCTTGATTAAGGCCGTCTGTGGTACGTACCTCCATCCCCGGCCAGTCGGTTGACGACCCGCCCCTGCCGATAACAGCAAAGTCGCGGACTGTCTGTGCGAATTGACTTTGTTGTCGCTTCGACTTCACCGCGAGGAACCCATGATCCAACCCCAACGGCGACCTCGATGGAGTTTTCCTGACGCAGATACGGCGGCTGCACTGGAGGAGGTGCATCTTCCCGGTCGTTTCCCCCCTCCCCCCCACTGTGACCCGACATTTGCAGTGTGTGGACCCCAGCCACACGTCTATCTCTGCAGATACGTACTGTGTACGGATATCTTGCCGGCCTTCCATTCATGTTTGTACATATGGGAACGAGCCAGGGCCGATGACTTGCGCCTGCCTTGTATACTATATTACCTATGTACATGGACCCGACGAGGACGCGCCGATGCACTTGCTGGGTGGACGCGGGCAATAGTGGGACGGTAAGAAGGGAAGGGAAAGCGAGGGCAGGAGCAGAGAGGGAAAAAAAAAACACAAAAAAACCGCGGTCTTGCCGGACAGGTACCGCAATCAAACCATGCATTGCCTGTCTTTCTGATGTTCGCAAGAGGGAAGGTGCGGTTTCTGCTGTTCCACCAGCCACCCTTGCAACTGTCCACTGGCACTCATACTTGGACTCCTCACACCTTTTTTTTTTTCCCGTTCCCCCCATTGAGCTTACCGCTTTCAAGGCAAGTGCGACCACAGAGACTAGCATGGGAAGGAACCACACACCCCGAGGTTCCTGCCGCTCATAGCTGTTGCTGCACTTGTGCCTCATAATAAAACCACATCGTTGCCCGCGCCGCCGCACTTGTTTGGGCCTCACTCCCTCTTTCTTTCCCGCCCACTCTCCGTCAAGCATTACCAGCAAGCACATCAAGGCAAAACATCTTCACACTGCCGACGATACTTTGGAACTGGATATCGCTTGATTGATTGTCACGCGTCTCTCCGTCCCCCTTCAGCAACTTCAACAAACCACAATTTCCACTACCTCTACACCACATCAACAACAGACAACATGCGTACTTCTCTCGCCATCGTGGCCCTCTCGGCCCTCACTGCTATCTCTGCTCAGCGCAAGGTCTACACTGCTGCCGACATCAACGTCGGTACTATCTCCGTGACCGAGAGAGGTGAGTCAATTGGACAACTTGATGCTATCACTCGTGGCTAGCAACCGGCATTGCCGCCCAACTACCACCACCGATCACTTACTGACTCTTTCTCCCCACAGCCAACTGGTGTGTCGCCGAGCGTAACACTTGCAAGGTCCTCTGCGAGCCCAACCCTACCACCAACGACTGCGATTCTGTAAGTTCAGTTTTTTTTTTTTTTCTTTCTATAGAAGCACTATTTGCTTGCTTGTATGATAACACAGGCCCGAGGCCGATGCTAGTGGGTCATCGCTGACATTTTACTCCGTAGACCTCTCTAGTGTACTCGTGCCTCTGCCCCAACGGCTCTGCCCCCGGTCTTGAGTACTACGAGCAGACTATGCCCACCTTCATCTGCCAGAAGGCCTTCCAGGACTGCATCACGGCCAACGTCGGCGACGCTCGCGGCCAGACCAACTGCACAGACACCATCCAGTCCCAGTGCGGAACCATCAACGCCCAGGCTGACCAGGCCTCTGGTGCTTCCACCACCGCCACCGCGTCTGCTACCAGCACTCCCTCCGGAACTGGCAGCGCCAACGCTGGATCTACCTCCGCTGCCTCCAGCTCCAGCTCTTCCGCTTGGGCTGCTCCCACTGCCAACCCTGCCCACCTCGGCAACGCTGCTGCTGTCGCTGCCATTGGTCTTTTCGCCTACATGCTCTAGATGGATGCGCTCTAGGCTGTGGTGAGCCTCGAGTCTCGATTGCGTCGTGCGGCGACATGATCGTCAATCGGGAATTCTAGGCGGTCTTTCACTTCTCTGTAATCACCTTCCCTACTACCCGGCCTGCGTGCTTACCACGCGGCTCCCTAATCTTTTTGACGAGGAATACGTGGAATTATGCGATGGAGACGATGGATATTCCCACCCGTATGGCATTTTGAAGTTCTAGGAGGAGTCAGTGCGTTACAGGGGACGGGTGATGTCACCCCATGTTGCTTTTGCTCTGCATTTCGCGTTTTAGGCATGATTGAAGACAGTCCAGACGACGTCAAAGAAATGAAGAATTGATTCCCCCCCATTCCTTGTCCCTGCTGCTTTGGGCGTTGGCCATTGGCTCAAGGCTGACAATGGGACTGTATCAGTCCTGGATGCCCTCTAAGAGGTATGGTCCACGCTCCCAAGTTTCCAGATCCTCACTAACACATGTCTTTATCGTCGCCGATGGCAAAGGACATGAAAGCCGGTCTATTATACCCTGTCGCCATTGTTTCATCAACTTTCTCTTTTCCAGAAGCTACTGAAGATAATTCTTTTCGTTTCTTTAAAGGAAAAGTCCTATGATGACTGTTGCTAGTGAGGCCAGGATATATTCTCCTCGCTACCACCCGTATAGCGGCAGTACAGCTCTTCGCAACACATCCGTACCCACTACCAAACAACCGTCTGAATTTGCATCATTGACTGATTGCAGACACAATCACCACATTGTACATTGCTCCAACCGACTTTTCACCAAACGCCGAAATCCGATATGGGCGAACGCCAAACACAAACCACACCTCCGCGGGTGTCGTTCGGTGTTGAACTCGAATTCTTTGTCGCCTTCATTCGTGAGGGGGAAGCAGACCCTGACAATGCCATCAAGCACGAGCTGCAGCCTCTCGTCGTAGTTCCACCGGATGATGAAACCAATGAGCACGGCGGGCCTCCTATGGCATACAGTTGGGACGAAGACTGGGTGTTCCACAGCATTGGAGACGCATTGGCTGAAGCTGGGTTGCCAGTGTACAGCCAGGGAAAATGCGGTGTGCCTGGCTCTGTGCAGAACATGCAGAGTGGAACAGCCATAGACGCATTCCAGCTCAAGCTGGACATCTCTCTAAAAGCAGATCACGTTGACGGATATCGCTGGCAACGCGTCGAAATGATATCACCGGCCATGCACAACATGAAGCTTTCTTTCGACATGATCCGTCTCGCGGTAAGTGTAATCACTACCAACTTCCGGTGCCGGGTGAACCCTAGCTGTGGGTTCCACGTTCATGTAGGTGTAGGACCGACGCAGCGAATTGACGCCAGGACGTTGAGGCATTTCGCCGCCCTCCTATGGGCCGCTGACCCCCTTATCAGCAGACTTCATGCTCCTTGGCGTTCTGCCCTTGGCTACAGCCAGTCCGCTCGAGTGAACGATGTAACATCTCTTGGAGAGGGCAGAGGTCCTGCGGATGTGATCATTGATAAAGGCGATTCCTTAGAAAAGTTGAAGAAGGCAAAATTTATGGGAAGAGACCGTTGGCTTGGCGACTCGGTGGATGTAGACGCGAACCCGGAGGCGATGAATCATGAGATGACGCTGGATCAAGAGAATGATGAGGCCCTTCTTCAGGGATACGAACCGTGGCAGCATCGCCAGACCATTCCGGAGGTCAGAGACCCCAAGACCTCTGAAGTTGGCCCTACCTCGCCATTTGGGTTTCCTCCATTTGCCTACAAGGCTCCTGTACCGATGCCGAGGAATTACCGCAGTTCTACACCAAACGGTGCAGTCCCACCCCGGCCCCGTCCTCCTCCGATCAACAGACGTTACGCCCGTGTTCCCGGAACGATGCGACGAGACATGCGCGGAGATCCGGGCTTCCTCGAGGGTTACATATTGGGTCAAGGAGGAGACATTGAATGCCCGGAACTCAATAGGCCGGCTCGATGGGACGTCATGTCTGGTGTTAGGGATCTCCTGGGTGCTGACATAACCGTTGCCCAGGTCGGGCAACTGATGACGCCCGCTTTTCTTCCTAAGCATATCAACTACAAGTTCAGAGCGTACGATCTTTTCACCGTCGGGCTCCTGGGCTTACATGACGAAGAGACGACGCGGACGATGTGGCCGACGAAAGAACGCACGATCGAGTTCCGCGAGGCGGCAGGATCATTGGATGTGGAATGGATTGCAACCTGGGCTCGCATCTGCTGTCGACTACTCGAATGGAGCCGTGATGCGGCGCCGGCGGAGTTTATGTGTGTTATGCGGCTGCTGGCGTGGGCTCAGGAAGAAGAGGGAGCTCAATACGACGTGATTGACTTATTGATCGATCTGGGCTTGATTACAGAAGCGAGGTTCTGCGAGGACAGGTTGCAGAAAGGGGACGCCGCGTGGTGGGAGTGCGCGAATCTGGGCTACCTCGAGGGATGCGAGGGCAATCTCGGAGACGGAATGGGATGGCGGGTGCCTGAATACCGCGACTACGAGTTTGACGATGCGCAGGATGGGGATGGGCAACACTACCAAGGAATCGCGCCCGGGGGCTGGAATGATGGTCACGGTGGTGAGTATCGGGGCGGAGAGGGATGGGATTCCGATGACGGTAAGGCTTTCGAGCTCGAGTGCAATGCGCCTGGGGCTGGTAAGACGACCAAGACCACCAAAAACGACACATCTGAAAGAAAGGCAGCCAGTGATGCGTCTGCGGCTGTTGAGACCAAGCCAGGCGACGCATCTGAAAAGAAGACAGCCAGCGGCGTGCCTGCGGTTGATATGACCGACACAGACGACGCCCCGGAAAAGGAGGCTGATGGCGACGTGGAGCAAGGTGAGTCGGCGGCGCGGGCGTCCCGTAAATCGAGCACCAGCACAGTTCGCCCGAGAATCTCCATTGAGTGAGAGGGCGTGAGACACTGATTGGAAGGTAGGGTTTGTTGAGATTTTGGATACGTTGTCGGAGTATTCTTGGGTTGAAGATGGATGTCCTGAGAAGAACAGGGTCGAATCGGAGGATGGCTTCGAGATTGTGGACCGCGAGGGATAAGGCACACCACCCGAGGGTCTGATATTAGGATGTTGGGAGTTTCTAGGTAGCCAACTTTGATTTCGCCATGAAAAAAGTTATTGGTTGATGAATGTAATACATAAACTGGCCTCTTGATCCGTCTGAAATTGTGTCCTTTGACCAAATTGCGGTAGAGCTAGAGTTCCGCATTCCCAAGCTGGGCTACTCTCACGGCTTCCGACTACATGTCCAGTGTTCATTGCAACTGGCAAAGCTCACATGTCCATACCCTATTCCGATCAAGAACCATCATCGGTCATCTATAGCCAGTTACGGAAAGAGGGGACGAGGGCCGGGAGATTTGCGATGTTTCACGACTTTGAGGTGCCCGTTATGACTCACGATAGTCAGGGGCACTGAACCAGGCCTACCTTATGGAACCTGTCTCGATATTCGACCGTGACTAGTATGGAAGGTATGGAAATGGGTTAGAACTCGATGGTGGGTACCAATCACCAGCTCTTCACCTGTCTTTCAGACAAGACCGAGACGCTGAACATTGGGCAGACGTGTGAGATGTCAGGTCACGTATTCCCCTCTATTGTCTTGATCATTTGCACTTTTCGGTATTTGATTTCACTCAGGTATTCTCCATGTATTTGGCTGCTTCAAGAGGCTTAGGTTCATCGTGTCATGGTGCTGTATAACTGCCTCGTTCGGAGGAAGGAAGCTTGCAGCTTTCATGTTTCAATTCGTCTAACGGACCGAGAGAAGAATGAATCGATGAGTTGTGGTGTCCTTGAGACCACCAGTATATGATAACTCAATCTGCTTGATTAATCAAGATTCCAGATTTGTATTGAGAAGAAGTCAACGTTTGGCGGCCGCCCGTACCAATCAGTCTCCCAGTCCGGGCTCAAGGCCGGAGAGGTAGCTTGAAACGCTCCTCTTCTTGCCTTAGTCAAAGGCAGTTCGTCAAAGAAAGCTGGGGGCATCTCGAAGATTATCGCTGATTCGGAGATCATCTCAGTGTCAAAGCTCTCTGGACAGCTCAAGTCAACAACGTCTCTGTGAAGCGGGCTTGAGAGCAGCGTCTAGTACTCTTGAGCCAATGAAAAGCCCGTTTGGCTTCTCGGCTCTGTGACCTCGCACCTACTACAATGTTCAGGGTCTCGGTGGCTGGCGGCCCATACGTCAATGGCATTGATCACAGTTGGCATCTAGAGGACCGAGCCAGGATCGTTGTCGAGACTTTGGGCGAACAAAGGGACAGACGCGGGTCGAGGCCCGCACCACAAAGTCCGATTGTCTATTAAAAGACATCTTCAGCCCGCCAACCTTGCATACCGAGCTCCCGGCAAACAGTTACGGCCTTCGTCCGAAGCATTCTGATGGCAGATCCACTAACAAGCAGCAAATCAAGACCTCGACTTGGACAAGCTCAACGAACCCCTTCCCCCCCTTACTTGCGCGGCTATGGATCTCCAACAAGCACCGCCATCCCGTGGTAACCTGACTGTCCTCGACCGTCTTACTCTGCTACCAGTCGAGCTCCAAAAGCAGGTTCTGCTCGAATACCTCACGGTAAGTAAGCCTCCCTGCGCCCTCGCCCTCTTCGTGCCCGACTGGGGCGTCTGCGCCCACGCCTCGGACCCCGTGAACGAGATTTACGACCTCCAGCGGATCGATGTCTACATCAAGGGCGTGGCCGGCGCCAAAGGTGAGTTCGAGTTCGGGGTGAATCACGGCGATGGAGATCATGCGTCCTTTCCGTTGATGAAGCAGATGGAGAAGAGTCCTCCACCGCACGGGCAGCATGATGGTGCTTCATTGCGGGAAGAACTCGATAAGAGGTTCCCGACGGCGATGGAATGGGCTCTGCGCGATATTGGACGGAACGGGCTAGGAGGGTTTGAGCAGATCTGGCCGAGGGGCCCGGATGACGAAGTAGGTAGGCGCATGGCTGGCGGGGCGCTGGTCTTCCGTGAAGAGAGCGGCCGCGAACGCTTGCGTGGTCGAGTCGTCAACCGTCATCCCTTGACAAGAGCCGCAGACTGGAAGTCGAGCATGGAATCGCCGCGACATCTGATGTTCAATGGCTTCCCCTCGGATCCCTGGCTCCAGCTCCGCCTGCGGCGAAACGCTCTCACTAACTTCCGATGCGAAATGGAAATCGTCGTCGAACGGGGATCCGAGCTGCGCGCCGTCGATTGGGCCGCCATGACGCAGCTCGAGACGCTCTTTCTCGATCTGCGAACATATGCCCGGGGCGGTAGTCTCCACCGGGACGGTATCCGGCGCGGCGCGGCGCGGATGGGCTGTCTGCGGCTCGGGTGTCTCGTCGTCGCGGGTTTGCGGACGGGGGAGAGGTACGTTCAGTCGCGGTCGCCCGGCTGGCGGCTGTGTGAGTGGGAGACGGACGACGAGGAGGTTGGTGGTGGGGTGAATTGGGTCAAGGTGTTTTCGCCGGCGCTGGGGGAGGGTGGCAGGATGGTGTTTGTTGATCAAAGGGTGGTGGATGTCGACTGGGACGGGTGGAGGGTCAGGGCTGAGGGGTCAGGGCTGCTGCTTCCTGCGGTTGAGGAGGGCTTGGATGGGGATCGTGTGAGTGAGGCGTATTTGAGGCATGTGGACAAGGTGATGGGCGATGGTAAGTAAATAATTTTCTTATAGGTAGAAGGGTTACATTATCTAGGTAGGTAGCCAACCATTCTCATCAAGTGATTCGTGAGAAAAAGGGTCCAGAACAATGACCAGCGGTTGCCGCCTCACGAGATTTAGTTCTCCCAGGTTCCGGCCTTCGAGGCCATCGAATGGAGCACTACTTCGCTTCCTCGTGAGATCTTCTCCCACGGGAGACACTATTTTGTTTGTTCTCGTTCCTGCATGCTAGCTACAACCATCTCCTTTCTGGCTCATGTCTCCACACAACGCGGCGCGATGTGGTTTATCCGCCGTATAGGACTGCATGGCTCGGCGGTACGAAGGCGATACTGCGAGCTTCCGTCTGGCGCGACAGATTCCTGATGACCTCACGAGACCTTCTGAGCGATTCATGTGCTGCCTTGCCTTGCTCAGACATCGCCAGTTGTGAAGAGGTGGCGCGAATGGCGACCCACCACTGACCAGTGGGCTCTTCCTTTGCTTCTTTCCTAGACTGCCACCGCAGTCGTCTGTTGGGTCAGCGCTGATGCCAAAGTGATCATGAAAAGAAACTTACAAATTAGGCAATCTGTGAGAGATGAATAACGGTGTTTGCAAGCCTGCGGGTGAATCGTTTCCCCATGCAACTCATCGCAGGCTCGACATGCTTGAATTTCTCGGCGGCGCGGCGCGGCGCGGCGCGGTTGAGAGGGGAACCCGTTCACTCCTCCTCATTCTCAGCCTCGTCAGCCAAAACGCGCATCCTCTCCGCCTCCTCCTCGGAATCTCCCGCGGGCGGCTTGTTGGGCTTGATCCCCTCCATTTGGAGATAGCGCACGAGGGTCTTTGTCGCGCAGGTGACCCCGGCGTCGCGCTTGAGCTCGGCGTAGGAGACGGCGGGCTTCTCCTTGAGGACGCGCAGGAGCGACTTGACGTCCCTGTCGGACAGGATGCGGGGGCGGCCCGGGCGTGGACGGTCGCGGCCGGCCTGCTGGAGGCGGTACCGCGTGACGATGCCCTTGATGGAGGAGACGGGGACCTCTTCCTTGATGGAGATCTCCTTGAGCGACATGCCCAGCTCCGAGAGGACGGCGATGCGGGCGCGCTTCTCCGGGGAGTATTGCGGCTTGCGGGGCTTGGGTTCCAGGGCGGCGCGGCGAGGCATTATGGTCTTTTTTTTTGCGTGAAGAGGCTTTTGTCTTTTGGGGCGAGGGAGGCGGGAATGTGAGGGAGGCGGCGTTGGTTGATGTGAGATGGAAGAAAAAGACGGACGTGATGAACGCAGCGCTGTCGCTGAAATGCAGATGAGAGTTGAGTTGAAAGTCAAAAAAGGGGGATTGCGTTTTTGAGATGAGGCTGGAGATGAGAAGGAGGATGAGGATGAGCGGGATGTCGAAATTTTCGTTTTTTATTTTTTCTTTTGGTGAATCCCGGTGGCTGGTTCCACTTTCTCGGGGTGGATCAGGGGTGTTGCATTCGGGGTAGTGGATACCTCAGGTACTTGGACGAGGCGGGGCATGGGCCATTTACGGCTGATGGGATTCTGGTCTCGATAAGGTGGACCAAGAAGCAAGCTTCTAGCGTTGCTTTCCGTCAGAGATCTGCTTGCTTTTCATCACTACCTACTTATTGGGCTCTGATGACTTTTGCTGGCCACTGGCATCTTGGCCCTTTCCAAGGTAGGCCTCGAGGGTTCCGGAGTAGGTACGTCTTACTCCCATACTACCTAAGGCACCTGGAGGGCAACCGAGCTCAGCGCTTGGACAGGATTCACGGGCCAATTCGGCGTGCTCGGTTAAACCACCTATTGGCCAATAGATCGGTATCTAATTAGTTTTGAGGAACTTCATTAGCTTCCCGTGCTAACTACCTTGGCCACAAAACATTGGGAGTCTGGGAGCATGCGGCTAGAACTCCATGGAGACGTGGGATACATCCGCGATCGTGAACATGTGCGAGTCGCATCTCGAATACTCGACATCTACTTTGATTTTTTCGGGGATAGGGTGAAAAAGAAAGAGCATGTATGGAAAAAAGAAAACATGACCCATGCGGACCGCCACTGGTAGTTTCTGAAGGTGGCACCAGCCACCAGCCCTGAGCCACGCCGCGCCATAATATTGTGCACTCTGGCAGTTAACTGCGATTTGAGAAACACATGGACATGTAGGATCTAACTTCAATTGAAACCAATACATTGAAAAAAGATGGTACCTTCTTAATGTTAGCCAGCAATAGGAAACCCCATTTCGAGAAAACACACCTGGGCGCGTCAAACAGCGGCTGCCGGCACCACTTATAAGGATGCAGAGATATTCAACCAAAGATCCCACTCGATTGTCAAATCCTCAGCGGATGTAACTCTACCTTGATGGTATTCGTTTACACAGTACAAATACATCAGAACCTTCTATCAGGCCTTTAGCTGTGGAAAACCAGGCCGACTGACGCCGTCTTCCTCAACCCGCAGCACCCAAATGAACATATTGCTGAAGTCTGACTGCTAGTGATCAAGTGAGAAATCCTGTAATTGAGTACAGGCAAACGTTAACCTTGTTGTTGTCTGAGGGCATCAAAGGCGAGGTTTGACAGGCCCCAAGTAGGTATATTATAAAGACAATAGTAAGAACGTCTTTTTAGCTGACGTTTGGTCTTGACTTCTCCCTGCCATTTGGACAGGGACTTGCGGGTCAATCCAACTTTGCAAAGCATAACAAGCAAACAGTCAAGTACTTGGCAAGATCATGGCTAATTATAGAGCCGTATTGGTATTGGTAGACCGTAACACAATGTAATGCCGATACTGGATCGTCCAGTACGCCCAGTCCGACACTATCCCTCCATGTTTGATAGGATACATTGTCCTCATCGTAGCTCTTCACGCTCTGTTGTGGCGTCCGTGCGATAAAACAAGTCATGACATCTTTTCCAACCCTCAGCCTCCCAGCTGTGATTTCAAATCTTCCCCTCTGCCTTCTTCTTCTTCGCAGCCTGCTCCGCCATAAACTTTTCATAGTCCGCCTGCCTGTCGGGCGAGACCTTGATAAACGGGATATCATCCTCCATCACCTTCCCAGCAACCCTCACGGGTTCCGAAGGCTGCAGACAGAAAATCACCCGCGCCCACTGGTCCGTCGCGTTCTTCCACCCGTGCATGGTACCCCTCTGAATCATAATCTCCCCTTCCCTGAGCGTGCGCTTCGCCCCGTCGTCTAGGTAGCACTCGATCTCGCCCTTGAGCACGATGCCGTAGTCGCACGACTCGGTGCGGTGCATCATGGGCCCCGTCTGGGGACCGAAGTCGACGACGCGCAGGACAGAGCCCGAGGGCAGGTGGAGGGAGGGCATGCGCGGGTGGTTCGGGGCGTAGGCTGAGAGGTCCTTCTCGTTGTCCATGTTGACGGGGGACTCAGAGGTTGTGTAGCAAGTGTGGAAGTACATGTTAGTCATTGGGTCCGCTGTGACCTCGACGGGAAAGGCATCGGAGAAGACGGCGCGACCGTTGGCGTCGTGGGTCGTGATATGCCGGGACACGGGACCGAAGGGGAGGTCTTCGGGTGCGGGGGTAGCGGGGGGAGCTCCGGACGACGACATTTTTGCTTAGGGCGTGGTGGTATATGTGGTGAAATGTGGACAGACGATTAAGTGGTTGCCAAGGTTTGGTGACACGACTGACAAGTTTGACAGATGAGGGGGGCGAGCAACGAAGCAAGTGAGGCGGGAATATGTAGTCGACGGCTTTGTCGTGTCTCTTTTAAGGCCTTTCTTCTTTTCTACTACTCCAACCAAGACAAGAGGGCGGGGAGTCGTCCGATGGATGTATCTTCTGACAAAGCACTACTCATTCGTTCTTGGAAAGATGCGATTGGGGGGTAGAAGAGGGGATGGGATGAAGGGTCCTTTTAAGAAGGTGTGCTGTCATGGTCGTTGGCCTCGGCGCACAGACTTTGGGGTGTCTCGCCGAGGAAAGAAATAGAAAGCAATCTACCTGGCTGACCTCCCTTACCTAGCCAGCTGGCAAGCCCTTAGGAACGCAGTGTTGTCCCTCAGCTGACGCAGGAAGCGGCAATCCTGCCCGCCCTGCCTGCATATGTCCACCTCACTGCGTTGCGAATGTATTCGTGAGAGCTGTAAGCGGTATTCGGTGTCGGGTGATCGCTTCAGGCGGGCGTGGCTGCATCGTCTATGCGCAGTTCTCGTTCTCAAAGTATTGCGTCTTTTTTAATTTTATTTATCCGCTCGAACCCTCGGAGGACGGTGATGGGGATTTAGGAATCTAGTTAAAAAAAAAAAAAAAAAAAAAGGTTCGTCTGGCAGTGCCGACGCGGAGACGCGGCGACGCCACTTCTGCTGCATGAGAGATGTCTTACGTCCGTATGTGCGAAAGGCCCTCCCGTCCTCCGAACCATGCAGCAGATAGGCGCAGAACATCCCGCCAGGACCGTCAAATTGCGGCAAAGTGCTGCCGTATAGGTAGGTACACACGTAACAATCTCAACAACTCAGGTAAGCGACGACGATGAGCTCGCCAATAGTGACGGGGAGCTCGTAGTGAAACGAAGCTTGGCTCGCGACTGCATTCATCAGACTTGGCGCTCTGTTGAAGATCAGCAAGCATTGCTGTCGCAAGCCTCGGGAGCTGACCTCCTGTAGTGCGTGGCTTGGTGGATCGATTTTAAAGGCATTTGTTGAAGATGGGATTTAATTGAACTTGAATGTATACGGATATTGCCTGCGCTTGGCGTTGAGTGGCAGTGTGACTTCCGAAGGATCTGACCAACTAACACGGATTGCCAAAAAGCACCGTCTACTCAGCAGTCAGAAGGACTACCCCAACCTTTGATGTTGCAAGGCGGTTCAAACCCGCTTCGCATTGTTTGCAAACGCAAGAAAGTGCCCGTGCTGGAGGCTGCATCAACTCGAACAAATTCGAAAGGCATTGCTGTCAGGCTGCGGTGGAGGAACATCCTTCGGTCAAGGCCCATTGATCATATGAATACGAAATAGTCGCGCGCAATCGATCAAAATCCGAGGTAAGGCTGTCATCTCGGACTCTACTATATGCAGCTTACGAGCTTGCGTTGGCGTTTTGGGTCCTGCGGTAACATATAATTACGCCGATCCCACATCGATCTGAAAGACGGGGAGGTGTCCGCTTTGGCGCTCCGTGTTCCAGAAGATTTCTCGCAACGGCTCCGCGACAAGCGGGGACATCGGACTCGGAATCGATCCCGGCTAGCCCGAAATTGAGTATGCGCCGCATCGAAGGTGGCAGGCGGAGCTTCTTTTTCGATGAATCGCGAAAATTCGGGCGTTTCCCCGAGTGTGTCAAACAGATTGATGTCGTGGTGACGGTGACATCAACCACTTAACCGCCGGGGAGATAAGAGAAGGTTGTGTGTTCGACTTCGACGAGTCTAACAGTGATAAATCGCGGTATGAACGTCACCTTTGGCGGCCACCAATCGCCGCTAAGACGGTTGCCCGCGAACGTTGCGAGCACTTTCAAAGGGTGTCGGGGAAATCGACCAGCCGGAGGCGTTTCCTCCCTTTGCAAAGAACTTTGCGGAGGCATGATCATGACCACGCTGGTTTTTGCATCAAGCGTCAACTGTAAATCGAATTGAATGCCTATGTATTAAGTCTCTTGCCCATCGATAGAGAAGATGGCCGGGGAGCTGCCGCCGGGCTGGCTCGCCGACTTTGCAGATGTGGTAGGATGAATGAAATAGTGTCGGTGAGGGCGGCTGTAGTCTGTCAAGCTGGGTCTCAAAAAGAACGCTTGAGCCAGTGGCAGGTCAATGGCTATCCCCGTTATCGAACATCAGCACGATACCGTGGGTCATATCGGATCGAATAACCTGGAAATTTAACGCTACCACACTCTGAATATCAAACGAGATGAGTCTGGTGGCAAGACGATGAGGATTGAAGCTTAACAGCCAGGGACCGCCTTGGCTGCCTCGGTAGAAAACCCCGTCTAGATCGTCGTATCGCTCTGTCTGGAGCGTGGCCCATGAGGCTAGCGATTGGTCCGGGACTTGCTGGGCAATTCAAACACCTCGGGGAGACACCGTCGGCTCTGAGTCCCCGAAAAACGACGAGGCAGGAATCGAGACTGAAAACCCAACGTCCATGGATCGGAAAGGCCCCGGACTGACCACCTTGAACTCAATGGTAACATTCTTGGCTGACAATGACCCATACAATGGCTAAGAATCTCCTGCTTCCGATTTCTCCTCGGCCTTTGACTGGCGCGCTGAGCAAGGTATGCAAGCTTTGCCCTCAAGCACTTGTCGAGTTGGCAACCTTCTGTGACCACCACTTCCCCCAGTCGACCACTTTCTTCCCCGTCCGCGCTTCCTCTGCCGCAAATACCATCGCATGCGAGCGAATGACTTCTTCAAGCGAGCAGCCAATGAACTCATTTTGCGCTTTCTCTGGCGTCCAGCCGTGGTTCTTGACTTTGTCTACCGCCAGGATGAATTGACGTGCGAGTCCTTTGTCTCCACCGCCGTGACCGGCATCTTCGATGGTTGGATGGAATGACCGAGTCGCACCAGTGTTGAAGTCCTCTATGGTGATGGTTCGCGCATCGGCATAGATCTCACCGTCAACGCCATATATATGTGTGTATCTCTCGCAAATCTTCTTCGTTTGTGCGACCATGTGCAGGGTTGCTGATTTGGACTGCTTGGTTACGTCTAGATTTGCGTCCGTAGCATCATCCCAGGTGATGGTAACAGTCTGATCATCACAGACGTTGTTGTCTGCGTCGAAAACACAACGACCAAACCAGTTTCGGGACGCAACGACGTCCTTGGGAGTGGAAGCATCGTAATCTTCGGCGAGCTTGGATGCTAGGACTTTACTCCGCTCAGCTATGGGGAAGTCTTCGATCTCCGGGAGCACGATGCTGACTGGCCAGTCCATGTTACCGGAAGCGAGGCCTTTCAGGTCCGAGCCGAGATAGATGTTCTTGGCTGAGAATTTGCAGCCCCCGTCACCCAGAGGGCACGTCATACAATTCGTCGCACTCCCGGCCGCGGCGGGCTTGCGACCTTTCCTGAAGAGCTGAAGCGAACCACTTGACGATACAGTGGATGGAAGGTGAGGCGTGCCTGTTCCGGCCTTCACTGGCGCGCTCAAAAGCCAGAGGAGCAGGTCAATGTCGTGGCAACTCTTTGTCAACAGACTTGGTGCCGTAGTCTTTTGATTCCGCCAATTGCCGCGCACATATGAGTGTGTAAAGTGCCACCAACCAACCGGCTCTGTATGCACAATCTTGAGGATATCGCCAATGACACGATCCTCTAGCAGGAGTTTGCGAAGTAGCATATTGTGTGGGCTGTAACGAAGGACATGGCCGATAGAGAAGACGTTCTTGGGCTCCTGGCCAGCTGGAGGCTTCATGGCCTGATACATATCGAGACAATCAGCAAGAGACGTGGCGAGAGGTTTCTCGCACATGACGTGCAAACCCAGGGGGGCAAGGCCGACGAGGACATCGCGATGCATTTCGTCAAGCACACAGATAAAGACGGCATCGACGCCAGGCAGGACATCTTCGCCGGCCGCTTCTCTCTCGCGGCGACGTGTCTCATAGGCTAGGAAGTCGGTCCAGTCGGCGAATTGCTGCCCTTCTTGCGGAGTGCTGGAACCCCAAATGAATGTTCGACCGAAGCTTTGCCGCTTGTAGGCGATGGGTTCAGCCACGGCGGCCACGATACCGTTGCAGGAAGTTTCATTTGCGTTAGCATATGCCTGCCCGCGAGAGCCAGCGCCGATGATGAGTATGCGAGGTGGTGAAGCAGACATGGGAGGTTTCTGAGGTGGCACTGGAGTTGCATCTGGAAAAACCGCGACGGGCGAACCCGACTTCTTGACGGACGACATTTCGTGGTCGTTATCGTTGAAGTACTAATCGTGAACCTGGTGATGATTCGTTGCGTCGAACTTGAATATCTGTGGTCTCTTTCCGTCAATCGGCATCGGAGTACCTGGAATATCAGAAATGGACAGGAGACGCTCTTTACCAGGTGAAGTTCGAAAGAAGATGCCACTCGCCAGGAAGACGAGATAAGTCGAGGCCACCGGGAGCTCTGACCGGAGAAGCGGGGCCACAGAGAGGCTTGGAGCCAATCAGTGATGGTCTATTTGAATCGTACCTGAGGTCCCTAGGTACCTTGGTACCTTAGTCCCGGGGGTTCGTTCCCTTATCTTATCGGCGGCTGCCGGTAAGGTATCCGTAGGTACGGATACCTACCTCAGAATCGCATCGGCATTCCCAGCCGATATGGGGCCCATTCCTCTAAGGTAGTCCGTACACTACGTTCCATTCCTGGCGGTGAGACGTCGACGGGCTGGCAGAGCTAGGATTGTAGAGTACTCCGTGCATAACCTTGCTATTTTCCCCGTGCAAGGTGACAATTGGAAGCCACAGCTGGGATGCTGCGGCTTGCACCCCACCTTTAGACAAAGCTACCTCTGGCGAAGTTGTGGCTAGGTCAAGCTAAGTACGCAGAAAAGAAGAACCTGTCGATCGCGAATAGGTGCCTTCGTCCTAGCGCGACCCGAGTTGTCAGAATCTTGAATCAACATTAGGAGATTTTATCTTCACCATGGACTTTCTCAACCCTCTCAAGCCCAAGGCTCCCGCCCCGAAGATGCAGTCTGCGTCGGATGGCCCCCTTATCTGGGTCGACTGTGAGGTATGCACTCCCGGCTTAGTTCGACATGCCGCTCCCGAGATTGATTAACACACCCCCAGATGACTGGACTGGATCCGGACAGGGAGGAAATCATCGAGATCTTCTGCATCATCACCACTGGAAATCTGCAAGTCGTTGACCCCGAAGGCTGGGGCTGCGTCGTACACCAGACGGAGCAACGCATGGCGCAGATGGACGACTGGTGCACCAAGACACACGGTGATAGCGGGCTGACGGCGGCGGTCATCAAGTCGACGACGACGCCTGAACAGGCGGCGGACGATCTGCTTGCCTACATCAAGAAACACATCCCGGAGGAGAAGACGGCGCTGCTGGCCGGCAACAGTGTGCACGCGGACCGATCGTTTCTAAACAAGCCGCCTTACCGGAAGGTGGTTGACCATTTGCACCATCGCATTCTGGATGTCAGTTCGCTCAAGGAGGCGGCGAGACGATGGTGCCCGCCGCAGGTCGTGGATGGCGCTCCCTACAAGCAGGGCTTGCACCAGGCCAAAGAGGATATTCTCGAGAGCATTGCTGAGGCCAAGTACTACAGAGAGGCCATCTTTGGCCGGACATGGAGTCGAGGAGATGGCGGCGTGCAGGATACGCCAGCCAGTGAGCGGGATGAGGAAGAGGCCTGGGCGGACAACCTGCTGTAGATGGATATCAAAGCAACATTGAAATCTCCATCAGAGTTATGTTTCCTATTTCGCGAGGCAATGAGGTGAATGACCTTGAGTAAGACGCCTTGCCTTGGCTTGCCTTGCTTTGCCTTACATAAGCTTGATACGAAATAGTTGAATCAATGGTTGACCGCAAGGGTTGCGGCGTCCTTCTAGGATAGTCTACCTAGTGCTATAACTAACTGTATGAAGACGGTAGAATCAGCGGGAATAACGCACTTCAAGACAGTGCGGACGCGAACCACACGCGATGGGCTCTCGCCATGATTCGCCGGAAAGATCCCCTGTGTCAGGCCCCTGGAAGTGAGGGGCTCTTTCAGAGCTGCCCCTCCTACACCAGGCGGTGACCCCACCCACGTCCAGCCTCAGGATGATATCACTGGCCAAGCAAGCCCCCACCATGGCCACAGCTCTGATAGTAGGTACGAGGAGGAGGGGCGCTACTCAGTAAAAGTTGCGATTTGGGCCTATCGTGTGCAATCTCCCATTCACTGAGGCGCCCCAATGCGTCGTATTCTGCCCACATCAGCTACTTCAGTGGCCCAGGGTGCTCTCTCCCGCCTCCCAGCCAGTCTCTCACCGCACCAAGTCGCAACCTGGCAGCTTCCAAAGCCCAAGGCCCCTTGCCCACCCCGGTCCACCTCCCGAACTTACGCCAACGCCGGTTCGCATGAGAAAGAGAGAGAGAGAGAGAGAGAGAGAGCAAGGCGAGAGAGGCACAAAGAATCATAGCTCCATTCCCAACATCCTCCTTTTCCTCTTCCACAACCTAGACAATTCTCCTCAACACCATTATTACTCGAACTACACAGCACCATGGACGTCCAGACTGTCGAGTTCAAGCCTTTCCAGGACCAGAAGCCCGGCACGTACGTCATTTTCCCTACCAAAACAAACCCCCTCGTTGACACCGTACCCCAATCATGTCGAGTCCAACTTTTTGTTGCTACCCCGCCACAGCTGCCAATCGCGCGATGTACCTTCACCCAACAACCCATCACTGACTAGCCACTCTGCAGTTCTGGTCTTCGCAAGAAGGTCACCGTCTTCCAGCAGGCTCACTACAGCGAGGCCTTCGTTACGAGCATTCTCCTGTCCATCCCCGAGGGCGTTGAGGGTAAATAAAAACCACAGCTTCGTCCTAGGCACCCCCCGGAACACTGACAGACCGCCTCTCTAGGTTCTTTCCTCGTGATCGGTGGCGATGGTCGCTTCTGGAACCCCGAGGTCGTTCAATTGATTGCCAAGATCGGTGCCGCCTACGGTGTCAAGAAGCTGCTCATCGGCCAGGACGGCATTCTGTCCACTCCCGCTGCCAGCCATGTCATCCGCAAGCGCAAGGCCACCGGTGGTATCCTCCTGACTGCCAGTCACAACCCCGGCGGTAAGAGCTCTATCCGTACTTCCAGACTGCCTTCATGTTCGCAAGCTAAACAATTATCCCAACCCAGGTCCCAAGAATGACTTCGGCATCAAGTACAACCTTGCCAACGGTGGCCCCGCCCCCGAGTCCGTCACCAACAAGATCTACGAGGCCTCCAAGACCCTCACCTCCTACAAGATCGCCAACATCCCCGATGTCGACATTTCCACCATCGGCACCAAGACCTATGGCTCTCTCGAGGTCGAGATCGTCGACAGCACGACCGACTACGTCGACATGCTCAAGGATATCTTCGACTTCCCCCTCATCAAGAAGTTCTTCCAGTCCAACCCCGACTTCAAGGTTCTCTTTGACGGCCTCCACGGCGTCACTGGTCCTTACGGAACCGCTATCTTCGAGAAGGAGCTCAGCCTCAAGGGCGCCACCCAGAACTGCGTGCCCAGCCCCGACTTCAACGGCGGCCACCCCGACCCCAACCTGACCTACGCCCACTCCCTCGTCGAGGTCGTCGACAAGAACAACATCCCCTTCGGTGCCGCCTCCGATGGTGACGGCGACCGCAACATGATCTACGGTGCCAACGCGTTCGTCTCCCCCGGCGACTCCCTGGCCATCATCGCCCACCACGCCAACCTCATCCCCTACTTCAAGAAGCAGGGTGTCTATGGTCTGGCCCGCTCCATGCCCACTTCTGGCGCCGTCGACCTGGTCGCCAAGAAGCAGGGCCTGAACTGCTACGAGGTCCCCACCGGCTGGAAGTTCTTCTGCGCCCTCTTTGATGCCGACAAGCTGTCCATCTGCGGTGAGGAGTCCTTCGGTACCGGCAGCAACCACATCCGCGAGAAGGATGGTCTCTGGGCTGTTGTCGCCTGGTTGAACATTATCGCTGGTATCGGCGAGCAGAACCCTGGCGTCACCCCCTCCATCAAGAAGATCCAGCAGGACTTCTGGACCGAGTACGGCCGCACCTTCTTCACCCGTTACGACTACGAGGATGTCGACAGTGAGGGTGCCAACAAGGTTGTTGGTGTTCTCAAGGACCTCGTCGCCGACCCCAACTTCATCGGCAGCAAGGTTGGAGGTAAGTCAACCTGCAAAACACCCCCGAAGAACTCTGAGCAACATGCTGACTTCCACAGACCGCACCGTCACCGGCGCCGGCAACTTCTCCTACACTGATCTCGACGGCTCCGTCTCCTCCAACCAGGGTCTGTACGCCACCTTCTCCTCGGGCAGCCGCATTATTGTCCGCCTTTCCGGCACCGGCTCTTCCGGCGCCACCATCCGCCTGTACCTCGAGCAGCACAGCTCCGACCCCAAGACGTACGATCTGGATGCTCAGGACTTCCTCAAGCCCGAGATCCAGATGGCTACTGAGCTTCTCAAGTTCAAGGAATTCATTGGCCGTGACGAGCCTGATGTCAAGACCTAAGTGTATTATTGCATGACAGGGTTGCACTTGGACAAGGGGATCGGCGGAGTTTTCAAAAAGTACGCTTCAGTATAAAGAAGAGAAGAGGCCAGCACCAAGATTGCTGTGGACGATGTCACGATGGTACACGATTGCATAAATTGAATCAATTGACCTAATCACACACAATCTTTGCTTAGCAGTGGCACCCCCAGCTTTCTCTGCGATTTTTCAAATTGTGAATCCGCGCGTGGCAGAAATATCCAAATAGCTGTAATCGTCAAAACTGATCATTAAAGTCGTCAAAGCGTTAAAACAAAGGGGAAAAAGATGGGTGGATTGCTGTTTACAATCTGGGCAAGAAATTATCAGGTTGTAAGGTGTAAATCAATCTTCCAGAGTATTTCCTCTGATACACAAAACATCTGCTCCCTTTCCTCCCCTTTGATTCCTCGAGAGAGAAAACCGAGCAACGAGGTATTTCGGAGCTCGTTGGACATTGTTAAAGATTTGGGAAAGAGACGGCCGTAGAAAGTCGTGGAAAGCATGAATCGTTTGTGTCTGAGCTCATTGCGTTTTCCTTTGTTAAGCATCGTATCCGTACAAGAAGAGGAAGGCGAGTCGGCGAGTAAGAGGTTGGTTGGACTGAGCGTTGGTGGATGCTCGCCCACCCACCCACTCCTAGGTTCTTCAAGTCCCGCAAATATACCTATGCCCCGCACAACGGTGGGTGGCACCCTGGGGCGAAAGGTGGCGGTAAAGGGGACTCCATACCTGTCCGGAGTCGGAGTGGGTATGCTCTCCCCGGAGAGGTTCGTCACCGGCTGCAAGGGAATGAATTACTTCGAGTCCTCGATGGCGTCCGGGCCGTCAGTAGACGCCTCAGATGGCTCCGACTGCGGCTGGAAAACATCAATGAACTGCTTTGCGCCCATCTCGGAGACAAAGTCGATCTCAAAGGCGCCGGCCTGGCCTTTCCTCTGATGCTGCTGTTGGTACTGTTCGCAAAAGACGTAGAGCTGGACATCCTTGAGCCAGACACGGTGGCCGGATTTGCGATGAAGCCAGGTTGGGGAGGCGGACTGGTGAGTGACTATGAGATTATGACGTCGTTAGTCTCGGGATCAATTTTCAGCGTGGGACGAAGGGCGAGGATAGGAGGGTGATGGGAGTCGTACCAAAGGCGGTCCAAACTGGACAATAGCGGAGTTCGCCGTCCCATACTGAGGCGTGGAGACGAAGACCTTGGGTGGCAAGGTCACGGTAGACAATGAGTGCATGCTTGAAGCCATCGTCGAATATTTGGCTGCGGCCGGAGGTGTTAGCTATGGTGGTATGTATGAAGGTGTACCGCGCAGATCACGCACGCTTGGAACAGTCGCTTTTCTCCAAGCAGCTTGAACTCCCTTGGGTTCATATTGATAGTCAGGGTATTCCGAGCCTTGAGTGAGACGAACGTGCAGTGGAATAAGACTAACTCTGGGATGGGTCAGTGGTGGGTAAAGTAACAAGATAGACGAGTCTTCACAAACCCTCCCAGGTCTTGAAATAGAGAGATGCCCACAGCTTCGGGGCCCTCTGGGAGACACTCCATCGGTCCAATTGCAAGGAGCTGGCTTCCCGCTTGATGACAAGTTCGTGAGTACCACGTAGCGAGAACCATTGGGCTCCGAGATGATACGTCCTAAGGAGAAAGTAGGGAGTTTGGTTGAGTTGGTTTAGGTAGGTCATCAACGCAAGGCGATCTTCATCGAATGGTCTTGGTGATAGCATCAGCAAGATCTCTTCCAGTTGTAGGTCGCGCTTATGTACCTCCTGAAGAGCATCTTGATCTCCTTGGGGATGTTCAGCTGTCCCCACGCCTGGAAAGGACCATAAGCTGCCGATGGTCTGGTGTGCTTCAAAGCCGTTCGGGACGTGAGTGGGAGCGAGAAGATCTGTTCTGCCCAGTGTAATGTCTTGGAGAAGAGGATACATCAGTCAAGCAGCCTAGTTCCTTTTCAAGAGCACATACCGGATCTTGGACCATTGGTCCAAGCATTGTCTCTGGCTGAAGGGGGGGCTCGATTAGGGTTGTAGGCATAGCTTCATAATCTGTTTCAGTAAACCAGCTACTGCTTAGCCTCTGAAGGAACATACAGAGTCTTATTGATTGTCCCAACTCAATTATTCTAGTCCGAAGCGATTCCAAGGCATTGAGATCGAAGAGTGGCGACCTATGTGACTTTTAGTACATCATCTTCCTCGATCGAAAGGGATTTGCCTACGCACCTCATTAGAAGGTATCGAAGGCAATCCAAAAACTGATTATAGAGCATGAACCTCTGAGGCAGTGGCAAGCCATTAGCCTCCTGGGTCATTTTGTGGTACATCTTTCGCCATCGCATGTCCTTGCTCACGGTCCGATCTTCGTAAAACTTGTTGATATCGTCCAGTGTCCGGGATAAACATGGAAGAAGGATTTCAAGATAGTTGAGCAAAATTGGCACCCTGTTGAAATGCATCTGCGATCGATCCGCCAAATCCCTCAACATCATTCCAGACTTCCGTATCTCGTCGACGAGAGTGGTAATGGTGCCCCCAAATGCTTCAGGAAGAGTCATGCGGAGCCCTTCCATGCTCACCGACACAATGTCGGCGTGCTCGGCTTCGAGGCAGCAGCCTTGAAGCAGGCGGTAGTCGATCCTTCGAAGATTTTGCTCCATTTTCTAGAGTAACAATGAGCCTGACTGGCGACGTCTGCATCTCAGGGTTTCATTGTCCAACGATCCAAACCGAACCAGTAGGGTCGTCGGGTTCCAGCGGTACTCTCACCTCTCCTAGAGAATCTCGGGGTACTCTCCTACGCCTCACAGGGGTTTCGCTGGACTCAAGTGACGAAGATGAGAAAATATCAAGACCACTGTGAATTGCCCCAGACGGCTTTTGACGATATATCTATCAAGAATTACCGCAGTCAATTATGCCGATAAGAGGGAGGGAGAAAGATATGACTTGCTTCATAGGCTCGACATGGACATCTCGGGCATGCAGCGGTAACGTGTTCGCTAGAACCGCAGCCACTTACTGGACAGGAAGCTGCTGCAACTGCGATTCGGAGCTGCAGGTCTCGATTTTGACGGCCAGCCCGGAAACACACGCCACCACCCCGCCAAACGTCAAATCCAACGATCCAGGTCGCTTTGTATTGGCAGTGCACGCCCAGACACCAGGTGCTCGCTTCTGACGTGTCCGAATCTCATCGACTTCGTACACTGATCGGCTGCAAGTAGGATACCGAAGAGGACAAAAGCGCTCGCGATTCGCCGGACGTTGCCTGGTGTGATTTCCTCTTCTTCGTCAGGATTGCAGCGAATGAGGTCAAATAAAGCTCTGGTGGTCTGTCTCAGCAAAACCCGACGGTCGCCAATGAGAACTAATCATCAGTCGTCTCGCACTATCAAGTTACCGAGTCGAACGACCGATGCCCGTGTCACCAAATTCAATCCAAATGATGCAAATTGGTTGGCTCGAACAAGCACTACCCAAGAAATCGCAAGGACCTCCGGGGCGGATTGGAAAAGAGGAGCGTATGTAGGTTAGATTGCTGTCAGAAAAGAGAGTGTGGGCTCAACACATATTGATCCGGCAATCGACTAGCCAGAGCATGCCACGACTGCTGGAGATGGCCCCATGGACATGTACGTTTCCCACTGCATGCATTAGGAACGCTCGAATGGGAGCAATGGGCGAATGAGGCCGGCCCGGAGCCGGTGGGGTGGAGGCCCAAGTTGTGAGTACTTGCATAAATAATGCAGACGATTTCTCCTCACAGCCCTTGGATCAGAAACCACCGGGAAACATAAGAGAACATTGGCGTCTGGTCACGGAATGCGGCGACTAGGCGGCCATCCTGGCAATATCACCGTGTGAAGTACAGACTTGAAGGAATTGATCGAGGGTGTGAAGTAGCCTGATAGGTCGTCTGGGGAAAGTCTTCCGTAGTGCTCAAGTGGACGGCTTCGACGAGCGGGATGCCCCTGGGGTTTCACGGGATAAGACCGTAATAGGTGCATAAGAGGCTGAGACAACAGGACTGGCAGGAGTCAGCTGTGTAGTGATTTGCGAAGTGATATGATGCATTGAGGAATTCGAGGACGCCTTCTTCCGCAATGCCCGGCCAAATAATGAAGCAAAGATTAATCTTCGGCACATGTATCTGTGATGTGTGAGATGCTGGCCGGTCATAGACGCGATCGCTTCGTTTTTTCCGCAGAATGTAGCTAGGTGGTAGAGCCTCCGGACGTTGGAAAAGGTAATTGCGTCTGATGGGCGAGACGATGAGGAAGCAAGCCCGCAAAGATCCTCGGACGAGCAGCTGCATGGCATTTGTCGGTTCATTCCATGCGATGAAGAGCCCCTAGGCCAGTGTTCTACTTGTCGTCGATACTCGACATTGGTGTTTGATGGACTGGCCTGGCTCCCTAGGCCAGGGATCTATGGCGGTCATTCAGGTAGTCGGCTGTCTTTCACTGTGGCCCGTGGCGATTAGAGAAGCTGTCCTTGGCTTTCTGCAACGGCGAGAACTTGTTCTTTCGTATGTAAGTAAGTGGGGAATATATTGGTGCATGCATATTGGCAGAGTGCAGTAGGCGAAGGGGGATGTCGTAGTTGATACGACTGGTCGACACTTGAGGTTCATAGATATATAGGATTGGGGGTGTCCGCTGCGAACACGGGCTCCTTTTAAGAATTTCAAAAACCGCGAACGCAGTCGGGCGGGAGAGGGAGGCAGCCTTGTTTCATCCTGCTCAGGCATCCATCCTCAACCCGCAGCACCTACATGCCGTGTCTGATCATCGGAAAGGTGACAGCGCCCTTCCTTGAGGGACGGGTGGTGCTCAGAGATCCTTCCGTCACTGGATTCTGTGATTGGATGCAGGCAACTTACGTGCCGAGGACGAGGTACGTACCCTCGCCCGCCAGATGAGCCACCTACGCCACCTCAAAGATATCCACTGGCATTTCAGCATTTGAAGCCGACGTTCTGCCGCCTTCACCGATTCACCGGTCCACCTATGGCTCACCGACTCACCTCCAATCGCAGTCGAGGAAGCGGCTTCGGCTCGGAAGGGGAAAGCCCTCGAGAGCTGCGGACCACTCAAGCTGGTCCACCTTTGGCTATCGCGTTTTGAATGTTTCCCAACCGGCTTCGGGCAACCTGCATCAGTGGGAAATGGCGATCTAGTCATTGCGCCCTACCAAATCCCATGACACAACGAGGTCGTAGGGATGGAGACGCTTGAGTGGCTGGACAAGAATAGGGCCCCATTAACCCAGATCCCTGGACCCGGGGAAGGACCCCTGAAAAACCAGGGCAGATACGATAGAGTACCATGATTGGCGAATCATCCTTCCCTACCTTGATATGCACAAGTTCACGGCAGACATTCACTCACACCACGTTGGACTGAGAGTAGTTAAGTTTGTCAACGTGAGCCGTCAAATGTCATTGTGTCCTAATCGTGGACAATTTCGTTCCGCGACCGGCGGCATGACCAGCTCTGCTATTGACGCGGGGAGGCGTGAGAGCTTCGCCTGCCTCAAATCGCCCTTCCTGCCGATCCTGAATAACGAGAAAAGCAACCCATTTCAATACCATCATACACCGCCGAGCCCAAAGTTACAAGGAAAGTCCGAAAGATGTGCGCAAAAAGTAACTCGACGCCACCCGTTCGGACCGAGAAGCAGCAGAAATACAGCAATCAAGAGGATTCATCCTCCTCTTGTTCGGCCTTTACAGGGACTAATTAGCTTCAGCACAACACGGCCAGATGGAGGGTGGGGTAGTGTCTTACGTTGTAGGCCTGCTTCTCGTCCTCATAGCGCTTCTTGTCGGTGGCGGCCTTGGCCTCGTAGGGGCCGCGCTGCTTGTCGTTGAGGGCCTTCCAGCGCTCACCAAGGATCTTGCCGACCTGGCCGAAGGAGATGCCGGGGTTCTCTTCACGGACGTTCTCGCGTTGCTCGTTGGCGAAGAACATGTAGGCGGAAAGACCACGCTTGGGGGCATTGGGGTCTGGACATGTTAGCTGTCTGGCGTTGACTAGATAATGCACCTGTACAGGGGCAGTGCAGAGCGAGCAAGTTCATGTCATCCAAGGCGTAGCTTGGAAGACAATTCTTCAAGAATTGTCTCCCAAAGCTGCCCTGAAGTTCAGGCTTGCCCGAGCCGCGCAGCGTCCTGAGGCACGGTCGATATCGACATGGTGACTTACCCTTCTTCGCGCGCTTCTTGGTGTCCTTAGCGGCACCTCGCTTGGTGGCGGCCTTAGGCATTTTGGGTATCTGGGACAGAGTGTTAATTCAACTGCGTGAATGAGAAGATGGATGTGATGTTGTGATGGGGAGCGAAGGGATCAAGTCTTTGCGGGCAACTCGGTGCGACATCACAACATGACCACGAGGCCACCGTGCCGCCGCGCAAAGGTTGCCATGGGCTAAGAGGGCCGCGGTGAAGCGGGAGCCAGGGTGTGTGGTGATCGAGGCGCAAGTGCAATTGCGCTCCGCAACGCGAAGTAATTGCAATTTGAAGCTCAGAGTCGTCCAAGAGAGATCGTGAAGCATACCTGGGAGGAGTTTTGAGAGGTGGAAAGAGAGGTGTTGGTGTGGTGATCTGGACGCGTCAAGCTCTTGTTAGCTGGAAAGCTCTTTGGGTGAAGCTGGGTGATGGACGAGCGTGCAATGAGACGCAGAGGTGCACGCCAAAATTCGAAGCTTAGCGACTGATCGCACCCACGATATCGACTTTGTAAAAAAAGCGATTTCTGAGCTGCAATTCAAGGCCGTTACATCAAATTTTCAGCGGCAGTGGATATAGAAAAGAAAGATGTTGCGCGTGTGTTTTGCGGTGGTAGGGTGCAAGTGGGCAATGGTATATGGGCAATAGGTACTCACGGGGTTGAGTGCGCGAGGGCAGCAAAATGTGGTATTGCGAGAGTGCGGATTGTAGGAGAGGAGGATTTGGGTGGGAGATTTGTATGGGAGAAGAAGAGGGAAGAAAATGTATGGGGGGAGGGCCAAGCAGCCTTTTTACTATGGGGGAGTGATTGTGCGGGAGCAACGCGCCTGGGTGCACTTGTTTTTGCTGGGGAGTCTGGGACCGGGCCAGGACTGACTGCGACTGGCGACTGGGCGAGTTGACTGGGGGTGTACCGTGTGGGAAGAGGGAGAGGGGTCACCTTGGACGTGCTCTCCTCCTCTTTCTCTCCTCGGATCACTCAGCTTTTTGCCTGCGGACGCCGGACGCTTGTCACTTTACTTTCCTTCCCGTCGCTTTCTCGCCTGTGCCTGGGCTGGGTGCTGCGCGCTGAATGGCTGCGAGGGGATGGGTGTCTGGGTAGGCTGGGCAGGTATCCGTACCAAACCAGGCACGAAAAAAAAAAAAAAAAAAAGAGGTCTGCGCACTGGCATTGGCAACACCCTTACTGGGTGGTGACTGGCCTGGCACTGGGCAACACTGGGCACGCTGGGCACCCGTACGCAGGCAAAGGGCCAAAAAAGAGGAGAGAGGCAAGAGAGGGGGAAGGCGCAGTGAGAAGGGAAAGGATGTGGGCGCACCTTCCCTCCCTGAGAGTCGACGTGCGCCCCTTCCCTCCTCTTCCCTTTTCCGCCAGCGTCCAGCTTGACCCTTCTTTCCCCATCCTTCTCCTACCATCATCCCCCCTCCTACATGGAAGTCCAAGTCCTAGTCACAGTCCGCGCCCACCCACAAGGTAAAGGTACCTTGCGCCAGACGCTGCCGTGCAAAGTACCTCGCGTTTCTTTCACTCCTTCCGCCTACCCCCTTCCTACCCGTCGCATCTGCCAGGGGACAACGACTGCGCACCTTGAAGCGGCCAGCTACGGGTACATTAGCCCAAGTATCACAGTACCTTGGCCAGTACGGAAAGATACCTTCCTACCTCATTATGCAAGCGTCTCCGCACGCAACCACTTCACCTGTTTATCTAATTCCTTTGCAACAGGTCAAGCAGCGGAACCAGACCAGACCAAGTCAGGCGTGGACATTGCGCGACAATAAATGCGGAACGCGCCGCCGGTGCGATGAGGAAGGCAGGAGTAACATTTCATCCACCAGCTAGGCCGACAGGCGCCAACAGCCTTAGCTTCAGGTGGTAAGGTAGGTAGTAGGCGTAGCCAAAGCTGTACCTTGCCAGATAAGGGCAGGGAAAAGAAGCAGGATCTGGCCCTTGTGTGATTCCTGCCCTCCTGCGGTGCTCTTCTTTTGCCTTCCGTCTCTAGGTTGTCTTGTCCCGTCGGGTCTTGTCAAGCTGCCACCCATTTCAATCACTCCTTCCCCAACAGTCCTTGCTCTGGGTTTGCCGCTGCTATTACTGTGTGGTACTGTACAGGTACAACGCCCGCGCAAAACTCCGCACCGAAGTACTGTACTTTCCCTTTGTACCTTGGTTTGGTTCCATATTTTCGCACCGTGTACTTTGTAGTCGTTTCGCCTTCCTTCCGCTCCGCTTGCTACGGGCCTACCTACGGCTACGTGCCGGCCTTTCGTCAATGTCTGAGCTTCTGAGGTGAGGACCGGTTGAGTCCTCCCCCCTGCCTCCTTTCAGTTTTTGAAGCATCTCGTACTTTCCCTTCACCCCACTTCTTCCCTTCCTCTTGTCACTGCTGACACAGACCGTCTCTCATCCATCAGCCAGTTGTCCAAGTGATGCCATTCCCATTCCCATTCCCAATCCCTCCCCTCCACTACCAGCTGCTGATGTTCCTGGCAATGAACGGCCGAGCAATGGCTCTTCATGTTTTTCATTCAGCCTTCACTTTCTACCAACACCATATCGCTGTAGACTTACACCACCATACCATCAACAGCTACCATTTGGATCCATGACCTCTCTCAACACCACCTCCCGCCAGTTCATTTGAGGGACGATTCAGCGCAATGACAAGTACCTTAGCCTGGCACACCCTGATACTCATACCATCCTTCATATGGCAGTGAGGCGACATAAGGGAGACGACTCTGTACACGACAGAGGCGTGCAGTGACACACCTGCTGCGATCGACTGTACTTGGCCTGGACCAGGCATCATTCGCTAGACATCCTGCAGGTACATCGGTCAGACGTTGAAGACTGACCGCTCCGTCCGGGGAAGACGGGAGTCTAGTTGCCAGCGTTGCCTCGACAAAGGTAGTTACTGTCTATCCACCTTGACTCTTTGCCCGGAGTATTCGCAATTTCTCGATGTCGGATGGTTGATCTCAACAAGCTTCTCCTCCAAGCCCTCCACGGAATCTGATATCTGCACGTCCTGACTTGGATCTATGGGACGACATCACTTCCTACGCCATCTGAGCAAACTTTCTCCACGGCAGACAACCTATACTTCGGACACACTGACATGCCTATCACTTGCGCTTTGCTGGGGCTGTGGGTGTCAGTGACCTCATGTTCGCGATGTTGTCTTCTTAGCGTCTTCTGCTGATAAGCCTTTGCAACTTTCGGCTTTTTACCAAGACAACATAGCTCGGCAGGCTGGATATTTGGGAAACCGATGGAGCCCCTTTGGGTGGTGGAGGATTCGGTGTTTTGGAAAATGGGGGGACAAGCTCACTTACACGCTCACACACTGTGTAAGTGGTTGTGCTTCCTGGACGTCGCTACGCAATCTCATCCACACTAAAACACTACGCGACACACTTTGCGGCATTCCCCCTCATCCAAGTGGCTTGTCCCATTAACACACCCAAGGAGATCGCCTCCAAAGCGTACCAAGGTCCACAGGTACCGTCGGCTCAGAGCCGTCGACAAACGCTCCGTGTCCCGCTCGCCCTGGGTTGCTGGTCGACGCGGTTAGACTGGATACGTACGGCAGAGCCAATGGTGGCTTTCATGTGCGGCACAGATTGCTACACCATTAGCTGAGTTCCGGCGCGAAGCCACCCACCAGCTCAACGCGACTTGAAGAGAGCTCATGAGCCCGAGGAAGCTTATACCAACAGACTCGTGCGACTTCAGACGGCTCAATTCCAGACCACCGCCATCAAAGCATCCGCATAACGTGTAGGGAGTGTCTTCATTCATGTAACCCAGCGAGGCTACGGTTGTGTAGGTAGGTATCTAGTGGCAACTCCCATTGGCTGGTGAGCATGGACTAATAAGCATCGGCTGACGAGGCGTGAAGTGCAGCAACAGGACCTCACGCTTTTGCTCAGGGAGATGCGACATTGGAACGACCGGAAGTCATGATGGCTCAATGATGGGGATGGCATCCAGGCTGGCCGAAACGGAATCTTGGGTACTTGATTCATGCATACGCCCCATGTACCCTCATACGAGATTGCCTTGTACCGCTACTTGGCTCAAGGTACCTCAAACGCGGTCCACCAACTCCGGAATCAGCTTGGGCGAATGCGCCCAATCCACCCCTCACGGGCAGCTCGTGGTACACTTGGGACCTCCCCAGCCTCCCCTCTGCTGTCGACTCATCTGTTCTCTGGATGAATTCCCCGAGAGCTCTACGGCACACGTGTGTACTACATACTGTTCGGCTTACTAACAGCAAGGTAGCTGGCGTAGGTTATCTGCTGCTCTCTCGCTTTGGAGTGATGAACTAATTCGGAGCTGAGGCCATCGGATCCCACTGCGAAAAGGACAGCCGATTTGCTCAACCATTGGCTCTGAACTTGCTCCCAAAGGAAACCCTATCAGGCTATTAGCTCGCCATTGCATGGCGGCCGAAGACCGACGGCGAGCGGCGGGTCTATCTCGTCTCTGTTCTACTTCTTCTTACACCGGCACACCATGAAGCGGGCAGCAGCCAGGCGGTGCAACACTCTGGGCGTCAAAGAAGGGTGGAATACTTCGTCATGCGCTCAAAGTATGCGGGCGTCTTGTGTACCTCGAAGCATTAGACTGGGCAATGCCTGCAACGACAGTCAAGACGCCCCCCCGCTCCAATGCACCCAACGCACCCAATGCGCACCCAAGACGCCCAATGCAGGTCTCCTCTGCAAATTGGCAAGCCGGCAGCGCGTTTTGTCATGGGCCAGACAAGCTGTGTCTGCCCACTGCTCAGCAGAAGGGCGTTGCCGCACCATTTTACCATTCCAGTCAGGCCGCCGGGCCCAGCCATTTTGCTTTTGCCCGCTTGTTCCCTGGTTGGCTGGCCTGGCACTGGAAACTTGGAAGGCGGTGGTGACGGCCTGGCGAACAAAGTGCGCAAAGTACCGACGACTTGCAGCGGATACACGGAGCCAGGCAATTTCGCTGGTCTGGTTGCCATTGCTTTACTGATACTGTGCTGTACCTGATGCTTCCTCGGCAGTTTTGGCCCTCCCTGACTGAAGACTCCCACTTTCTCACTCAGTCACCCTCTTCCACATACCACACACCCCCTCCCACGCCAAACACTCTCGCTGCTCACGCCTAGGACCTGCACACCAAGGTACATGGAGACTGAGGTATAGTGCAGTTCAACGCGAGCCAAGCTCCACTCCTCCTGGACCTCCTGGCTGATCTGTCGCAGCAGACACAGAGCTCGACTGACGGGGAGCTTTGCACTCCCCCCAACTTTCAGTCCCTTTTTCTCTCTCTCTCTGCTCTTCTTTACGGGCCCTGAAGGATATTGATTATCTAATCTGGAAAGGCATCAATCTCGCGCAACCACTTGATATGAAATGGACACGCGAAGCGCGTGGTTCACCTTGAAGCCTGCGTTGATCGCAGCACAGGACTTCTGACAGTTTGCGCGTGAAAGTCATCAGGATTGAACAACGAAGCTCACTGCAACTCCTTTGGGCCCCCGTGACCCTTATCGGCTCCTCTCAAGGTATTGAAACGCGTTTCATCATACAAATGCCAACCTTTTGCATCTCAGAGTTTCTACAGAGGGCACCTGATGCTGGCACGCAGCATCGAGCTCAAGCATTGGCCACGAAAACAGGTCTCAGAGCCAAGCTCTCCCACGTGATTCGGCATCACCGTGGTCATAGCTTTCGGGGTCACGCTAAGCCCTGTCTGTCTTCGTGAGCCTTCGTGAGTGGTGAGGAACGTGTGGAGGCGGCAGGGGCCGAACGTGAGCTTGGGAGCCAAAAGTGCCCTCAGGTGCCGATGCTGTGCCGTGCTGTGAGCAACAGTACATCGATCTTGCGTAGAGCAGGGCGAGCTCCGTGATCTGGTATTGACAACCATCTGGACCGCCGACGCGAGCAGCGACCACGGCTTGACTGAGGGTCTGTACCTGCATATGTGTGTAGGGCGGGTTGACGCGAAGGCTTCTTCGAGGTACTGAGGACTTGACCTTGGTCCACTCCATCTGACGAGTCCCTCGAACCCCTCGAGCCTGCGCCGTCCTAGTCGTCGCCAATTCAGGTCCCTGATTCCTGATACGATGTACCTGAGATGAGACAGGTCGTTGAGGACGGACCGATACATCCATAGATGCCAGCCTGTAGCCTCCCTCAGCATCGAGTGTTTTTGTCCCCCTTGCCCTCGCGCATCGTGACCAACATGATGGTTTTGTCTCCAAGTCTACCATGCGTTAATTATTCGTCATCTTCGGGGTCCAGTACTACATCCCGCAGCGCTTCATCTCTGGACCAGTCCACCCCGCTCCCAACGACCACGGCGCTGGCCGTGCCTTTCATGACTTTCCACCGCTGTCTGCTCGCCTTCATCTCGGCTTGGAGTCTGGTCATATCCTCCTGCATGGCGGAGTCGTCGGTCTCGCCCGCTCTTCTCTTCTCTGCATCCTCGGCGAGTCTTAGAATCTCGGCCGTGAGCTCGACGTTCTTCCGGCCTACTCGGAGGGTGTCGGCCTCCACCTCGGTCAGCTGGTTGGCGAGATTGCGGATGTCTTCTGATTTGTTGGCGAGAGCAACGGAGATGTTATCGCGGAATTGGATGTGCGGTAGGAGGTCACTGATTCATATTAGCACTCAAATGCCAAGTTGACAGGCACTCTCATCATAGAGACTGCAGTTCTGCGCGCAATGAACAGGAAAATGAGCGTACGTTTCGATGGGCGTTGACTGCGTGCTCCCGTGGACGGCTTTGAGAATGGGGTTGGCAGTCATGACGCTATCCGTGATATGGTTCCTTAGAAGCCATCCTGCACGCGCCGTTGACGCGTCCTGCTGGACTCGTCTTATGTTTTCTTCTGTGTTTGGTGTTGTTGAGTCTATCCAGCATGTTAGTTAGCCGAACTGGATATTCTCTACCGCCTTCAGGTGGGATAGGTACCTGAGACATAGTTCTGTTGCGCCTTCACGAGAGCAACCTTGACTTCGAGGCCGCGAAGCTCATCGTAAAGAGCAAGGACGCGCTGCTCGTCCTCGGAAAGGAGCAGGACAGGAACTTCGCCAGCTTTGTTGGCTGTCGAAAGGCTTTGGCTTGGTGGCTCATCCATGGTTGAAAATGGCTCCTAGCATCAGATGGCAGAAACTATTGTATGGGATGAATCCGGTGTCCGAATGTCACCGCCCCGCCTTCCGGACGCGACACGCGACTCTCGCTCAAATCGCATTCATCTCCCGACTCGCGGAAATCCGGCGGTCTGGGGTTCGGGTCCGGACTGTGGAGCAGGCAGGGAGCTGAGAGGAGAGGTCGTGGCGGGTACGCCTTGTCAGCCCCATCCTGGAGCTGTTATCTTATCAATGGCCGGTGCACCCTCACCATCCAATCAAATGACTCGCGGCATCACGAGGCGGCATCACGCTATGCCTCCCACATGTTTTTAGTGGGTTTGCAACCTGCACGAGCTCCGGAGGCACTTCAGCGGTCACGTCTTGGAAACTCGCGAACGAACCCTTTGCGCTTTTGCAACGACCGCCGTTCCTTCACACCCCTCTCCGGCCCTCGCAAACGACGACGACGACGACGACGACGACGACAACGACGACGACGACAACGATTACACCAAAAGTTTGTGAGCGCGCACCATTCTGCTTACCGGGCGACGTCCTTTGCCGACTCTACTGCATAGCTGCGTCAAACTTCGAAACTATTATTGCAAAGACTGGACCGCAGGCTAGCTGTCGCAACTCTTCGTCTTTTCGGAGATGTTCTGGGGATGGCGACGCAGGTGTTGATAGCCCATACGGGCCAGCGCCTGCAGGTGGACACGACACAGTTCTCCGCGTAAGTCACCGTTGCCTCTCGCGCGGGGTGGAGGCGCAGGCTGACAGATTGAACCGTTAGGCTCGATGACCTCAAGGCCTGGATCGCAAGGCAGACATCGATTCCGGCGCACCAGGTCGTTGCTTTGACTGCCCAAGGTCGGAGTGTGAAGCTGCAGACTCTTCACCAGGAGGTACGGTGTTATTTCTCTCTACGTGCAAGAGCTTTTGCTGACCTTTTGTCGCAGACGGAGATCTACATCTACGACATTCGAATATCTCAACCGAATTCCCCCAACGCCGCCTCGTCCCCAAAGTCCGAGCTCCCACTCCCGAAACGCTATGCTGTCCCGAACGCCCCCAACTACATCGGCAACATCCGTATTCTATCAGAATGGCAAGCTCTCTATAAGGAGCGCCAGGTATGGGCCCTTGGCATCGTCGACGACTCGGCACGTATGGCGGCCGAGGTTCAGGAGCGGTATGCAGAGATGGACGTCATGATCAAGTGTCTCGATGCGGCCATGGCCAATCTGGAGATTAGTGTGAAACAGATTGAGCCCAAGTACGCCGAGCTGAAGAAGTGGTTAGAACCTGTGCTCGGCGAGTACGAGCAGCTTGCTGAGAACTGGGAGCACTATCTCACCGTGGCGCGCAGTGTGCCCATTTCCGCTGCAATGGTGCGGTTCATGACCTCCCGGGACCTCAAGAAGAAACCGACTACGCTGGAAGACCTGATCGAGATCGACACTGCGAAGAAGTCGGGACGGTTGGCGCCGACATCCTTGAAAAAGTTCACGACCAAGGCGACGGACCTGGAGAAGGCCGCGAACAAGATGTATGGCGGTTTGGAGCAGCTAATAGGAGACTTTGATAACCTCGTTGGCCGCTCGGCGCTGTCGCATAGTGGCGAGGCGCAGCAGTTGCTTCAGGATGTCGAAGCCGTGGCCACGAAGATAGAGACGGATTACCACATCGTCTTGGAGTACCAGGATACACAACCCAACGTCCTTCAAGCCTCGCGGACGGCGGAGAACCACACATCACGCCTCATCCCAAGCTTGAAGAAACGTTCCGCGGAGATGGATGACATGCTGCTCTACGTCACCCAGGCGCGGAACGCGATATCCGCCGAATCCATTGCTTTCATGCGCAACATCACCGAGATCACCACTCTGCACAGCAGCGTTAAAAATCAGATTAACGTTTTGAACCAAGCCGAGGACGATATGACGACATTTGACTACCTGCGTCTCATGCACCAGCTCCCATACATGTACGCCTCTTTCGTCTCCGAAGCCGTTCGTCGCCGGGAGTGGTCTGACAAGATCAAGACGGATTCGTCGACACTGGCCAACGAGATGGCGCTGTTCCAGGACGAGGAGTCCAAGAGACGGAGGAAATGGCACAAGATGGTCGGTAGCATGTACGGATCGGACAAGACCGAGGCAAACGTACTTGGTCTCGAGGTCAACTTGCTCGGTGAGGAGGAAACTTGGCCCAGTATGGTCAAAAGAGATCTGGAGGAGTTCCTCGAGCACCTCCAGAAACAGCAAGCCGAAGTCGACATCATCGAGGATGTGATGAAGCTCGTGAATGAGTTGAGCAGCCCTACGAAGCAGCAGTCGAAGAGGTTGAAGGCCTTCAAGAATGGTAGTGTCCACGAAGCCGCCCTCGGACGGAGTGGCTTGATGATCCGTGGGGATGATGAGTTGCTGCGCAATCTTCAAGACGACAAATCGAAGTTGGAGAATAAGTTGAAGACGGCGGAGAGTCGCGTGCGAAGGCTGGAGGACTTGCTTCACAGGCAAAGCGCAGCATCTCGACCTGGCATCGGTGGCTTGTTCGGACATGAGAGGAATGACTCGACCAACTCAATCAAGTCGACCGCGACTGCAGATGACCATCGCCGCTCTACGGGAAATTCGGAAGCACTTTTACAGAGGATACAGCAGCTCGAAAGTGAATTGAATGCTCGTCGAAACTCTGACAACCACTCAGAGGCCTTGGCGAAAAGAGTGCAGCAATTGGAAAGTGAGTTGGAAAAGCGTCAGTCATCCGATGATGCCGAGGCCCAGCAGAGAATACAGCGTCTGGAGAGCGAGCTCAACACGGAGAGGGAGAAATCCGCAGCATATGAGAAGGATCTCAACGTCCGGGCTACAGCGCACGACGATGTGAAGGGCCGGATGGAGGAGGCCAATTCTACCAAAAAAGAGCTTCTTGAGAACATGGAGGCTCTGCAGCGGGAATTCGTTGAAGAGCGGAAGTCATTAGAGAACGAGATCAAAGGACTCAAGGCCCGTATTGAAGACACTGAAGATGAGATTGAGAATTTTGGCGAGTCGAGAGAGAACGAAAAGGCTACCTACGTTGAGAGAATGCAGGAGCTGGAGACCGAGGTTGAAAAGCTGCAGAAGGAGCAAAAAGACGAGGCTCTCAAGGCCCAGGGCCAAGTCGATTTCCTACGCAATGAGGCGCGACTTCAGAGGGAACAGAACGAGTCTCTCGACAAGCATTTACAGACCGCCAACAACGAAGCGAAGAAGCTAGCCAAGGTTCTAGGTATCGCACAGGAGACTGCTGATACACAACTAAAGGCGCTCCGTGACGTTCACGATCAGTTATCACCGAACGATGATACCACAGAGGACCTTAACGATCTCATCGACGCACTCATCTACCGGGCTACCGACGTCACGGCCAATATGAAGACTCTGGAAAGCGACCGATCAATTCTCAAGGCCGACCTCGAGCAGGCTGATGAGCAGATTAAGACTTTGAAGGCCGCTATTTCGGAAACGAAGAACAAACTTGCTTCCGAAGAGGACAAATCTCGGCATATGAAGGAAAACCTGGATGGAGAAAAGGCACGCGTGGTCGCTCTTGAGCAGGAGGCCGCCGAGGGTCGAGGGCAGCTTGATCAGCTTCGTGCCAAGATTGCCGATGGCGAGACGGGCTCGGAGAGCCTCAGGAAGAAGCTCGACGAGGAAGAAGGGCGCATCAGTTCCATCACCGAGGAGCTTGCCTCTAGGCAATCTCAAGTCGGCAGTCTCGAAGAGGAGTTGCGGCTCTACAAGGAGAAGATGGAGAAGTCCCAAGCTAAGCTTTCGACTGTTCTCGGTCATTTTGAGTCCAGATCTGAAAAGACCAAGGATCTGACGCAGCGTCTCTACTCGCAGAACGACAGACTGTGCCGCCTGTTGGAGCGGTTGGGCTTCTCCGTCACACGACAAGACGCGACAATGACGATCCAGAAGGTTCCGAGGTCCGAGAGAGGCACTATGAGCCAATACCACAATGCGAACGACTCGTCTGACCCTGCTCAGTCCATGATTCGCCGCTCTGGTATGCTCACCAGTCGCACTCTGGCCGATAGCACCGACCTGGAGTTGTTGTACTGGATGAATGGCAACGATGCCGATGCAGAGACGGAGAAGTACGATGCTTTTATGACACGGCTGGGCACCTTTGATATGGATCTATTCGCTGAGACGGTCTACAAGCGTGTCAAGGATGTCGAGCATCTTGCCCGGAAGCTTCAGCGAGATGCGCGCGCGTACAGGGAGAAGGCGCACACCCTTCAGCGGGACTCGCACGAGAAGATTGCCTTTAAGCATTTCAAGGAGGGAGACCTTGCTCTGTTCCTCCCCACCAGGAATCAAACGGCTGGCGCATGGGCTGCTTTCAACGTTGGCTTTCCTCACTACTTTTTACGGGAGACGGATGCCCATCGTCTACGGTCCCGCGAGTGGCTCGTGGCTCGCATCACCAGGGTGCAGGAACGCGTTGTGGATCTCTCAAAGAGCTTGCACAAGCATCTCCCCGACACCGACTCGGTCAATGGCGAAGAGGATGATAACCCCTTCCAGCTTTCCGATGGCCTGCGGTGGTACCTGATCGACGCGCACGAGGACAAGCCCGGCGCGCCAGCCACGCCTGGACTCGGCAAGTCTACGATCGCGACGAACAATGTCGAGGCCATGGCGGACATGCACACCCATGCGCAGACAAATGGCAAGGACAAGCAGCGTGCCAATACCCACAGTATCGAGGGCGTCAGCAAGGCGCTCAGCAAGAGCCTCGAGAGCCGTCGAAGCAGTTCCAACTCGAAACGCGCCCTCCCTTTTGCCGTAGGCGGAGGTGGTGCGGCATTGCTCAAGGGTAATGCGTTGGGCAGCGAGACGAATTCCCTCCGCGCTGTTGCGCCGGATACTCCGACCGAGACGAACCCCCCCGAAGGCGACCAGTTGGGATCGTCGACAAACGGACACGAGCAGTTGGGGCAGGCGGGGCAGGCTTCGAGCCCGCTTGCTGAAGAGGGTCATGGTCCCGCGCAGGCGGGTGACGATAGACCCAGGTCGCCTGAGGTACGAAACATGATCGATTCTCTCGTTGGCCCCTAGATCGAAAAGTCCCTCTTTTCTTTCCCTCTATCTCTCTGGTCCCCAGGCTTGCCCCTTCTCACTGATTTCGGTCAGAAAGCTCGATCGCCCTTGAGGCTGCAGCGTCAGAGGAGCGGGGTCAGTGTCGACAGCCCGACAAAGAAGAGCGTGGTTTGGGACTCGCTTTGGAGCGTTGATCTAAGCTTTGAGACTGGTGGTGGTGGTAGTGGCGCGAAGAGGAAGTGGGAGGGCGGCCGGTAGAGCGAGTATGATGGGGTGGTATGGAGGAATATTGTACAAGCATTACACAATACCCGAAGCCCCTTTGTGAATAAGGGGGTGTATTTGAGGAGTTTTGTGCTTTTGTCAACCCTGATCTTTGCCAACCAAGCATTGCCGTCATTGCTGCTTGCTGTAAGTGGTCCTTCGTACTGGTTTTTTTAATGTTGTCTTTGGGGCGAATGAGAGGGACGTGGAGGGTCGAGGGGCGTAGGATACTATCGAGGCATTTGATTGTCACCTCTTGGTGCGATGGCATCTGAGGCATTCGAGAACTATGGAGGTTTTGGACAAAGGCATGGCAAAGCGTGGAGAAGGAGTTTCTTTTTGACACCTTAGGTGTTCTGGGATAAGGAGCGAATAGATGGGCCGAGAGAGGAATGCATGGCGTGCTTGGGATAGAGACACCTTAGAAGTATCTTCTTTTAACTACATACGATGCTCCCGTTTACTTTGTTGTTTTTATGCAGAGGGTGCAGTCAACAAGGCAATGGGACGAGTCTTAGACTTAATTGAAGCTTGCTTGTGGATTCCCTGTGTTTACCACCAAGCAGTTCCTTAAGTCTCTGAGACCTTGACAATGCCTTTCATACCTGGCATAATGCTCACAAGCCCACATTGTTAACTTCGTTTCCTTCTTTGACTCGGAATACAACACACTCTTTCATGTTTTTCTGGGTCTCTTTGGCTCAGGATGTAAAGATATGCTGCATATATGAGCAAGCCAACAGATGGCTGCTTGAACGAGGGCAAGGGAAAATACCCAACTCATTCCGCAATCTAACTCAAGAACTCAAGACCTAACAACCAACAAATACCAACAATCTGACCAGTTCTTCAAAGTCATCTCAGTTCGATCTTACCGTAACCTTACAAAAATACCGTACCGCAGAATGGCTGGCGTCCAGTTCCCTGAACAGTGGGAAGAGCCCGCCTCATACCCCAAAATCCAAGAGATTCTCGGGTGTTCCCCAGACCACGGGAACGTGGATCTCGCCTACAAGATTCTGGGCTTGCACAGCAGGGATGGCCAGCCACAAGCTGCCAGACCGCCGGCCCACGAGTTCCTGGACTGGTGCAACAATACGCTCTGGAAAATCTACATCGAGGGCGGCGAGTCAAAAAAGGGGTCAGTGGAGCACCGGCGGTTCCTCGAGGCCAACAGGCGGGTCCTGTCGGCTGTGAGGACCATAGCGGGCATCCGACGGCCCGGAAACAAGGACTGGCAGCCGCACAAGCAGCTGGAGATAGCGGTCTGGGAGGACGGCGTCTGCAAGGATGCGCCGGTCGATCTGAGACTGACCAATTGGGACCAGAACGTCCCGATCCCGGTGGACTACGATACCTTCCAGAGGTTATATGGAAGTGATAGACAGGCGGACACGGATGAGCGGGCGAGGGAGCATCGTAGGTCGGGCAAGACCTGGCTGGCGACAACTAACATGCTCCTGGACGCGCGAGAGCGGGAGAAAGCGGAGTGGAAGGATCTTGTTCCGTGTTATGGGTTCCGGGCCGAGCCATTCTTCAAGTTTCCGCTGGAAAAGTGTGAGGGGGAACGGGAAATTCTACCACATACCTTCTTTGCGAACCCCGTCCCGAAGAACGAGGATAGTCTGTGGTATTCTCTGTCGTAAGTATTCCCCTGCCTACCATACCGCATCCTGCATTTCCAAATGCTTTTGGTTTTGACCTAGGTTATCAGGCTAATAACATATTCAAACTTGACAGAATCCTCGTTCACGATCGATATGATTACGCGAAACGAATTAAGGGTAAACTGGCCAACTGGTTTCACCGGCAATTGGCGACCCCGGGCTCAGATCGATTTCGGATGTATTGTCAGTTGCTCGCCGACTCGGCCGCGTGCGTGGACCAGGACGACATTGCGAACTGGGGGTCTCAAGATCTTCTCCGCTGCCTCAACCAGAATGATCCGAACTCTGGCCTACCCAAAGAGGCGGGGTACCACGAGATGCTCTACCTCATAGCGGACTATTTCGCTACCGAGGTGATTACCTTTACACGCCCTCCGGATATCTGCGACTCGGCACCTTCTTCAGGTAACCCGGCGTCTCCTTCAGAGGACCCATCATCTCCTTCAGGGAACTCGGCATCTCCTTTAGGTGACCCGGCATCTCCTTCAAATGACCTGGCATCTCCTTCAGAGCCGTCGCATTCGTCGAAAAGACCAGTCTTCCAGATGAGAGTGTACGGGAACCCGTCGTCCCGGCAGGGGTTTTCCCTGTGTCCCAGAAGCCAAAATAGAAAGCAGATCCTCCTCGTTACTGACGCTTGTCTACGTCACTTCCAACCCGTCACGTATATAAGTCCTGAACTGCCTGTGTTTGAGAGGTATGATGGTGTAAGTTGCGGGTATCATATCGATACGTATGCCTTTGAAGTTTGGGATCGCTGGCCGACGATGCCGTGGTGGCCGGGGTGTGAATACAAAGAAAACACTGAAAAGTGGGAATGGGAGGGAGACCGGTCCACAGACGCTGAGCGTTATCTCATCTCTGAAGAGACGAAGAAGGCGATGGAGCCGAGTGATATCACCATGGGTATAATTATGGACCCTGCAACCCAGAGACAACTTCAAGGGCCGTACTTTGAGACGGAGCTATCGTCTGATGACCCACTGAATAAACCGTACCACGACATGCTGCTCACGTACGCCGCCGACGCGGACACGGACAGGTTCGGGCTGGAGCTGCCCGACCTGGACGTGAGAAAAGGTTGGCGGAGCGCGGTGCCAGGACCCGACGAGGCGCAGGACCCCCCGCTCGTGGTGGCGGAGTGGAGAGCTCGGGCTGGGGAGGCCGAGGAGGCCAAGTTTCGGTCAAAGGGGCAGGCTGAGACGCGGAAGCGGGCGCGCGAGGAGTGTGCTGCTAACGAGGGCCTCGGGTTCGACTCGGATTATGGGTGGTTAAGGGTCGAAGCGACGGAGAAGGAGAATAAGGCGCGTGTCTGGCATAACAATACCAAGAGGAGGAGGAAGGAGTTTTACTGACAATTGTTACAGACTCGAGGGGGCGGGGATGGCTGGTGGCCTGGTGTCACAGTCTTTGGTTTTTGTGCGGTTCAGCGCAGGTTTGGAGCATCTTCGGCAGCATCTTTTTGCTGGACATCTATTTTCAACCCTGTTAGAAGCATAATGCAGCAAGTGGTTGGGTTTCTCAGTCAGTTCTTTCGCACGGATCTTTGCCGTGATTAAATTAGAGTAGACTTGTGACAACAAGGAAGTCTGCCGCTCTCGAAAGAAGATGCCTCTATCGGCAACTTGATAGGTTACCGTTCAGTACTCTGGCATACCAGATAAGTCGACTTGCAGATACCCTGTCTCCCAAGGAGTTGCTAAGAAGCTCCTTGACTGGTTCGGGGTGGAACCGCCTATTTGTCTTCACATTGATGCGGCATTCCGACTCCTTAGCCGCGCGATACTGGACATCACGTACACAATCCTAGCGCCATATCAACGTCTCTTTCTATTAGGCAGGCCCATGGAAGGCAGACATGAGTCACAGGAAGGCAATGTTGGCAGTACATTGGTGACTGGCTTAATGGTTCTCGGGATTGAACCAAAGTGGTCATCATTCTATCAAAATTACTATTCTTCCTATTTCCTTCTTACACACGAGTCTCTCAGACGCGCTCGTCGTTGTGCCTAACGTCTTCCTCAACAATTTCAGAGCCGTCAACAGGATCAGTGACACCGGTCATCTTGGTGACAATAACGGCAGCGAATAAATCACCGCTAACGTTGGTAGCAGTGCGGAATCGGTCAATGAACCAGTCGATGGCGACAACCACACCGTACATCCCGCTAGGAGGAATGCCGACGCTCGAAGAGATCATGACGGTCAGAACGAGGGACGAGCTGGGAATGGGAGTGGTGCCGATGGAGGCCAGAGTCGACAACAGCAGGATGATGATGTAGTCGGCCGCGTTGAGGACGTGACCCTGGGTCTGAGCGAGGAAGACGACGACAATCGGGAAGTAAATGGCGGTTCCGTCCATGTTCACAAGACAACCGAGGGGCACGGCGAACTTGGTGATCGTTTCGGGAACCTTGAGCGTCTGACGGCAGCACTTCATGGTGACGGCTAGGGTCGCGGCCGAGGAGGCTGTTCCCCACGCTGTCAACCAGGCCGGCGAGCAGCTGAACCAGAGGGTGTATGGGTTCTGGCGGGTGAAGGCGAAGAATATGAGGGGGAGGATGATGAAGAGGTGCAAGAACATGGAGCTGATGGCGCCGCCCATCAAGATGCCGAGGTTTACGCCGATGTCGTTGATGTCGAGCTTGAACATGTTTGGCAAGATAAGGAAGAAGACGCCGATGGGCGCGAGCTTGATGAGGAAGGTGATGATGATCATGATGAGGGTCTCGACCTCGCGCGCCGCCTTGATGAGGGAAGACTGGCCGTCGCGGTTATCGATAAGGTAGCCAATGACGACGGCGCTGACGAGCACGGCCAGGAGATGATCCGAGGCGAGGGCGTCAACAACGTTGGCCGGGATGAGGGAGTTGAAGAGCTCGGTGACGGTGGCGGGGATGTCTTGGTCTTTCCTTTCATCGTAGGACTCCTGGTCCTTCTCGGACATGCTGCCTGTCGCGATGGACTCGGCTGAGGCGACTGTCATGAGGCGAGCCCAGACCTGTGAGGTCATGATGATGGAGTGGACGATGGCTACGATGGTGGTGATGACATAGTAGCCGATCGTCCACTTGGCGAGCTTGGCGCCGCCGTGAGAGATTTCCTTTAGCTTTTGGACGGCGAGGACCATGGCTGTCACGATCAGAGGCAGGACTGAGAGCCGTGTTAGCTTGCATGTTACAAGTTGGTGACCAGGTGCAGTCGCCGAGGAACGAGGTTGACAAACCGACAGCTTTCAGGGACCGCAACCAAAGATTACCGGGGATGATGAGAATGGTCGTTGCAGCTTCGGGGATTTCTGGGTGGGCAGTCTTGACACCCAGACCGATACCGACGGCGATGGCAGCGGCGATGATGATCTGCACGGCGGAACCAGGTTCGATGATCGGGTGCCACCACGGCTTCTTCTCGTGAACCGACACCTCCGAGGTGACGGAAGTCTGCTGCTGGACTTGATCCATGGAGGAGTTTGAATTCTCCCGGACGGCCTTGTCGGCCGTGCCATATTCCGACTTGTCCATCTAAGGCTTACTTTCGGACCGGAGGAAGGAGCCTAGATGTCACGAAACAGAACTAAACAGTGAAATGCACTGGAGACGAAGTGACAAGTGACTGGAGAACGAGCCGTAACGAGATCGCTGCTACGCTGAGAAGAAGAGAAGAAGGAGGAGAGTTATTCTCTAGACCCTGATCGACGACCTGAGCGAGGGATATATACATGAAGAGCACCCAGCTCGTGGGCCAAACTGAATCTGGGTTGCACCAAGAGTCTTGTCTATCAATGTGGCGAGCAGGGGCCGGGGCGATGGCAAAACCAGGAATGGCTACATCTTTCGCAACGGGGCGAATGAGAAGCGGTTCGCGTGGGAAACTTTGCTGGGAACTGGGAGGTGTGCCCAGGACGCCAGGATGGGGACACAACCGAGAATGAAGATAGGGCACAGCGCGTATCTCTTGATTCGCCAAGAAGGATATCACAGCTCGGAGAGGGCACAGCGGGTTGGCATTTTTCACGCGAAAGGAAGGTGTAAGAGGATCCATTCCATCCCCGCGTTACCCACAAGTCGCGGTCGATGAAGGTCGGGCGACTTGGGGGTCTGGTGGTGTCTTGGTCGATGCACGGGTCTGGATTGATAATGCCAGACTGGTCCCAACGAGCTAGACAGGGACCGGAAAGTTCACAGACCACCGGCGTAGGACTTTGAGAAGCCAGAAGAAAACCAGAAAGCGCAGGTGCGTGTGTAACTGGGATAGAAGGAGGTGGAACATTGGGACGCGGCATTGGTAGAGGTAGGGTTGACAGGAAGAGCGGGCTCGAAAGGAGTCGTCTCTGGATGATCCAAAGGGAGGAGACCGCGCGACGAGAGATAGGACGATGGAGCTTGACTGGTCGAGTCAGTTTGTCATGTCGGGATGGTCGTCTGGGTATTGGTCTTGGCTGGAATAACAACTTGGCGGTGACGACGGGCCTTCGTTGTTGCCATTCACCGACCGGGAGGAGGTCGTTGGGCGATGGTATGCCTTCGTGCATTAAGCGAACAGAGCCTCATATCTACATCGCAATGTTGCAGCTTCAACTGATCGCTCATCATAATTTTCAAGACCTTCAGTTGGTCGAAATCAAGAACGATTCTCCTTCGAGAATTTCCACCCAAAGAATCCCGCTACAAAGCGTAGATTTTGTCGTGTCACCATCTTGACAGTTGACAATGACAGCTTTGTCAGACTCACAGTCTCCAATTTGCATTCGCATTGCCACCGTTCCTCCACGGGGAGGGAAGGATTCGGCGCATCCAAGAGACCAAGGCTCGTTACCAAAATGGCCGGGGTGACTATGCCCAGTTGGCATCCGTCAGACATGACTCTCGGGCGACGTTGATACGACCGCGGCCTCCGCCCATTGGTCCGCCACGGCGTATGCCGTGCCGCGCCGAGCATTGCCGAGAGGCTCGGCGGGAGAGCGCGAGGGCGGGGGTCGGGCATGGGGTTCCGAAATTTGATTTGGGGGTGACGAGAGTGAGAGAAAGGGGTGGGATCCTGAGAAAAAAACTCAGCGAGGGAAAAATGTCTTGGCCGTGGCGCCGGAGGTCGTTCGCTGTCGCCATGCCATTGATTCCACCCACCTCCGCCCAGGACTTCCGCCGACAGCCACGCATATCCGCGGAAAAGCGTAGACGGTGCTTACACCGGCGGTCGGCAGGTCGCGGTCGTGGGCTCCCTTTTTACTTTAGGGCGTGAAGTCATGCTTGGCCGTTCCACGCCGGTCCGGAGAGAGACACCGCCACGTTTAAGGTCTGTTCATTACGTACGGTCTACCGGAGTGCAGGGTACCCATGCGGATAGCCGAGCCCCCAGAGCTGTCGAGAAGACCAAGACGCCAGTTGACAGTCTTGGATGCGACCAGGGACTGTAGTGTGACCACAGACATTCGAGGTGTTCAGCTTGTCACACTGATAACTGGAATTTGACAGATAAGGCTCGCTATTGGGGTGTCGAATGCTTCTTTCTTGTCCTTCAGGAAAGTCTTGTCTATCCGCCAAAGAGCAGTCGGGAGGCGATGGGCTCACCCAACCCGAACTCTGGGGTGTGCGACTCGAGCGCTGGGGTCCGGGTCCGGGGAGTGGGTGACGGGGAGCTGGGACCGTTTGCCGCTGCCGGGGAACTCCTTGTGGCCCCATCTCTCACGATAGTTGAAGGATTTTTAATGAGAACACCCGGACCAAACTACTGCTCCGAAGATCTCACAAAACAAAAGGCCAGATTGCCGGCGGGTTACTGACAGGTCCAGGGCCGGAAAGAGTGTAATCCATGGTGGCGTAGAAAGCAGACTGGCCCACGAAGGAGAGTGAAAGTACTTGACTGAATAGAAATCCCTCAGTAGTATATAATCCGACTCGTGTTGAGGCAGATGCCGAATGGCGTTGGGTTGGAAGTTCGCAGCCCTAAAAGAACAGCGAAGGCGACGGGATAGGATACCCATCCTAGGACTTCCACATGTCTGAAGCACAGCCGTGCTGTCCCGTTCGACTTACACTATCACCCGTTGACCACGAAAGCACCAGTGATGCATACAGCAACACGCAGGTAGCTGATACGCCGTCAATGCGGAAACACCACCAAAGTTTGAGATACTAAATCCCATTGATACCAATATTGGAATATATCCGTAGGCGCTGGAAAACCCAAGTGGGACAAAACCAGCGCTGTGATCCGACATATCTTTGAACGAGTGAATTCAGTCGAAAAACACTTCAACTTCGATCCAAATCATACAAAATTTCTATCACAAAGCCATCTCTAAAAGGTCCGGAGATTTAGAAACCCAGCCAACAGTCTACTCAAGATGTGACATCGCATTCTACGATCTAAGCATTGACTAACCTGACAAGCATTGCAACTCAAGAAGACTGCTCCGCAAGCCCTGAGCAGAGGCTCCGAGTCTTTGCCGGCGGGCAATTTCCTTCTCCGGCTCTGACCCAATGCGCAATAGCTCATCGTCGGAGAGTTGTGAAACTGTCGTGGGGTTGAAGATCTCTGGCAGCGGGGCCAAAATGTGACGTTCAACGACTTGTCTACAAATATTGTCCACAAAAGTTTTCATCGCAACCTGAGAAGTAGTATTAGTGCCTCGGACAGAAGTCAATCAAGCAGGTTTGCAGACGAACCTTGTAGTAAGCATTGAGACCCGCAAGAGCCTCTTCACATGCCTGCTGGTCCATATCAACGCATAGCCTGGGCTGCAGACCACCGATAAGACGTTTTCTGTCATCAGGGTGGCCGACGTGAAAGGTGCCCCCTCCAATCATGGCGAGCGAGCTCTCTAGTAGCTCTTTCTGCGAGTCGTTGCGCGCCTTTTGAATGTTTTCGGTGTAATAATGATTGTACGTAATCGGATGCCGGTTTTCATCTAGAATTATTTGCTCGAGTTCTTTGAATGCAGTCTTTCTAGACAGCTCCAACTGCTCTTGGCAGAAACTGTTGATGTCTCTGCGCAGACGATCCTCATGGAATAGTGTAGAAACCGCTTGTTGAATCCACTTCGACACATTTTCCAGAACAGCAGAAACGTGCTCTTCTGCGAGCTTGCGCCATGGACTGGAATGTTCGTGAAAAAGCTCAGCGAGTAAAATGTGGCTGTAGTTGCCAGGAAGCTCACGCCCCCTGGTTTCATTGTAAGTCTGATTTCGTCAGCCGCCTTGGCCTTGGCCTTGGTACAAGTCAATGGAGAGATTAGGCCAAAAACTTACCTCCCAGATCCAAGATATCATCTCGCTTCGTGTTACGACAAGTTGATCGCCATCACAGTCACAGCCAAGATCACCATCTGAGACAGGCGTAGGTGGGCTGTCGGTGATTTTGCGTTTGTGCCCTTGCGCGCGAATTTTGGTGGCAAACACACCGTTCCGCTGGTGAACCAAAGAGCGGAGTCTGCTTCCATTCTTTTTATCGAAGAAGGCGGCATCTGAGCAGTGATAGTTCCCATCCAAAGCCGCCTGAGCCAGTTGATAATAACGCATGCTGAGGTTGGTCATGAAAGATCGAATGTCGCCGAGGGACCGTCGTTCAGGACCCATGTCATCGAGTTCTTTTTCCAACGTGTTTAGAGCACGTCTAACCTCGTCCTTTAGCTTTGGCAGCTCTCCCTCGAGATGCTCATCTAGAAGCTCCTGGAGGAAAGCTTTCAGATTTTCAATGCCGACCCGGCTCATGTCAAGGTTCTGGGCCTTCCATGCTGGCGAGGAAAAGAAGTTCATCTCACGCTCTGCGCGACTGATATTCGCACTATCAGCCTGCATCTCAGATGGACTTGGGTTCTTAAGAAGAAAAAAGCCGAGTTTCAACTTGATTGCGTCCTTATTCTTGGCGATGTTGGAGAGCTTGGCTTCGGCTCCGACATTGATGAGATCGGGTTTGGTGATGATACCAACAGTCCGCTGCCCATCTGGGTCATACTCGCGCGCAATTTTGATGATGCCTTGATTGGCAAAGTCGTTACTGGCCTGAACAACAGCGAGGATAATCGTTCGGGTGCTCCGCAGGTAGCTCCGAACCATGGCATGAACCGCGTCAACATCGGCTTGGGACTGTTCCTCGTTGGAGACTGAAATAAGACCAGGAAGGTCAACAATGCTCAGTTGTAAACCAGTGGGACCCGTGACTTCGATGCGTAGAGCATCAGATGCAAATGCGGCATCGTCAGGGGAGTCGGTGAAGCCACGTATTCCCATGAGCTTAGAGGCTTCCTCAATGGCAACCGGAAGGTCGGAGAGGTCTTCCATCATCTCATGCTCGTAATTGCGGAGGGTTTTCGCCACACCAGGAGGGCGAGAACTGTGAGGCCGAATAGTGGCTTTCGCCTTGAATGGCTCATTGGAGTGCCGGAGTACAATCTCTGTAGGAAATCGGGTACAGAGCCCTTCTTGACGAGGGAATGGTATGCCTGTAATTCCCTCTAACACGGAGCTTTTGCCTGCAGATTGGTCACCACAGACAACAAGCTGAGGCAAGTCAACCAGATCGCTAATACCATTAGCTCGAAGTTTTTCGATCTGATTGAGGCGAAAGGTTGATCTCTGAGATCGCAACCCAACTGTTGGAGCTGTAGGTTTTACTAGGCCGGACACAGCCATTGTCAATAATCGGTCAGGTGTTGTGCGATTTGTGTGTTGGAGTTACAATGAGCTGAGCACGTCTAGTTGATATGGGGTGAAATGAATGTTCGACTGATTGGGAAGGCGTGAAATTCCGCTGATTAAATATCCATGCGGCCTTGATCATGTGTGATCGTGTCATGACGAAATTGTCACATGTGTCGAAGTGTGAGCAGTGTTGTAGGCCTCCATCAAAGCATGTAGTGTTGTAGGCCTCCATCAAAGCATGCAAAGACGACGCTTCCATGGATCTGTCCAGACCAAGAACAGAGTTTAGTTTCGGGAGCGGACCTGATTATGCTGCTGCAAGGTAAAATTAACTGCACCCATCTTATCTGTCGAAGGTAATGTGCTAATTCTACTGACATATACAGTTCATCAGCAATAGCCGACGTGCTCTTAGTTCAACGAAGCTAATCTGCTTTTTCGGACCTGCTTCGAGATATAAACATACTTGCAGGTGACGCAATCCCCAACAAAACTACGTTTTCGCATGTGATATCGTGCTGAAGATTGTTCAACAAGAAACACAAGCTAATCAGCCAAGGTTTGTGTCTCGTTGTTTATCACATGTTATTGTTGGCAAGAGGCTGCTTCGTCATTGCCCGCCAGACCGGACACTTCGGTACCGAGAGAGAATGATACTGGGGAGTGCTGCCCGGAATGTGGACTCATACCGAGGATGGGAGAAAAAGATACTCCCAGGCATTTATGACTTTTGCCGCAAAGGATACATGTATTCACATCAGACCTTGTAACACGACTGGGACTTGGTAGAGGGTGCAGCATTCTAGACAAGTAACGTCGGCTCATGAATGCCGAGATGCAAAGCCTCATACTTGAAAGCTGCCTGATCACGGAGCACAACGGATGATGCCTCAACAAACTGAAACACCATTCGGGAGGTTTAAGAAATGGGTACAGAAAGTAAATGATTGAAAGACTGTAATCATGCGTTGGACGATGCCCAAATCAAGCCAAGGGCTCCTGTAAAAGTCACATAGAACTTTAGCTTCGAAATCTCTCGATCTCGGACTCTGCCCCGAGTACGGCCACAAGCACGCCCCCATCACCCACTTCTGCACCACTCATGATCTCCTTCATTCCGAAACGGAGCTTAACATCTTTCAGTTCTCTCGAAAGATTTTCACTCCCTCCCATACTGCACGGTCTTCCAAGTTCCTGCAGTGTGCTGCTCATGCTGGTTGTCGCCACGAATTGCAGAAAACGATTCCCAGACGAACACCCGTTTCGGTACAATGCCTGACACCCGAGGATGTAGATCATCAACGTGACAACAAGACACGAGGCGTATGGTGCATAAAACTGCCACGGCTCGCTGAATCTGTAAACGTTTGTACCGATTAGTGCTTCGACGGGGTCAGCGTTGACCCAAAGAGGGCCAGAGGGCATCTGGTTCAAGGATATAGTGGAAACCACTACATCCTGTAGATACCTTTCGATGGTTGCGGGTTTGATGTCGAGTGCAAGGTTAAACTTGTCTACAAGCCCAATGTAAGGGCTTCCTGCAGCGAGTGAGCCTGGCCCTGGTTTGATCCGTGGTAGATCAAATCCATTTTCTTTTTCTTGTGTGTGACCACAGCAGTTAGAAGATGCAGGCACTGAGCATTGGCAGGTCCCTAAATTCAAACTTACCCAAGTCCACTCCTCCCGCCATAGCATCCACGGCAGCTTTTCTAATTGCAAAGGCTTGAGCACGTGTAAAGTTCCTCGATAAATCTTCTTGTTTGATGGGTGGTTCGTAAAGCGTCTCATTTCTGTCTTTCAAGAAGTAACCTCCGAAATCTTTCTGAACTGGTTGGTCATCCGTCCATATCGATGACGTATTGAGTATCTGCGTTTGTGTTTTATGCGAACCGTCTTGGGACTAAGAGATTGTGCAATTGTAGGTAGCAAGCTGCATGGAGCAAGTCATCGTCCTGCGGTCGTCTGGCATGCACTTCCCGCTCTTGATCATATCCCAAGTTATGGCGAAGGAATTATTGTATATGAATGACCCGGCGGAAAATTCACCGCCTGACGAGCTGAAAACGCTTTTGGTACAGGATGGAGAAATCTTCGCCGTTGGCCTAGGCTGACCGCAATTGAACTTTGGTCCTTCGAAGATCAAGTTGTACATGTAGGTATAAGGAATATTGTAAGGCAAGCCGAAGTGTACCGGCTCGCCAAGGATAATAACAAGAGCAGCAGTCTGTCTCAAGTTTCGACCGTTTCGATGGTTTGGACGTATCCCACTCGAGTCACTCCTGACACGGCTCTAATTAGCGTCTCTTTGGTCGTGAGGGGCCGGACACTAACTAACACGTAGACAAAATCGTTGTCGGGCTCCATGAGCGAGAGCCGCAAAAAATCCCTCCAAGTTCCGTTGCCCCAGTTGCTGATATTCAGCGTTGGCACATTCGGCAACGTGACCGTCAACACATTGTCCTCGAATTCCACCGTCAACGAACCGGGTGGGAAGACGATGGTGACTGGGACCATGAAGCAGAGAAACGCGATCAACCAGAGTTCGGGCGCACTAGTCAAGAGACCTGGCCGGGACAAGTTCCAAGGACTCAAAACCAAGGTGACGAGCTTGTCAATTGTGCAGGCTTCGAGTGCTTTACGACGGAGCAGTCGCCACAGGATTTGATCATAGGCCACGGCAATGCCACTCAGGAGACAAATTTCGACAGCGATGGCAAGAAAGTTGGCTAGAGCTGCTTGAAGATTTTGATTGAAGCCTGAGGTTTCAACGGGTTCACCATCTAGGAGGATGAAGAAGGCCATGTGTGTGGCCATGAATCCTAAAGCTGGAAGACATCTTGTCAGCAAAACTTGTTGCGGTATTAACCAGTAAGAAGAACGCCAGGTATACCTAAAGCGTAGAAAGCCGCCATTTGCCATACGACATGACCAGAAGACCTCCGACTGGGTTTTCGTTCGGTTTTGATGTTCTCCTTCTGGGGGGCTGGAAGCATCTCGGCCCGCTCGTTTCTTACTTCATTGCTTCTGATGCGAGTCCTCGTGGGCTCTGTGGTCTCTTCATCTTCGCTGTCTGCCGAGGAAATGCTGTATGCAGTGGATGGAAGGTTGGCTGAAGTCCTTGGGCTCAAGGAAGTTGCTTGGTCAGGAAAAGAAGCCTCGGTGTTGGCGCTACTCGTCATTGTGTTCGAGCAAGCAGTTTTCTGAAGCTGGCTCCCATGATGCAGACAAAAAGCTTCGAAAAAGTTATCTCAAGGGCAGGAATGGGAAAGTTATCTATGAAAGTCTCCACAGAGAAGGCTGCGATGATCGCCTCATCCGGTGCCGTAGGCAGCCGTAGGCAGACTACACACCGCGCGCGAGCTGCACCTGGCAGCGCATAACTTCATGTTCTGTACGACACACCCTCTTTTAGGCTTCCCGTTCTGAGAAGACCGATGGAAAAAAGTTGGGCTGCGAAGCGGCGAAGTCAGACATTGGAGGGGGTCATTCTGACCTGCAGTCTGAGTCAGCGAAGACGGGATAAGCCACACCAGCCCAATCACCATAACGACAGAGTCTAAACTGACGCATCGTCAGCAGCTGAAGAGGCTATGTGGACAGCGTACAGAAGGTCCAACGGTGTGGTACACTCAAGCTGAACGTGTCCAATATCCGATTCTTTCAGCCGATCTTTCAGCCGAGTGAAGCTGTTGAGCTAGCTAGAGCGGCCCCCATGCTTGAAAAGAGTTGGAGCACACAGTCAGAGTCTAGTACGAAAGAATTTACGACCTTTCGATAAGCTGACATCGACAATATCTCCATTGCTCACAACGAGAGCTTCTATATTTGTCTTTGGTAGCGTCAGAAAGTTGCCCATATTTCCACTTCGAAGAAAACCTAAGCATTCCCTGTGTTCACACCGCCATTGATTTTTTCTTTAACTTGAGCATTAATCCTCTTCATCGCCCGAGCGAGGGGAAGAAAGTCGCTTTCCTGCCGTGTCGCAGTCTCGATACCTTGGGCGACACGATCCAGCAGTTTCAGATCCTCAATCATATCGCTGGGCGTCGGGGAGTTCATGGCGTTACTGGCGAGATGGGCATATGCGGTGTGCGCTCGGTAGGCGCCGAGTATGTACGAAATCGTCTCTGCCGCCGGGAACTTCCAGACGTGAAGCATGTTGTACGTCAGGTCGAGGATGCGACGCGACGCCCGAGTTGAGAAGTCCGTTCTGGGGACATTGTTGTCGGAGCAGACCGGGACAGGGGAGTTGGATTTCAGGAGGGTGGCTTTTCTCAACATGAAGATGATGGAGGTGTAGCCAGTCAGAACCAGGCTGGATAATGTCCATAGATCCATATGGTCATCGCCGGAGCGTTCAATCCACTCTTCCTGTGGCGGCATTAGTAAGATGCACTCAACAGCTCACCGACTACCGACGGTTTGCGAGGTCAACCCACGATTCCCCATTCGTCGAACAAGACTTCGATTTCGTGGCACAGAGGCTCGATAGCCTCGACTGCTTCAGACTCATTCTTGAGCTTCTCAAGCGTCTGGAAGAAGCGGATTAAGATAAAGGCAAGCCGGCTGCGGAAGAGGAATGATATCGTTGACACTTGAGCACCCTTTTCCGGGGGCAAGTCGAGCGACAACCATGGCAAGTTCACTTGCCACTTGTCGAGACTCGGATATAGGGTCGCCGGTTTGTTGTAGATCAAGTGGTAGAAAAGATCCGTTTGGATCAGCTCCCACATGCCCTTACGGTCCTCGTCGGTGCTGGGACACCCGGTAGCTGCAAAATAGTCATTGCTGTCGAGACTGTGCATCTGAAGGCCTTTGGCGTACTCGCAGGCTAATTGGTGCATTTCAAGACTCATTTCGAAGTCGTAAGACTCTGTCGCGATGCCGGTCTGCGAATTGAATGAGTAACTAAATCCATGGCACGTGGGAAGAACACGAGTGGGGGGGATAGTATACCATGAACATAGCAGCAATAAAGTCGGTGATAGAACCAGTGGCTTCCTTTTGCCAGCATGGCATAGTTCTAAGACAGCACAGGTATAGCTTCCGGGCGTATCTGCCGTCTGGGCTGTGGAAAGACCTTGTATTCAGAATGTAGCATCCCCGCCACAGAATGACATAGTAAATGATGAGAATACAGGGGTCAAGTGTAACATGCCGCATCAAGAGCATGTCTGGTATCATTTCAATTGTCTTCCTGTCCACGAGACTGAGGAACGTCTCCGTGGGACTATAGGTGAAATAATCTGACATGAATATCAGTATCACGAATAGACTATGCCGTGGGCATCTTACTGTGAATCCAGGTCCGTGCCTTATCCAGAGAAATATCGATACCCTCGGTCGCTATGGTGTTGTGACCCATGGTACGTCTGAGCCTTTGGTCTCGCACACGATCGAAAGTGTCGCCGAGAGTTGCAGCAACGTCGAGCACTGCGGGATGGTGTGAAGAAGATCCAGACCCAATTGGCCGAAGGAAAGGTAAGATGTCTCGCTCATTTGAAGGGGCCTTCCTGGACTCGGCTCTAGATGATGGACTTATAGGTGGAACCGTTGCATCCCGGCCCGTTGGTGAGTAGGGCTCGGAGGAGCCACACTCTTCAGAAGCCGAAGCTTGTCGATGAGAGGATCTTGTCGCAGAAAGGTTGGCACCTGGGGCCGAATGGTTGTTCTCCATGCGTTCCAGGCGATCAAGAATGAGTGATAGAGTAGCATTGTCGGTGCTATAGACAGTTTGGGAAACTTACAGTCAGTGCTAACTGTGCCATCAAATGATTGCAATCTGACTGGATCTGGGAGTGTCGTGTATAACGCGCATACCTTGGGTGACCAGCATCCCTCTTGGTACGTTTTCTGGGTCTCCTTTGAGGGTACTGGCATGAAAGGTCCAGTGTACTACATCGCTCACAAATAGGTGTGTCACGACTGCATCTTAGCTGGAAGAGTGTCAGCATACGCGTAGACATGATTAGGTTGTATGCGGATTGAGCACAAGACGCACCTTTTTGCTACGGCAATTCGTGCACTACCAATGAAATGTAAGCTCAAAGTCATCAGACATGTAATAGAATCCGCAGAGACATGCTTCAGAGGACGGCTCAAGGTAGGATGAGGATCTCGGGGCTGCGGGGCTTGAGTTTAGGTTTGATGGAACATGCGGGCTTACCGAAAGGCCGTTCAGAACTACAACTTCTTGCCGATCCATAGGCATCGGAGCCCCCAAACTCCAGCGTGCGGGATGCCGAGACTGACTGTAAGCACAGATGGGTGTAAGATAGCGATTCTGGATGAATGAGCCGCAGCAGGGTCGGCGCATCCAAGGGTCTCAATGCGTCCTGACCGAGCAGGTTTTGTTGTCGGAGATGGGGGAACTGGATGATAAGCGTCTTCCGGGCCTCAAAATTGAAAGTCGCCGTGGCTTGGGTACGGGGTAGGGCTCTCCACACCAGATCTCAGTCCGGAGTCATGGACATGGTCGAATTGGCGAATAGATGGGAGGGGTTTGTTGGAGGAGATGACAGGCAGACCGCCGAGTGCTACGAGCTTAGCTTCGTCTAAGAGGTCTTTACCCCGTTGGGATCGCCAGCGGTGCCCTACCTTATAGTTACACATCCTTGGCGGCTCTGACGTGCCGCGCTTCTCTTTCTTTGACTGGACCAAGGGTACCTCCGCCCCACTGAACCCGGTCTTTCGTACTTTCCGAAAGTGCGGCGCCGCCTCCTTCCCGGCTGTGTTTTGGTACCCCGGAAAGCTTTCCGGGTCGACAACACCCAATACATTTCGCATTTTCCGAGAAGACAGCCTGCAACTTCTCCACAACAACACAATTGTGGATGGAAATCAAATCGACTGCAGTCATGGAAACCCGTTTAAGTTTTCTCTTTACGAGAAGGAGATTTTGTTCGAATGTCGAAAATACAAAAACTCGGCAACCTTCTTGATGGCCTATATTTAAGAGCCCAGCCTTTCCGGAGCTTGATAGTTATCAAATGCTTTACTCTGCCATCTTTCCTACAATTCAGCTCGGAGGAGACAAAGTTCCGGCTTCTTTGATTCTCTTTCTAAAACCCTACAGTCTTGAGTCGTGTAAATTTACCCAGGTGCTCACACAGTCTCCTCCACCAGAGAAGCGTTACAAACATGCCAACACCTGTGATCTTGGGCCCCGGTCCTCACGCGACTGAATCCCATACAGCCACATTTGATGGGGTCGAAAGCGTCTCCATCCCATCGGGTGCCGAGGAGGAAGCCGAGGAAGAGATTCACGACCTGGCTAGGCGCCTGACTTCATTGTCCCACGGAGGCGGCCACTCACTGTTTCCTGAGCCATCCGACACCACTCTCGACCCAAAGAGCGACAGCTTCGACGCTCGAAAATGGGCCGCGGCCTTCTATAGCCTCCAGACCAAGGCTCTCCTCGGAAATTCTCCCAACACGGTGGGCCTGGCTTTCAGGGATTTGCAGGTCTACGGCCTCGGAACGACCACAGACTACCAAAAGACTGTCGGCAACTTCTTTCTGGAGGCGACCACACTGACTCGCTGCTTTTCTTCTTTAGGTAAGAAGCAGCGCATCGACATCTTGCACAACTTGGAAGGCGTTATCCAGAATGGAGAGATGCTTGCGGTGCTTGGTCCACCCGGATCTGGCTGCACGACGTTGCTCAAGACTATTGCTGGCGAGACCCACGGGTTTTCTATTGCCGAGGGAGCCACACTCAACTACCAAGGCATCTCACCCAAAGAGATGAAAACGACGTTCAAAGGAGAAGCAATATATACGGCAGAGTTTGACCATCACTTCCCCTACCTGACCGTCGGTGAGACTCTCTACTTTGCGGCCCGGGCACGGTGTCCCCAGAATATGGATCTTCCGCATGGCATCTCGGAGCACCAGTATGCCGAACACCTCCGCGACGTTGTCATGGCACTTTTGGGTATCTCGCATACCAAGGATACCCGGGTCGGAGACGACTTTGTGCGCGGAGTGAGTGGAGGAGAGCGGAAGAGAGTCAGCATCGCGGAGGCAGTCCTGAGCTATTCTCCCCTACAATGCTGGGATAATAGCACACGCGGCCTTGATTCTGCCAACGCAATCGAATTCTGCCGCACCCTACGTATGCAGGCAGACATTTTTGGATGCAGCTCCTCCGTGGCTATATATCAAGCACCCCAGGAAGCATACGAAGTGAGTTTCTAGCGTCTCCCCTCTCGGTTTCCGCTTTTTGATAGCGATTCCCGTTGTCGGAAATTTGCCTATTTTGTTACTAACATTTGGAACAGCTTTTTGATAAGGTCATCGTCCTTTATGAGGGCCGTCAAATTTTCTTTGGAAAGTCCACCGACGCGAAAGCGTACTTCGAAGGCCTTGGCTTTCTGTGTCCGGAACAGAAAACAACTGCCGACTTTCTGACTTCAATGACGAGCTCATCCGAGAGAATCGTGCACCCCGAATGGAAAGGCCAGACGCCACCGCGGAGCCCTGAGGAGTTCGCCCAAGCCTGGAGAGACAGCCAGCATCGCCATTACTTGTTGGAAGAGATTCATCATTTCGAGCAGCAGTACCCTTTTGGTGGCGACACGCACAAGCAGTTCTCCATCACTCGACGAGCGCATCAGTCCAAGGCCCAGCGATCCTCGTCACCGTACACATTGTCCTATGTGCAGCAAATCAGTCTGAATCTTTGGCGCAGTTTTAGGCTGCTCATCAGCGAGCCGTGGATGACAATCACGATGTTGACGACGAATTTCTTCGAGTCTCTCATTATCTCCAGCATTTTCTACAACTTGGAACCAAATTCCTCCAGCCTCTATAACCGAAATCTCTTGATATTCTACACCATACTCATCAATGCCATGGGTAGTATCATGGAGATCCTGACACTCTATGGTAAAAGAAAGATCATCGAGAAGCATGCCAGGTATGCGCTCTATCACCCGAGCGCCGAGGCAGTCGCCGCAATGCTCGTCGACCTTCCCTACAAGCTCGTCAACGCGCTATTCATCAATGTGCCGATCTACTTCATGACGAACCTGCGACGCGAATCAGCCGGGCCCTTCTTCTTCTTCCTGCTGTTCTCCTTCACCATCACCGTTTCCATGTCAATGATCTTTCGGTTCCTCGGCTCCGTCACCAAGACGACATCGCAAGCGCTAGCGCCCTCGGCCATTATCCTGCTGGCATTGATGCTATTCAGTGGGTTTGCCATGCCTCAATCATATCTCAAGGACTGGATCGGATGGATTCGCTGGGTCAATCCCGTGTTCTATGCTCAGGAAAGTCTGTCACTCAACGAATTTATTGGACGGAACTTCACCTGCTCGCAGTTTGTCCCCAGTGGCCCCGGTTACGCAACCTCTGGTATGGGCGAGCGCGTTTGTGACATCGGAGGAGCGATGCTGGGCTCCAGTTTCGTCAATGGCGAAGAGCACCTACGTATCGTTTACGGCTTTCTAGCCAGTCACCGCTGGAGAAACTTTGGCATCTTGATCGCCATGACCATATTCTTCATGTCTCTGTATCTCGTCGCCGTCGAGCTGGTGTCTTCTGAGAGATCAAAGGGCGAAGTTCTTCTATTCAAGCGGCGGGCGTTGAAGAGTGTCAAAAAGAGCTTCGACGATGTTGAGACTTTAGGAGCAAATCAATCACAACCAACGATTCAAGTCGACAATGACAGCGACAACTCCGACCTCACGAAACAGACGTCCGTGTTACATTGGAATGATGTCTGTTACGATGTGCATGTTAAAGGGGAGACTCGCAGGATTCTTGATCACTGCGACGGTTGGGTCAAGCCTGGAACGTTGACGGCACTGATGGTATGTTCCAACCATTTTGTGACTACTTCATGATACACGACTAATACATGCATGTGCAGGGTGTCTCAGGAGCCGGTAAGACAAGTCTCCTTGATGTACTGGCCAGTCGCGTCACAATGGGTGTTGTCAGTGGGGAGATGCTCGTCGATGGCCACCTTCGGGACTCTTCATTCCAGCGCAAGACGGGATACGTCACGCAGCAGGACCTCCACCTTCACACAGCAACCGTTAGAGAGGCGTTGAGTTTCAGTGCCCTGTTACGGCAGCCTAAGCGGTACAGCCGGCAGGAGAAGTTGGCCTATGTTGATACTGTGATCGATCTCCTCGGTATGCAGGAGTACGCCGAGGCCGTGATCGGGGATCTAGGCGAGGGGTTGAATGTCGAACAACGCAAACGCTTGACTATTGGAGTGGAGCTGGCTGCCCGACCGCAGTTGCTGCTTTTTCTAGATGAACCGACGTCTGGCCTCGATAGTCAAACATCATGGTCCATATGCGATTTGATGGAAAAGCTGACAAGAAACGGGCAAGCGATTCTCTGTACAATTCATCAACCGTCGGCATCGCTATTCCAGAGGTTCGATCGGTTGTTGCTACTTGCGAGAGGTGGGCGAACGGTGTACTTTGGCGACATTGGAAAGAACTCTCACGTTCTCATCGACTATCTCAGCCGGCACGGAGCTCCAGCCTACCTGCCCGGATCGAACCCAGCCGAGTACATGTTGGAAGTGATCGGGGCTGCCCCTAAGGCACATTCCGATATCGAATGGCCGGCTGTGTGGCGGGGTAGCGAGGAATACCGCGCTGTTCAGTCTGAGCTTGCCAGATTGTCATCGCATGCAAATGAAAAGGGGGCCATCGAAGCGACGACAACGGCAGACCACGACGCCTCGATGTACGCAGAGTTCGCTGCTGGCTTTGGTGTGCAGATACACGAGGTGACGAGGCGGGTATTCCAACAGTATTGGCGTAGTCCATCGTACATCTTTTCCAAGTCTGTTTTGACATTTGGATCGGTAAGTGCTGTCTGGCATTGCATATGATCGATTGCGCCTCTCTAGAAGTAACAAAGCTGACCAACGCCCGCTCTTGGGACATGTAACAGGCTTTATTCATTGGGCTCACACTCCTCGGGGGCAACAATACCGAGCGCGGCCTCCGGAATCAGATGTTTGGGATGTACATCTTTCTCTTTATCTTCAGCCAGATGGTGCAGCAGATCATGCCGGTCTTCGTCTCCCAGCGGACCATGTACGAAGCCCGTGAGCGGCCGGCGAAATCGTATTCTTGGATGGCCTTTATCGGTGCGAATGTCATTGTTGAGATGTTTTGGAACTCTGTGAGTGATGAAACCATTGAGGAGATTTCCCCTCGACGCGAGACTCAGGACTAACAGTTTGGCGGCTAGGTCATGGCCATCTTTTCGTTCCTGTTTTGGTTTTATCCCATGAGGCTGGATCGCAACGCCGAATGGACGGATGCTGTTCACTCGCGCGGCATCACACTGTTCCTCATCTGCTGGGTCTTTTTCCTATTCTCGAGCACGTTTGCGCACCTTCTGATTGCCGGGCTCGGCAGCGCCGAAGTTGCGGGCGGAATCATGAATCTGCTCTTTATCCTCATGTTTGCTTTCTGCGGGTATGTGTGCCCCAATTGCATTGATTTCCCGCTTGGTGAATCTGGAGGTATGTGTGATCGAAACGAGCTGACTATGCCAAACAGTGTACTGGCCGGCCCGGAAGCGCTGCCCGGCTTCTGGATCTTCATGTACCGCGTCAACCCCTTCACGTACGTCGTCGAGGGCTTCCTTAGCGTCGGCCTCGCCAATGCGCCAGTGACGTGCAGCGCGGCCGAGCTGCTTGAGTTTGTTGCGCCCGCAAACGGCACCTGCGGCGAGTACATGGCCGAGTACATACGAGAGAAGGGGGGATATTTGCTGGATGCCGGCTCGAATGCTTGCCAGTACTGCGGCATGGCCGATACGAACGCGTTCCTATCGAGCATGAGCATGAGCTTCGACAACAGATGGCGCGATTTCGGGCTGATTTGGGCGTTTTGCGTCTTTAATATCACTGCGGCGGCAGTAATCTACTGGGTTGTGAGGGTCCCGAAGAATGATTTCAAAAGTCACAGTTCGCGTAAGGCTTGAGTAGGGGATAGAATGGGGTGGCGGGGGTTAATTAGATGCTTTGGGGAATACGCAGGATTGCAGAAAAGTGTCGCATCTTGGTATAGATCAGTCCGGTATTGAATGATTGTGGCACTAAAATCTCACGATATTCAGAAGGGGAGAGCGCATTGCGTGGTACATCGAACAATGCAGATTGTCAATTCATGCAGGCCGTAGTACATTACATTGCGGATAGAATCGTTACACATTGACGCCATACAAATATGAAAAGGAAGAGGACCACTGTGAAATAATACAACACCGCAGTGATGGCCATCAACCATCCCTCACTCGGTCACAAAAAAGCTCGGCCAGTTCTCCACCATCTCGACAGCCTACTCCTGCCATCCGGCCATGGAGCTCGCCATCTCCCAGTCTCCGCTCGCGCACTGCCGCCAGCTGGACGAGATCTGACACTCCTCGGCCTCGAGCTCGTTGTCGTCGTTCATGCGAAAGATTGTAATGTCGCAGCAGATGGACATGGCCATGAGCCCCACCTCGCAGACGTGGGGCTTGTGCATCTTGAAGCTCATGGGGGGGTCGGCGTGCTCCTTGAGCATCTCTTTGAGGGTGGGCTCGGAGCGCTCCGAGTAGACCTCGGCGTCGCCAAAGAGGATCGGGTTGCACATGATGGCGCCCTTGCCGACGTACTTGAGGGCGCTCTTGGGCTTGTGGCAGAGGGCGCCCCAGAGGAGCGTCTCCATCTCGATGGCCTTTGCGTGGTTGCGGAGCTTGATCGTGTTGAGGGGCCCTTCGTCCTCGGAGTCTTCCTCTTCGTCGGAGGAGTAGTGGCGCATGGCCTTGCTGGGCCGGTCCTCCTTCTTTTCCTTCTTGGCCTTGCTGCTGCTGCTGCTCTTCTTCTTCTTCTTGTCTTCGGGGGATTGTCCGTCGGATTTCTTCTCGCGGCGGGTGAGTTGCTTGCCTTCGAGGTTGGCGTCTTCGGCGATGCCTGAGAACTGGGGCTTCTTCTTCTTTTGCTTTTGCTCGGCGCCCGGGCCGTGGGGGGAGGGGTCTGTTGTGAGACCGAGGACGGAAGGCATTTTGGCTGGGTGGTGGTTGTTGTTGCTGAGCTGCTGCTGTTGTTCTTGTTTCGTTTAGGTCAATGGTATCTTCAATCGCTAAGCACCGCTATGATATGCTCCAGGAGGTCGTGAACTCGTCAACTCGTTTGCTCGCTAAGGGAAGTCGGGGGGATGTGTATGTGTAAGTGGGTGGAAAGCTGCGGGACGTAGCACTAAGACGGGGACACAGAGACTAGAAAAGGTGTTGGAAAAGGGGCCTGCATCATACGTCTCGGTCACGCGGTCCCTGCGCAGACGAGGACGTTGACGTCCATGTCCCAGAGTTTTTTTTTTCCCCCAGTGCTTCATTCATTCAGTCTGCCCGGCCGAATCTTGGAATTTTCCTGCTTTGATGCACCGAGGGTGACGTCAGCCGTCGTGGCCGCACGCTCGCGCTGGGTGGAGGAGAAACAGGGTTTCATCAGTGGCAGCACGTCGTTCGCGGGGGAGCTCTCCCTCTCCCATGCAGCAAATCCCCATCGCCAATTGGAGGGGGGGCCTTGGGGGCCACTAGGGGAAGGCATAGCCCACAGCGGCGAGCCCCGCACTGCGATCGAAATGACATCAGGTCCTGCGGGATGCAACTGTGCGGCGATCTCTTAGACTCTTTCTGGAGTCCAGAACGCTGACTCTGCTGGCTTCGCCGGGAGAAAGCCAGGGGGTATCCCTGATTTGAGGGACGAACAGGGAAGAGGATGAGGTAGGTAGACATTCAGTTTTGCTCAGAGATAATCTGACAAGATTCTGGACCTGTCGTTGCCGCATAGCCGCCAATAACACCCTTTATCTTTAGTTGGAGAAGCATGAAAAGTAACCGTTTCCCAGCCCTGAAGTTTTACGCCATACTAAGCTGGTATCGTGTCTAGTCAGGCCGTTGGACTGAGGCGGATCGCTTCGCGTCTGCCATTGTGTCCCTAGCGTGCCGTGCCTAGCGAAGCTCCCCCGCACCGTTGATGGCGGAAGGAGAGAATCCATTCATCCGAGGTGTCTTTGTCCTCCAGAACCAGCAACTCAGATTCGGTGACCGTTGAGAGAGCTTCAGCTCCAGACCCTGTCAACGGCCGTGGCCTGTGACCATTATTTCGGACAAGTCATGGGAGGCAAAAGATGACGGATGAACAGAGCGATATGAGTGGCTTTTTTTTT